TAATTCCCCATAAGTGGTGTCACTGCAAGTGTAACTTACCCTTTTGACACTGCCATTTTTACTGGCAGGGACAAGTAGAGATGGTATAATCCTTCTGGAAGCAAATATCTGAAACAAGCCTCAAATGGTCTTCTTGCTGTCTCAATTAATGTATTTTTGCAGTTTTGCTAAACCATTCTATGAACTTGAAAGTAACACGACATTTACCTGCTAGGAAAATCCAAGTGAAGTTCCCCCAGTCCTTATCCTGTTTCCCTTTTGCAATAAAGATGCTGCAGTGTCTTTCATTTTGTCTATTAAAGGATGGAAAGCTGTTACCTCATGTTCTGACCCCCAAACTTTGGTCACAGGGATTATTTTTTTTGTCTCCAGCACAGGATTTAGACTTGCCTGTGTTGCAGTGTTTGCCCAGCCCCATTTCTAGGACACATTCCCACATATCCAAAGCTGTGCTGGCTTCTCAGTTCCAGTGCAATAATGTGGAACCACCAGAGAGAGACCTCTGCAAATCACAAAGCCACTCCCTAACCTGTGCCTGCCCTTACAGCCCCAGAAGGAAACTACAGGCAACTTTCTGTTCTGTATCCAGCAGCTCTCCCTCCACTCAGAGGCAGCCAGGATACCAGGAACCACACAGCATGTTTGGCAGGGTGGAGGAAGGGTGTGAAACAACACAATAAAGGGGAGTACCTGCTCTCTTCATCAACTGACATTGTGAATCTACTCATTATGAATCTACACAGGGATCAAGCAGTTTGAACTCTGTTGTAAGCAAATACTTTTGAAAAATGACCAAATGGAAGGTTCTCTTTTAATGGGTGTTATCCTTAAGATAGGGAAGAAGATCTGAATAGGCCTGACCTCTTCTGAGATGGGTTCAATGGCAGCCTGCTTTATTTTACAGAACATTTAGTCTACAAAATACTCAGCATATTCAGTTTTTCCAGTTCCAGGGGAGAAGTAGGACATCCTATGAAGATAAATGTCTGCATCTAGCCTATTTTCAAATAAAAAGATCTTGAACAAACCAAAATAGGAGGGATCTGGTCATGTAGTAAAGAGCCACTCCTGTGATTTGGACGAGATCTGAGATGACTCCTGAGCAGTCAAGAAACTAACCAGAAAATTTTCTCTGTGGCCTGAATTGCTGAGCTACAGCATCTGGAAGCATCACAGGCATGTCACGGCAGTGGTTTAGTTTGAGAATTACCCTAAATAGCCTTATTATCACCACTAAATGATAGAGTATAGCAACTGGAATGCAAGCCAAACACAGTGGAATGACCGATGAAGCTCTTTTTCTGAGGTCATCTTGTTGAACTCTTATTTTTTTTCCCCACAGTTTTCACATGTGAAATCTCAGTAACACAAGTCCCAGATCAGAAAAGATCAGCAATATATATGAGATCAGCAACATGTCATTAAAATTCTCACTCACTTTCATTTTTCTAAGACAAAAAGAAACATTCTTAAAGTTACACTCACACACAAACATTTAGCTAAAATCACTACTGACTTCATAAAGCAAAAGTTCAGTCTTAAAAAAAATTATGTCTTAAAACATAATCATCAGACTGGATCTTGAGAAACTGTGCTAGCCTTTTAGAAATATAGTGTCATTTCAACTCATTTATCATTAAAAAATGCAAACAAAAGATGAATATTTAGAAGAGAGAAAATACTCATGCTTATGTAGCTGAAGGCAAAGAGTAAGTAATTCAGACAGACCAGAATCACTGCAGCTGATTAAAGGCATCTCTGACTAAATTTCAAAACAGGTTCTGTGGCTAAAAGTGTCACACTAAAGGCTTCAGTGCCTCAGGATTGTCATCATATTTTCCAGGAAGCTTTGGGAAAGCAGGAGGCTGATTTAAATAAGCTGCAAAGCTTTTGTCCAAATTATTAAAGCTGTCACTTCTCTTGTAGAAAAATCCAGAGAAAAAGAGTGCATTAAGTCCTAAATGGAAGGGAACTGAGGCTGGTGCCTTAACAGAAGTGGTTACAACATAAGGCAAAGCCAAGGAACTGAGCAAAGATTCTTGCAGCTTAAATTCAACTCTGGAAGACAGGATGTTTGTCTAAAACCTTGGCAGTGAAAGATGGTTATTCTTGGCTCTAATCACAATCACTGTTTAAGTCCCTCTGCTATACAGTTACCAATAAAGAATGCATTTCATTTCTCTGGAACTGACAGAGTGCAGAAACATTAATGCACAAAATAATGTATATATGAACTAGATGGGAATATAAGTATTAACTCTTTGCTGAACATGGCCCCCACTGGTCCATCTAGTTGTGTGTAGATCACACAAACTGGACTAGTTATTGCATTCAGGGCAACCTGCTCTATGGATTTGAACAAATTATCTCCCTTCCTGCAACATAATTTTGCCATCTTTAAAATAGGAGTTGCTCATTTGTAGTGCTCTACAAAGGACAAATGAGGAATGGGTTTCTAAGACTAGATTAGTTTTATTAATGCTTGAAATCTGCTGTGGTGATCTTGGAATGGGTATGATGGAGAAGGTGGTTCTAGCAGCATAGCAGTAAAGCCCCCAGGCCAAGCATTGTCTCTCTGAGGTCTGAAACACTGTCATTTAGAAATCTCTTAAGCATGGGCTTAATTCCAAATTGAGGCAACTGTATTGCAGACAGAATATGAAAGATTTAAAAAAAAAATAATGTGAATATATGCTGCAGCGTTTGGTGAACTGGGACTTGAATACTTTTTCTGGTTTGTAACCAAGGCTGATGAACTACTGTCTGGCAGTACATCCTTAATACACATAATGTAGTATGGGTGAACTGGAAAGTGTACAATACAGTGCAAACACATTTATAACATACCCACTGCCCCAGAATCTGACCATTCTTTCCAACACTTAATCAGCTCAACAGTTTGGTGACTTATATTCAAATTAATTTTAATCAATAACTTAGAATATGCAATGCAATTTGAATGCAAATATCATCGACTATAATGCTGGAGGAAGCCTCCCTGCTAACCTTTTTACTTGGTCAGTTGCCACTCACAAAATACAAAGAGCCACAAAGACCTGATTTTGAACCATGTTCAGAGAAGATGGAGCATAGTACAGGCAGTTATTCTATAACCAAAGGGTTATACTAACAGCCCAGGCAGTGCTGAATATTGATCTGTGTGGCATTGAAGATTCCAATTACTTTTATTAAATTCAGCACTTTAAGAGCAACAAACGTATTTAGAAAATAGCCAGTGACATTTTCTCACTGTCTTAATGCAGCTTCTTTTCCACAACTTGAAAATGCCTCTGACTGTTAAATTAACATTTGATTCAGTACTATGAGCCAGTTTTCATCATCATAAGTTCTGGCCTTCTAAACTTAATGCTCCATGTAATTTTTTAATAAAGAGATGTTTAACTTCATAGCAAAACTTGTTACATATAACCGTGCCAAAAGAAACCTCCTTCACCTGGATAAACCCTCACAGTGGACATTTTAGAATGGTACAAAGTCAGCAGCCCTTGTTATCCATTTTAAAAATCAAGAAAATAACCAGGATGGAAATAAAATCATGTTTGTCAGAGAAGCTTTACACCATCCAAATTAGGCAGTATGCACAGAGTTGTATTTGACATGGAAAAATGTCAAATTTTACAAATTTTTTACATTTAGAAATGTAAATCATTAAAATATGAAAGCAAAACATGACTTCCCCCCAAAAAACCCTGAACAACAGCAAGTATTGAACATCCTTGAATAACTGGTGTTTGATTTTTCCATATATTTGCGTGGTTCACATGTACTTTAAGGGTATTGAACAGTCCCAAAGGATACCTGATACAAAGATAGTGACATATCATAAAGTAAGCACTCCTAGTTTTCTCTGTGCAGCAGAACTTGAAATGGAACATTCTTCTCTGTCACTTGGGAATTTTAACCTCTTGCAGGCAACTTCAGCCTTATTTTGCTTAAGGAGAAAAATATTCCTTTGCATGACCACCAGTGTGCACAAGTCACAAATACCTGAAAGGGGAAAGAGAAAAAAAAAAGAAAAAAATCTTTCAAGGGGCTTTTGGCTTATTGTTGGTGAAGACCAAACTAAAATATATTACCTATTTATTTTTATGGCCAGATGAATACTACACAAAATGGTGTGGCAGCATGACCACAAACTTCATTGTGCCACTCTTGGGGTTAAAACTTTAAAAGGAAAGGAAGACATTAAAGTGAGAGCTGAAACCCCTAGAAACTTCAGCATAAAATTTCAAAACTATCTTGAACAGAAGGTTCTTCCACTGCAACAAAGTGCTAGTTTGAGAAAAAACAGGGTTTGTACTGTTTTTTATGTTTTAAAATGTTTTTTTTTAAAGTGACAAAATGGCACTTATAGCTCGGTAAATGAGGGCAATTTCTAACAGAGTGGTGACTCATGTGACTAAACAGTTTTTGCATTTGGCATCACAAACTGTGCCACAGAAATATGTTCTTCCATTAACATGACCAACCACAATGTGTTTAATGTAAGTAACATGAATATGGAAAAGCAGGTTTCAGAAATCATGACAATTATGGGCAGATAATGCTCTTTGTTAACCATGATGCAATTACATAAGGAGAAAACTTACAGTGAAAGCTACCTGCCCCTAAACCAAGCCCACTCCTAAAGGGGAAAAAACCCAAAACCCAAGAGGTTACAGAATATGTAGGGATGGTAAATGCCATACTCCTGGGCTGAACATCTTACCAGTTTGATAAGACTGATGAAAAACAGAAATGCACTCATGATCTCAACATATATAGGTTGAGGAGGTTTCTAGATTGCACTCCTCCCTTCATTAGCAATTAAGTAATGAACATGCAGAAAATCAAAGGGAAAGGGACATAAGAAAAAAGTCTGAATTCAGTTTTTGTTTCAGTTTTGAGGCTTCTGAAGTATAAAAGTTTAGACAAACAATGAAATATTCAATTTTTTGAACAGTTGGGAAATGACATTACACTATTTGTACACAAAGAACTTTGAGGCATTTTGTTTTTAATTTGCATACAATTCTCAGAGTGGATTTCACATGAAGAAGGGTGAGATACAACAGAGCTCATTCATCATTTCACAAGTTAACAGAACAAAGTAAACATCTGTCCTTCTTATTAATTAGCATCTACCCCTTACTCCAACTTGTCACTTCCTGCTGCAAGTTCCCATGCCAAAGAAATGGATGGACTAGTTCCAAACTCCACAGATGTTCACATGTGAACTTCAGCAACACTGCAAATTATAACAGCAAGGAATAAGTTGAAAGACTTTGGATGACCTTATATTAATGGTTCACAAATGAAGACCTAAAATTCTGAGTAAAAAAATACTTCAGTTGTCCAGCTCAGCTATTCACCTGACTGTGGTTCCTCTATCGAGCACCCAGCTAAGGAAAAAATACTTTCTGTCATGTAAGAGGGGGCACTAAATCAGAAATAGAGAAGTCTCAAAACAGCTGTGCTAAAATGGACTTCCCAAACACTTTTCTCTGGAGCACAATTTGAACATGCTCTTACCTTCTACATACTGATAAAGTTTTCTAGCTATATAATTTCCATACATAGCTGCATTTGACAAGGTTTTTTTGGTTTATATCAAACTGGCAAATACCATCCTGACCCAAGTATATTACATCAGTATTATCCCTACAATAAAATAGTGGCATGATGTTAAAGAGAGCATCATCTTTCTTCATGCTTTAATGAGATCAAATAACAGTTAAAGGTAGGTTGAAAGGGAAGTAGTAGCAAATCTGTCTTGCAGATCTTTCTGAAAGAGATCAGAAAGTGAAGCTGTCCAGGTAAGAAAAGGAAAGGCATAAGCTGTAAAGGAGTTGAACCTACCAAAAGGAGCAGAAAATCCCCGTCACTTGAGCAGTCTTTATTTAGGTCTTACAACAATAAACACCAGTTTAGCCTTCTGCCCAAAGACTTACAGAAGCCTTTTTCTCGGTGGAGGATTCCAGACTGTGACACTGTTCACAGTGAGTTGAACATAAACCCGAACTGTGTTGAAGTAGCAAACGAAAGAACTCAGAATAGCACATCTCTGATAGTACAGGGTTTGCATTGCACACACACATCACAGCACATCTGTCAATGCCAGTGATTCCATTTGAGACACACCATTTTTTTCTCATGATTGTGGATTTTCCAGCGACTCTACTGAATCTGAAATATGTCAGTATCAGAGAAGAGACAATAAAAACCTTTTTACACTTCAATATTTATTAATTCTTTAGCGGATTTTTGCTATATATTTAGTACTAGTGTAACAAAATTCCTGATAATTCTGTCTCATGCAGGTAACTTAAATGAGGAGTTAGCACTATCTAAACTGATGAATCTACCATTAGGGGGTTACTGGGGAGTCTACAAGACAGGTGTTTTCTGCAGCAAGGACAACTAGGTGGGTATGCACAGAACACAAGTCAGGCTCAGCTGAATGTACCTGGCTGGATGCAAGGACAGCACAGCCTTCAGAAGGACTGGAGGGGCACATCCTTTGACCTAAACACACTTGTCATTATTGTTAGGAGGGCTTGAGTGGAGTTGGAGACATGTTGGAAACTACTGTTAGGAGAGATGGTGTTTCTGTAGTTATTCAAACAGTTTAGCTTTTGCTACTTAAAGTTGCTGTGATTTGTGTTCTCTTTTTCACATAGTAAAATATGTTACTCTACCCAAGTTGCTATTGTTTAGGTCACAACAGAGATACTGAGAGCATACTGTACCTTTCTGCACAAAGATTGCTGACAGACTGCTGCTATTTCTTCTCTGTAATTCCTTGGTGAATACTTTTTCATCAATAGCAACTATGAAAACAAACTCTCTAGAGTCCAAATTTTTAAAAAATATATTACAGGAAAAACTGTAAATCTACTTGTAAATCACTTATTCTTTTCTCCTACAATTCCCACAGGTTTCAAAACATAATAATTATAAATGTAATTATTAAAATAATAACAAGAGTTGTGATAGTCTTTTGTTGTACTGGGCATTTCCCTTTTTTAACTGAGATACATTCTAACAGAAATACCACAGTACGAACCAGATAATTTCAATAAAAAAACAAAATGCAAACTATTCAGTCCAATGTTAGAGCATGTGTATGTGTGTATAATACTGTAAAAGTAGTCACACATTAGAGGTATATAATTGAAACAGCATTTTCTTTCATGAACCTGCTATTATTGAGGCAGTGACAAGGTTTCCATTTCTTTGTTTTTTGAGCTCTTTAAAGAATGGCTATTGCCACATTATGTAAACCTAAATACTGTACAAGCAGAAGCTTGTTGTATCAGGTAAGGAATAATACTAGTAGTGCAAACAGCTGCAGAGACAATTCCTCCAGTTTTGGGGTGAACCAGCTATATAACACTGAAAGAGGACAGGCTTCTTCTTCAAACCCACACTCGTGCGTGTTTCTCCACTCAGCTATACATCCTTCTCCATCTTGGTCTTCTTTTTACAAGGGTTCTTGGGGGACAACCACCAGCTCATGTGATATTTATCATATGAAAGATTTCTTGACTCTTTTCCTAATATTATCAATATTTTAGAACAAGTCAAGGAACGATAAATACCTCAAGCATCAGGAAAGTGACAATAATACTGACTTAGTATCTTTAGTAAAAAGTGAAACATTCTCTCCTGAGATATAAATCAAGGGAGGAACAGGAATGATGAACCTAACACTGTACCATTATTTGATCATCATGCACCTCAGCTGAGCAGGTGGGAAAGAACAAGTGTTTATTGCCCTCTGCTCATCCAAAGCTATGACAGGCAGTTTATTTAGCTAAGTGCTTGGCATATCAGTATGCTGTCAGAGCAGTTCTCAATGTGCTGTCCCCCTTTAGCTTATTTCTTTAAAAGAAAAAAAGGAAAAAAAAAAAGAAAACAAAAGAATAAAAAGGAAGAAAAATCTCAGCAGGTTAAAGTTAACCCTCATCTTCTCTCAGCTCTGTGGGTAGAAATTTGTATTGCTGTTGGCGGATCTGAGCCAGTTTTTTCCTTGCCTCTTCCAGCTCTCTCTCCTTCTTCAGCATTTCTTCTTGGGCTGCAATAATCTAGAAAACAGAAGCAGCAAGGAATACTGTCTGAAAAATAGTATTTCTTTCTCTATGACACCACAGTCACAGCTGGCCCATGTGAGCATTCTCCAGAGAAGCACCTAATTTCAATGACTTCATCAGGAATTGCTCAAATATTTCCAGATGCCAGGACTAGCCATCAAGAAAAGTATTTCATTTCCACTTGAAAAAAAAGAATCTACCACTATAGTTTTACCATGCACCCATGATGAGTTTTACAGCTCTGCATTCTCCCAACATTCAGCAGGGTGGGGGTTTAGAACATGTAGAATAAGCACCATATCTTAACAGAATGTCTGAGTGACAGTAAAATTGAACATTCCTTACTGCAGGTATGCACAGTATTTTCCTGCATCTCAGAGTGCCAAAGAAAAAATGACAGCAGTACAGACATGCAGAAATAATCAAGTCCAGTATCTTTTAAGTAGCAAGTACAGTATATGATGTACCTCATTCATTAAAAGGAATCTAGAAGTTGGTACCTCAGAGCCTTAAAATCTACTTTTAAATATTGTTATAATTTCCCAATAATTACTATGGTCACAGTAACAAAACATCATTGGTTTTTATCTCTCATTCTCTATTTCTTTGCTTAAATATATGCAAAATCACTGTTTCATTAAGATTTGGGAACATTTGAAGTACATAAGAGAATCCTGAAAAGATCCATTCATTTAATCAGAACAAAAGTAAAAGCAATTGGACGATGGTAACTGCTATTACAGCAATGCTCAGTGGAGAAGTGCAGCTACCACGCAGGACATCACTGTGCCCTTATGTCAGGGGATCATGATAATGAGGCATCAAGTAATTGATCATAGATTTCTCAATAATTTGTCCAGCCTGCAATGCAGCAGGTGGACATTGTAACACCCCTCATTTCTGTGATGGCTTTTCCCTGCTTTATGTCAGGAGTGATTGTACCAACCTGAGCGATGCCACCCACAAACTTTGTTTTGACCACAACATCATCATCCTCTGCTTTTCCAAATGCTGCTTTTTGGGCTGCCCTGACGAGATTGTCTGATGCACGCTTGACAGCATTTCCTGCAGCCTTTGAGAACAAGAAGAAATTTAGTAATAAGGGAAATACATAACTAATATGGATTTGTCTGAACATCAAAACAAACATCTTTGCTTGACTGTACAGGAAAGGTATGGGGGTTTTTTCCCCAGTGAAAAGCAAATTAATCTTTGAAAATCAGTGGTACAGAGAGAACAAAATTCCTTTGTTTAAGAAGTTGAAAGTTGGAGAAGTCACAAATGAGATTTTTTTTCCCCTGCAGTTTGAAATAAAGCAGTGGATGAAATTACGAGTTATATTATGCTGATCGACTTTTTTTTTTTTTTTTTGAGAAAGAAGAACAGAAACTAAAAACTACTGTATAAAGATCTTGTAAACCAATTAAGTTTTTGAATTAATGGACTTCAATCAGGGCAAGTTAGCAACTCCCACAGCCATAGTTATCTCACATTTAAACTTTTTTTTCCTAAAAATTCTCAGATTTCTAGAGAGAAACAGTCAAACATGTGTAATACATCTTTTGTTGTCTGAACTGGATACTGCCAGCAGCCCAAAACAGCCTGCTCCCACATGCTAGAGACACACTGGCACAGGGAAGGGAAGGCACAGCTTCCAACCTTCCCTCCTTCCTAGGCAGGACCAGCTCTGAACCTGTCCCCCTGCCTTTCCCTGGCCCTATCCCATATTTCCAGCTGCATCTCACTTTCAAATATTCCTTACCAAAATGATCCAAGGATAAATTATTTAAAATTTGCTCTGCTCAGTCTGGAGCTCATCCAGAAAGAATGGAAACATTTCCAATTGCTTCATTAAGTTTTGGAAGATTCTCTAACAGCGCTTTCCAAATTTACATTCATGGGAAATGCAGTTCACATTGGGGTATGAAGGAAAAAACCAAGACACTCTAAGTCCTGAATCCAGTCTATTGATTAAAGCTATGTAAAACATTTCTGCTGGGGGCAAAGCCAGCTGAAAAGTCTCAGTAGTTTTGGCATGTCCACCAGTAAAAATATTTAGTAGACATCAACTCACTGTTTTTGCTATGATAAAGGACATGATTTCCAAGTGCAAACTGCTCTTCCTTTCATTATTCATTCTGGGACTGAAATGCAGCTTGGTAAAATGGCAGAGTTCAATTTCAGTCCATGCTTGGGCTTGTTTCCTTTTCACATTCCCTTCCAATTTCTCACATTTGATGTCTATTTAATAATATTTGCCCACAATGACAGAGAACCCCAAATTTCCTGTCAGAACTGAGAAAGTCTCTAGTAGTTGAATTTTTCCTGTTTCTGTTGTTTGTTCTGCATTTAAAATTCCTTTGGACCCATCTTAGCACATAGATATTACGGAAGAAATTGCACTATTCCAGTTACTGCCACCTTCCCCACACCCTTTGGCAAAGTCAGTCTTTGACTTTGAAGGATTCAAAGGAACAAGGATTCAGTATAAAGCACTAAAACCATCTCAGCCTTATAACTGCCCTATGACATTCCACTGTTTTCCGTAGAAACAAACAGATTTTTCACATATTTTTTTTCTCCTAAATATTGAAACCGTTTTTCTACTTTCAAAAAAAATGATGACATCAGTTCCTCATGCTCAGACAGATACTGAGTCATGTGTATTTCTGTTAAATTTGATTCTGCCTAGCCATACATGAACTGTTGCACTGAGTGTCCATTAGCAGCAGCTGTGCAAGTACAAGAAAAAGGGGAATTTTCACTGTTCACCAAAGGTGGTATAAAAAAGGCAGCTGAAATAGTTGTATGTATGTTCCAGGCTGAGCCTGCAGGGCATGATGTCAGAGAAGGCTGTAGTCATTTTAAAAATTACCATCCTCAAACAAAACTTTTAGAGACTTTAGATTTTACCCATCAAAATACAGTGTTAATTCAGCAGCAGCTGAGAGAAGCTCCACATGAAATGGATGTGTAACATAAAAGGGAACCAGTTTTATGTAAAGAAGCTCACTCAGACTTCAGTTGAGATGTTGCGTTAGATTCTCCTCTGATTTTTGTCTAACAATGATTCTCCATTTTAGAAATGCTCTATCTGCACCTGCTGTCTCTTGACTCCTAGAAACAAAGGAAGTCTGACCACAGCCCAGGCTAGCACTTAGAGAAATACTTGTTGAACACATGCATAACCTTGGAGTGCTGAAGCTCTGTTTACACAACACTGCCATGGGCTCTCAGTAATTAAAACACAAGTACCTGTAGCCTCCTCATGGCTTCAGAGTCGTGATCAGCCTTCACTTTGCAAGCCACAAGCAACTGTGCTGTAGAAGCTGCAACTTGTTTGGCAGATGAGATGAGTTTCTCCTCACTGGCATGGCCCTGAACTGAGGCATTTGCTGCTTCACAGAGATTGCTGGTTGCAGCTGCCACCATTCGGGCCTAGAAGGCAGGAAAAAAAAGTCACTGTGTGTTCTCACAGGACATTATTTCTTCAGAGAACGTGCCAGTTTTCTCAAGAGAAGTAGTTACTCACAGCAGAAATAAGTCCCTGAGACCACTGTCCATCATCAGCTGCATTTGCAGGGATTGCTCCAACCTGAAAAAACAGTTCAGAGATGGCTTACAAGAAAACAGAAAATAAAATTGCTCTCTCTCAGACAAGCAGTAATCCATGAAAAAAGGAAACACCTGTACCTATGACTCTGCTCAGCACATTCAAGAGCAGAAAATCCAACTGGAAGTCAGTTGTCACAGTAACTGTGCTTCCAGCACACATCTGCCTGCTCAGCAAGTGTCCAACTAACTATACTGCTTCAGCTGACCCATTCTTGGAACACACAGAAGTAATTACCACAACAACCAGTAATTAGCAGACTACTGGTGGTTGAAGCCATAGCTGAAGCAGCAGTTCCTTAAGTCCCAGGCTTTAAAATAACTTACTTCTCTCTCCATAATACATTTGAATTAACATTATTCTTTCATCTCTTCTCATTTGAGCACTGTGGGAAGGTACAGATCAGAAAGCTTGACAGGAAAGCCCCTTAAGTGCCTTCATGCCTAATAATGGCACTTTAGGAGAGCAGCCCACTTTTCTGCATGGCTTTTCCACTGAAGTGTTCATGGCATCAGCAGTACCAGCAACAATTTGAAGACAGTTTTCTTCCCATATTAGTTGAAAGCAATTAAACTCTAGAGTTGGTTGCCAGACCCACACCCCCAGCTGCATGGGTCTGGGTGGTTTTTGGAGAGAAGCTGAAAGATGTGAAATGTAAACATGGTCCAAAAACTTGTGGTTTAAAAGAAATGGAAACAGGCATTTAAGCATAATGAAAATTCCAGGGAATTAAATCAAATCACTAAGTGCAGCATCAACATAAACAGAAGATATGTTCTCTCATAAATATCGTGACACTTATGTAACTAAAAAAAAAAATCAGTTATACAAAAAAAACCCACTAGGTCCCTAAAGTATTTAGGTTTCAAGTCTTTCTTTCCTCATCATCCCCTGAACAGGTATTTTTAAGCAGACCACAGATGAAGTGCTTGTTGGTCCTGTTAGAAACAAAAGCACAAGCTTTCCAGAACCCAGGCTGAAGCAGACATCGTAGCCTGATTGGGGGACCCATGATAGAGCCTGCTCTGAGTTAAAATCAGGTGAAAATGGAAACCATAGCTATACAACAACAATGGTCCTATAATAAATTGTTCTCAGAGGCAACATACCTGGTTGATGTTTAGATTTTATCTTTCAGAATATACTGACTGTGAAAAATAGTGATGGATGTGAAATGATTTACAGAATCTCAGTTCTGACCACACCAAAAGGATGCCACGTGTTGTAAACACTCCTTGCATTGATTCTAACAGTAACTACAGGCATGGCCACTTAAATGTCCTGAATTCACATGCAGGCCTGTGTCCCCATTGAATCACAAGACACTGAGGGCACAATTACTTAAGCCTTTTGCTGTTCTGGTCCAGAGCAGTATTGTGCATGGTGACATTTGGGTTTGGATCCTCAAACTGTTGTGTGGGTCTATACATTACCAGCTTGAATCACAGATCTTCATGAAGTGAAAAACCCTCACAGCAAAACTCCCAACAACTGAGTAATTTGAAGAGCCAAGCACTTGATTACACTTGTGAGGTTTGAATAAATGTAACTGTGGTATTTTTTAAATAGGTCTGGGCCATGTATTGTAATGAGCAGTTAGCAATTTACATTTTCATTAGTCATTCCCAAGCTCCTTTCCTACTGTTTTTAACAGAACCTTTAGGAAACTAGATGAAATTTTGATGCTTTCCCCCACTACTGTTGTTACATGTCCTGTTTACCCACCTTTCCCTGAGCCACCAGTTCCCTCTGGGCTGCTGAAGCTGACTTCACAAGGGCACTGGTAGCAGCTGCAATGGATTTAGCTGCTTCCAGGATCTGTTCTTCGAAATCCAGAGTCTCATCTGCTTGCTATAACCAAGAAAAAACAATGTTACACATTCACCTGAAAGCAATTATACTTTCAAGACTGAGGACATATACAAAGACAAGAAGATTCTGGAACACATCAGTAAAGTCAGTAAGACCTATAACATCATTTTCTGCAAAGGAGTTTTGTGTGGACTAAAGCTGGGAGTCAACATAAAGTATTTGCTTGCCCTTGTGCCTGCTCACACTGAAACAGAGCATCACACAAGATACTTAAAGCCATCAGCTTTCTAATGCATTGCCTCCACTAGAGCTACTCTAAGCCACATTCAGAAAAGTGCAGGTCTGAAAAGAAATTCTTGTATTTGCTATCAAGATTATCTCTGTAGTGCCATAATAGTGGCTTCCAAGATTGCTAAACTAGGGAAAGCATTTTCTAAATACTTAAAGATTTAAGGCATTGAAAAAGAACAATGATGAATATGTGCTGTCTCATTCACCTGCAGTAAGGAATGTAAAGTAGGTACCAAGTAAGAGCACAGATTTGACAGAGCTGTCATTGCACAGAAAGCAGCTTTGTGCAGCAGTCCAGTTCAGTGATCTTGGAGGTAGGAAGCTCCAAAGGTCTGTCTGGAACACTTCAGTCATCCAACAAGCATGTGCAAAACCTCCTAATGAGGTTTCTTACTATTTAAGATGTAAATTTATTGTTCTATAAAAACTTTCCTGACCTTCAAATAATTTAAACAAATATTGAAAACATTTGTCCATCTAAGCATGCTTACTAGCCTTTGAACAGTTAACAAAATTAGATAGACATGAACAGTTATTGTTATTTTAAACAGAACCAGGCCTGGGCCTTGTATTCTGATAGTTTTTTATGTAAAATAATCCAACAGAATGTATTTTTTGTGAACCAGTCACAAGCCTACTGGAATCCAAGGCTGTATGACAAGTAGGGCTAGTGGCTACAGTATCAGGACATCCTATTTTGTGAGAGAAAAGGCTGGTGAAATACAGGTTTATTCTAACTACAACCACAACATTCTTGTGTCACACAACTAACTTTAGAAACACCAGCCAGGTGGGCTAGGAGTTAAAAAATCGGGCACTTCATTTGCAAGTCTAAGCACATCCATCTAAATTTAAGTCAGGTTTAGTTCTCCTGTTACTGCAGTTTGATGAAATAGTCAATTATAAAATAATAAAGGATAATGATAAGTAATTACAAAATGACCCATCAAGCAGCACTCAGTCCTACAGCACTTCACACAACTGTCACATAGCTAAAAGTCCAGGAGATGAAACAACAGTATCCACAGACACCAGAAAAACTGAACCATCTGAAAATCAAAACTGATGTGTAGATAAAGGTGTTTGGCACTTTAATGTTTTTCTGTTTTTTAGGAAAAGCCACCTAATCCATGAAAGAATATTTATCTTGCCTTGCTATTGAGCTATTCCCATCAACTAAAGTATATGTCTTTGTAATAAAAGAAATTGCTTTGGAAAGTGAGCAAGTCATGTTCCACATAAAATTTTGGCAGTGCTTGCAATGCCACATCATGACCATTATTATACCAAAGTACAATCACACTGGCCCTCTACAGGCCTCAAGCCTTATTGATGAAACTGTTCTTTCAGTCATGACATTGCCAGAGTGATTAAATGGAATCCAGTAGAGTATCTATCAGAATTATTGTCCTTATTAAAACAGATGCATTATTGACTTTGATTTGACTAAAGACAAACAGGAATATCAACAAAAGTCCCACTGACTGACAGTCAATTTAGCAGACTGTTATTGTACTTTTACTTTTGTCCAAGATTTCTTGCTATCAAGTTCTAAAATTCTCATTTCCAACATAAAATATATTATGTGCATTACTCTTTATATGTCAGCACTGTCAGGAATTCAAACTCAAATGAGTGAGAACTTCAATATCTGCTTATTTATTACAAAGGAGGTGTCAGTCTTTGTTGACGTTTAATAAAGTGCTCATGGCCATAGTGTGATCTACTGGACAGCTGTGTATGTGCCCAAATGGAATTCAATTTGTGAAAAAACAGCCACCAAAAAGATGCTGAACAAAAGCAGTCGTAAGTCAGTTCAGGGTAGTGAGTAGACTAAATATTGCACACAGTTCCCTAGCAAAAATTAGTCCTTTGTAAAGAGAATGCCAAGAAATCAAAGGTTGCATTATCAGAGTGCCATTGTACAATGGCTGGATTAACTTCCACTCTGGAGCAGCAGGTGAAGCTCAACAGGAAAACAGACAGCTAAACCTTAGTATCTCGTCTAGTAACAGATTTTTTTCTCCCCTGTTTACCAAGTCACTTTCTTTCCAATTATACTGAAAACCGGGCTTGGGAAATCAAGCCATAGGTCAAGTTTCTCAAACTTCCAAGTCTTGCATTTTCTGACATCTCACAACTTCTTTTACTTCTGGGACAAAACCTCTTGACAGTTGATCCCTTCCGTGAAGAATTTATTTTTGGAGCAGCCTTACACAGCACTCAAACTGTTGAATGCCTGTAGGCTTTTCATCTTTTCTAACAAATCCTTCTTTTCCAGTCCTTCTCTGTGGTTTTCCCTTCACCACTCTCAGGTGTGACACACATCTAAGGGCTGGATACTCAGTGGGGGAGGGGCAGTGCTCAGCCAGCACTGTCGGTGTGCTACTGCCAAAGCTCTACCAAGAGCATTCCCTAGCAATAAGGACAGGAAGCAGCACAAGACTGAGCACAGCAAAATGGCCTACAAGAAAAGTAAATATTCCACCATTCCCACTGTTAAAAGTGTGTGTCTCCTGGACTGTCTTAAGTTCACACTTGTAAACAGTACTTTCACAATGTGTCAGTTCACAGTCTTCATGAATAAAGTTGAGAGCAGAAAATATCACATTGTGAGATTTTAGAGCAGGTATCTTTAGAAAAGCAGATCTATGACAAAAGTGATTAGCTTCTCCTTCCTCAAGCAGCCGCCATGAAGATCAGCATCTCATTTTCCTCACGCCTGAACTAATGTGCTGTTATTAACCATGTGCAGCTATAAATGGATTGGAAAATTAAGTCACCAGAATAGACAAACATTAGACTCAAGACAAAGTCTTTAGAATATATTATCCTTAAAATGTTGATTATGCCACTGAAAGCAAAACAAAAAGATATGGTTTTGTAGGGTATTTTAACCATTTTTCTACAGCATCCCATTATTAGGGGTAGCATAAATAAAGTCAGGGTTAATAGGAAATAGGAAAACAAATGAGCCACCAGTCTCATTGCAAGACAGTAGCAAAAATTGCAAAAGACAAACCATTTTATTTTCAAGCACCTCTAATCTACCTTATAATGAGCAAACTAATATGAGTAAGTTACTGCACTGAGCCATGGAAAGCACAATAACCATTTCAGTGAAAGTCAGTTCTTGGTGCAGCTGCTGCTCACTGTCACAAAGAGCCCTACACACCTTAGAAGTCCCACCAAGAGCAACTCTACTGATACAGGAGCACTCCATGTATGTATTTTATACCAGATTAGATTAGGAGTCTACAGGAAGTCTTCTAAACCTGCTTGTGAGTGACTGTACTCCTTCACATTGCCTTCTACTATGTTAAAACCCCCGGAGACAGGGCAGGACACTGTAGGAATATGTTTGATATATAGTTGGATTAAATAACAACCTAATATATCAAACATATCACACAGAGTCCTGCAGAAAATGGCATCCAGATTTGATTCATCTTGGGTTAAAAAAACAAAGGACCAACTGCTGAAAGCTACCAGCAGGGAACTCTTACTGACAAGACACCCGTGTCTGGAGGCAGAGGCCTGCACAGAAGCATGAAGAGCAGACAGAACAGGGTAGGGACAGCAATGCTCTCTCCTGTCATACCTCAGTGTTTTTTGCCCAGTATTAGCGTGAAGATTTTACTAGATGAAATAGTTTTCTTCTTCTGAAAATTACTAGTTTTGGGGGTTGTTATTTTACAGGAAGTAGCATATTTGCATAACAGAAGGAACATGTATCTGCATTGCAATACAACTGACTCTCCAAATGGAAAACAGAAAAAATAAGAGTCCACATTCAGGAAAAATGATTGTACTTAAAGGAAACATGACAGCCAACTCCTGCATGATAAACCATCAAGATCTCATTGCTTCTCAGATCATTTCCCACCTTGAACACTGCAAGGAGAACACTGAACATGTTTGGTGTTACAGATAGTAGTAACACCAGCTTCTTAGGAGAACCTCAAAGTTCTTCCAAGATATGAGCTCAGAAGACATGGTTCTGTGTTACAGACAGTAGTAACACCAGCTGCTCAGGAGAATCCTCAAAGTTCTTCCAAGATATGAGCTCAGAAGACATACAGATATTTACAGGGTGTCACTGGGGCTGTGGACTACTGGACTAAGCATTTTGGGAGCACATTGACCTGCAGCCAAACAACCAGGATTTAAAGCAAACAAAATAAGCATTGTACAACAAAGCACGGGCAGCAGTTAGCAGGACTGTGTCTCATTTGAAATTGTTCTCTGGGATAAGATGATTCCCAGTTGCAGAAAATGAAGAAGGCTCATGCTATTTGTGTCAGTTTAAGACATCAAGGGGGTATGACAGGTACAAAAATAATGAAGAGGAAGCAAGGAAAAGAAGGAAATTAAAAAATCCAAAAGTTAAAAAAAAAAAAAGGTGAAACAAATGAGAAGAAACCCTACCTTCAACTATTAGGGTTTTTTTAGAGGTAAAAGACAAACTGGAACACGAAGATCAAAATTTCAAGCTGAAATCAAATTACTCCCATTCCCTGCACTAATAAAAAAACTATATCAAAAAACAGAGAATCAGCCACCACCTAGTAATGATGAAGATGATGGATTTCCTGCAGGTAGACGTTCTAAAATTACCAACTGAGGACTCCTCTTCAAGTACACTTGATGATGATTGCTGCTAACCAAACAGGTTACTGTCTAGATAGTCTGTTCCATTGTAGAAAATAACTCCTATTCGTGCCTTTCATAGACTGAGCACAATACAAAGCAACCCTTACCTAGTCTACTATTCCTACTACAAGACTCTGTGTGTTGTCAAAGATGGGCATTAGAAAGCCAGAGCCTGTTCACCAGAGGAAATCCTACTCTGGGAGGATATAAGCTACAAGTCAGCAGCAGAAAAAGTGCTATTTGAGCCACTCTGTGATCTTCCTAGTAGCTTTTGATGTGGATTATAATCCCTATTGTGAAAGAGATTAAATATCTGAAAAGGATGCAGAAGCTGCTGAAATCCCAAATCAAACAAACAGCTGGATATGAATTTTAGTTTTGGAAAATGACAAACAAACCAGTAAGCCACAAGCAGACTGGATACCCAAATTAATATGTTAAATGATGAGCAGGTGTGAGGACTGTATTCACTGGGAAATTACAATGACCCTGGAGGGGCTTAGATGTTGGAAGGAAACTGCTCCATGGTTACCAGGCAACACACATGTGCTATTGTGCAGTGACTGTGTAGAAAAGGTGATGGAGGACTTTTCTACTCCTCAGACTCAGCCTGTGGAATCTCATTAAAAAGGACCATTTTTCTTTATAAACAAAATGGATGTACTTGTTGAAAAATGCAGACAAAGAGCATTTTTTTTTTTTCATGAGCTAATTTATTCTTACCACTACACAGGGAGTGGGGGGTGGGAGGTCCTCAAAGGCTGAAACTTCCAAGAACTATTTCATCTGATGCTCCTAAATAACAAAATACTACCCTGCACCAATACAATCATCCAACACTGAATGAATGGTCTTGAAGCTCTGCTTTTTAGAAAGACTTCTCATTAGCTTTACTTTGAAAACAGATTTGCACCTACAAAGCAGCATAAAGAGGAAAGTAGATACATAGTCCTTTCCTGACATCAATTACACAGCCCAAACATGTTTTTCATTTCAAAGAGATGTAACATAGTAATTTCTACTAAAACCTGCCTGTTAATACCAGGCAAAAGGTAGCAAGTCTCTGGGTTCCACCAGTTTCATATATTCCCTCTGTTCTGCATGTGAAAATAGTTGGCTTAATTTTATAGTATCTGCAGAGACACACTTGAAATGACCTGGCAACATGCAACACTACTTGATGTCATAATGAACTGTAATTTAATTTCCTTCAGGAAAATGACACAGAAGATCATACAATGTATCTGATTCTATACTGAAACAGCTACTCTCTAAGCATGGCATAAAATGCTGGTCTTAGTCTTAGAAAATCCTGCAGGTCATTTGCATTCTCTTGATCCCAACTGTGTTACTGCTGCTTTCTCCTGCTGTACTACACAAATTCAGATGTGAACAAAGGGTCTTCAAAAGAAAGCAAGTAAGAATGACTACACAGCAGTAAAATATGTTTGGAAACAGAAAGGTAAACAATCAACAGTAATGATGCCATAACTCTTATAAGCATTTCTAACATTTGGCTCCTCTTCCTTTGCTTGGTTATGGCTGGTGCTTGACTCACTCCCTGAAAAGCACCTTTTTACCCTCTGCCCTCAGGGGTAAGTGCCATCCAGAGCAGCATTTTGTGGCACTGAGACTCATGCAAGGTTTGATTGCTTACACCATTATTGTGGCCAGTAGCAAAAAGTGCATCCTCTGCCTTGTTAACCTCAAACAAACAATGGGGATGGACACTCACCTTGGGCTTGGCTCTTGGTTTCAGCTGCTCTAACTTCTTTGCTGCAGCCTCAATTGATGCTGCAGCCCCTAATAGCTCTGTCTCTGCAATGACTGTTGGGTCTTCTGGATCCACCCACTCTGTCCCTGAAATTAAAGGAGATGGAGACAATAACTTCAGTGTCACTGTGAGCTGCCACTCAAACAGAGGGAATTCCAATCACCCCTCAAGTGTCCAATACAGAATGTACACCACAGAAGGCTGATTTTAGTGCCATAATGGCATGAAAACAGTGGTTTATGTCACAGAAAACTGTAAAGCAGAGAGGAAAGAATTATTTAGTAGGATTATTCTTTCATGAAAGTAACTTAATAATTGTGTAAGCAAAGAAGCTTCCAAAGGGGATACTGTCCATACTGGGAACAAAACCAGCTGTCACTCAACTTGTGTTTATCAAAGGTGCTACTCAGATGGCTCCTAATTTGACCAAGCCATAGGGAACATTGAGAAGTCTGACACAGTGGTAGAGAGAACAGGCTACAGCCAACAGAGTCCCCCCCAGCACACTCTGCAGTCAGCCCTGCACTGACCTGGCAGTCTGTTCACTGGCAGTGGCTGGGGATGAAGTTAGCCCTGACTGAAGGAAGCACACTTTTGGCTAAAAGTGTGTGTCTAACAGTGATGTAGAAAAGGCCAAAGCAATTTCTGTATCACATCTGAGGGGTAACTTTTTTTTGCTGTTGACTTTTTGTGTTTCTCAAAGAAATTTTGTAGATGAGCAAAATGAATACTTGATATTTTGGAAGTTGTCAATGCATTATTATTTTTGACTTCCTAACATCATTCTCTGAATTGCAAGATTCAGAAAGCATCCATATTCTGAATTGAGGGAAACAATGAAACAGCCAGAAGTTCACAACTTCTGAGGGCATGGTCTAAAAGCCATTTCTCAGCTCAAATGCTGTACAGGATGAAGATGTTCTATATTAAATCCTAATACTGGCTGAAAAACAGGATAAAGAAAAAAAAGAAGGCAGCAAGTATAAATGCAGTCAACCCCAAATTTGTAAAATGTAGTAGTTCCTCTTCAAAAAAAGGCATTTCACAAAGTTTAAAACATTTACATGTTGAATTTGTGTACCTATAAATGAAAATGAGGAAAGAAAATTGTGAATGGCTAAAACACATTTTACTTCCCACAAAAAAAAGCTTCTAAAGTGAATAAAGACATCTTCTACAGGCAGCATTTGAAAAAAAGAAATAAGAAGTGGTTTTTGATTTTAGTGAATATGAATTAAAATGCAAAAATTGCCAGAAATTAATAAATGCATCCAAAGATGAGAACGATATAGAGATTTATAAAAAACACTTAGGGAATAGAAGAAGTCTAATATTGGCTTGCCTTGTTAGCAAATGGAACAGAAATTTTGAAATATAAGAGAATGTAGGAAAAGCTGAAGAATTCAATAAAGCTACTTGAACAGGGAAATGCATAATGTAGATGACTGTTCTATGAAAAAGAGTAGCTCTATTAAGAGATAAGGAGAGAAGGAGGAAAGAAAAAATGTATTCCCATTTATGAAAATTGCTTATAGTTCAGATTCATTTCCAAGGATCATGTCGTGGTAACAGCAGGAAATAACTGAGGAGACCCTGCAGTGTATGTGACACACAATATCAGGTCATTATTTCTGGAGTAATGAGCACACCACACTGGTAGCCTGGCTTCCCAACTCACCCTTCATTGCTTCTGCTGATTGGATAAGCTCTGTGACAGCATTTGCCACCCGCTTGGAGAAAGAGGCCAGCTGATGCTTTAGCTCTGGAGTTGCTTTTTGAAGAATCTAGAGAAAGAGAATGCACATTATTAAGGATTCCAGGATGCTGGAAGATTCCCAAGGCACTCTAGTGAAAGATTTATTTTGTATAGCAATTGTCTGAGAGCCCAGTGAGAGACCTGTAACTGTCAGTGAAGCACCAGGAGCAAAGGCTTACACTGCAATGTTGGGTGCACACCAGGAAAGTGGCACTGCCTTGTACAGCTCCAGACTTCCCCTCAACTCAGGATGGATCAACACTGACCAGGATGGGGCATATGGATGTGCAGGAGGTCAGGTCAGTCTTGATTCTCACTAGTACAGCTTACAAGGAGTTTTACTCAGATGTGCAGGCAATTCAGCTGGAGTTAGCATGTTCCTGGCCCTACCCCTAGCTAGTTGATTAGTGGAGTAGTCCTTTGAGCAAATAAGTCACTTTGTGCCACTTGCCCACCCCTAGCTAGTTGATTAGTGGAGTAGTCCTTTGAGCAAATAAGTCACTTTGTGCCACTTGCCCAATGCAACCTCTACACAAGTTAATACACTGGCTTGAGAAATTTTAGATACTGCACCTGACAACTCTTGCACCCAACATGTATAATTTTCAAAGAAATATGGCTGCTGAATGCCCCTTGGCATCCCTGTGTTGAGGCACCCATGCAAGCGTGCCTAGCCTGACCACTGAGGGTATAGCTGAACTGACAACTGCATCACAGGGTGCCAGATGGACCAGTTAGATTCCTAATCCTATATGATCTGCATTTCTGGAGGTTATAAATTAATGAGATTGCAGACCTAGGGGCTCTAAACCACCAGACACAGCCAACACTGCAGAAGGGGCACAGGGTGGTACAAGGGGGCAGAACTTGCTCGTGGCTTCAGGGCACTGAATGTTAAAAGGCTTAAGGTAGAAAAGGCCTGTTACTTGGATAAAATGGAATATGACTTTCTTACCCTAAGCCTCTTGACTTGGTAGAGAGATAGAAATAAAATGAGCAAAACTGATTCAAGTGTTTGGTCTGTTCTGGCACTTAGTTTGAAACACATAGTGCTAGTCACTATGTGTTTAAAAAAAAAAAATTCCCCACAGTCCTCTAAACTAAAAATGGATCAGACATGTAATGCTAAATCACTTACTGCAATACAGCTCTAAGAATTCCACTAGCAAGTTCCAGTTTTTTTGAACTATTTTACCTGATAGTGGCAAGCACAACTGTGGCTGGACTTTTACTTTATATATAAATTTCAGCGAGTTGATGCAAATAATTACCATGCTCTGTTCTCAGCAGAAAAACTGATTTGGGTTTGCTAATCTGCAGTTATGGCTGCAAATTTCAGTTTCAGAGACTGTAATATGTCAGCTGAGAGCCACCTAAAAGAAATTGCTGATCATCCATGAGCTGATTGCTGATTTAAGTCTTCTCCAGAAACTTCAGTATCTCATAAATGTTAGTTCAAACACATTTTATTGCTTCCTACAAAAGTAAGAGCAACAGAGGAACAAATATTGTGGGATAACCAATATATTATGGGATAATTATGTATGGTCAAGCAAAGCCCACTGACAGCAGGATTCATGAGTTTGGATTTGAGGTACAAGTGTCATGCAGAGCTTTGGGGGTGCCATATCTGATGTGTTGGAGAGTTCTTTGTGAGGCAGTGCTGGCTGGGGATTTTGGGATGGCTTGGAGTAGGTGTGGCTGTGAGAGGCATGTAACAGTGCCTCCATAAAGATTGTGTAACCTCTTCAGTCTGGGGGACAGGCCTGTGCCTAATATGTCTAGTGTTTCTTGAGGGCTTAAAAGAATGCTGAAATGTCTTATTTTAATTCCTGTGTCAGGAACCTTTTTTAGGTTCAGATCCATATTGCCTCCACTCTGATCCAGAATTCCATTTAAGTACTCCAGTATTCCTTCTGTCTCACAGTTAGAGCTGAAGTATTGAGTTTCCATTAACTTTCTCTGACAAAAAACTTCATAACCTTGTGACAAACTGATAAAAACGTATCACTAGCAGTCACTATGGAATGAGGGCAGAGAGATGACTCTCCTTGAAGCAACCCAGTATCTGCATGCAGGTGACTCCTTACCAGGAGAACATGCTCCAGGAGCTCCAGGTAGCCCAGGGTACATTCCGTTCCAAAGCGCAGGGCTCTCTCCCGAACTTCCTCACTCACATCTGGGTGATAGGATGCTTGCTGAGGAGGCAAAACAACATTAGCATCCAAAATGGCTCCCACAAGAGATCAGTACAGAGATGGGGGAAAGAGAAGGGAGGAGATTTTTTTCTAGTGTGCAAATGACATTTGAGCTTAAGGGCCGGCTGTTTCATTAATGGTGTTAGCTTGACAGAGAGATTTAACACAGCAATAGCAGTGCTGGAACCGTCTGTTTAAATACAGAGAGAAGCTGCAGCACTGTCAAGTCTTTGTGAGGATTTCCACCAAGTGTAATGTCTGGCATCTGACATAGGCCCGACTAATTAAACCATTTTATTTTTAATAAAAATGAAACCTGCAGCCTCTTGAAGCCTTGTATTTTCTACAATAAACTTCTAGGGAACTTTTTTATTGAGCAGAAGTACCACTTGCTGCCAAGTGGAAGTTCCCAAAACGCATAGCATTTCCTCTCACAGAACAGTTCCTTCCATTCCTGCGCCTCTTATCTCCGTTGAGATGGGGATTATCTCACGGCTCACTTATTTTCGGCCCTTCCTGCAGCCCCGGGCGGGCGCTGGGCTCCGGGCTCCCTCTGCAGGGGAGCTCGGGATGAGCGGAGCACGGACGGCCCGAGGAGCCGCCTCCGCTCCTCGTCCTGCACCACCCTGGCCGAGGGCAGGACATGGGAGGAACAGGACTGATTTTCCTCATCTCCGGCATACTTCAAACAGCTCCCGAAGCCAAAAAAGTTCAGAACAGTTTTGGTGTTTTTTTTGAATTTTCAAACAGGGCAAAGGGCCCCGGAGTGTTTCTTATGTATACATTGTAAAGCATCCTAAAATGTCTCTTCTGCAGTTAAATATTACTGTAACACAGGGAATTAGAGCAAGCATCTGTAGGAGGGAAATAGAAAGTTCCTTCTGTGTTTTGCATACGTAGCCAAGACTGGTATCAGAGTATTTTGGGAGTATTTTTAAGGTTCAGTATAAATTCTATGTACTTCACAGCAGCCTAAAGAGGTGACAGAAGTTGTTTTAGTAAATAGTTTCTGTAACCCAGACATCTCACTACACCATGGGGGAGTCACAACAGAAATGTCTTCTCCTCCAGCAAAGTTGCTTTAGTAAATAGTTTCTGTAACCCAGAACCATCTGAACACACATCTCACTACACCATGGGGGAGTCACAACAGAAATGTCTTCTCCTCCAGCCCTGGGCAGGTCTGCCCAAACATCTCAAACTGAAACGTGTCTGAAGAAGCAGAACACGTATTTGTTTCCTCATGCTGAGGCTCCCTTCACTATCAGCCCTCCTTTTCTCCCCAGTGCTTTCCCAGCAGTAAGGCAGCCAGCACTGCTGCCTCTGGCACAGCTCCTAGCCCGTCAGCAGCACGGTGCCTCGGGCAGGAAGGTGTGTGGGGGCTGCTGGGAGCTCCCCCGGGGCCATCCCTTCCCTGCTGAACCACAGCTGGGCTGTGTCTTCTCCCAGGGCCTGTGCTCCAGCCTGGGCTCTGCTTCTGCCTCCAGTGCTGAGAAAAGGTGAGAAGTCGTTTCCCTCAATCTACTGCCTATGGAATGATTGCTCACTTCCATTGCTTCCCATGGGTTTGATGGGCCTTTCATATCTGCTTCCTTTCCAACAGCAATCACTACAAATAGTGATACTGTGCACAGGTTAATTATGGCATTATTTTATACAAACATGTAATAAAAAACCGAAATTGTTAGCTTAGGGCCTGCTCTAATGTTCAATAAATGTAATTACAGCATTTCCACTGACTTTAATGAGAGTTGTCTCAGTACATCCCACAATAAGCATGCTTATTGTCTTTTGAAATGGCATCTGCTCATAACAACTGAATTAGTAATGAGCACTGTAAATTCATCTCAGCAGACCGAGCACAGGCATCTACATAACTGTTAATTCAAGCTCCTTATACTACTTGCCTTAGGCAAGAGGCAATTAAATAGAACTTGCATTCAAATTCCTGGCACTGGGGATGTCAGAGCTATGTTCTGTTCAATTCTACCATAGATCATAGACATGCACTTTTTTCTCAGCCCAAAGAACATAAAAATCTGATCATCTATCTGTGCTATTTCTACAGAGTAACTTAATACCACTATAAAACCCCTCCAGTGTTTGTCAAATATCACAAAACCTAAGTCCCATTGCATCACACAGTTTTTACAGCATAGTAGGGCTAAGACTGCTGGTTCCTATCCCTAAAATTCAAGGAATGTGGCTTATCATGGAAATGTCACATCCAGTTTGTAGAATTAATGGCATAAGTTTTCTAAGACTCTGATCAAAATTTGTAGAAACAAGATTTTCTAAATCAAGTCTGGTTAAAACTCTGCATTTAAAATCTTTGTTAAATGATACAGCTATTTTCTCATACATTTTAGGTAATGCATAAAATTAGTGTTCTTGGAGACTTTTATTCTTGTTTGTCCAATAAATGCTCTTGGTCTTAAGAAAGTGGACTACATCTCAGGCATTGGCACTGTATCCTTACAGCAAGTAAAATGATCCCCAGCCCTTTTCCTTCTGTTGATTCCTTTCTTTGTGAAAGCAACTCCCTGGGAGATCACAAAGGCTTTTCCAGCATCCCAGACCTCCACTGGTCTATTTACAGGAAGTTTCATCCTGTCAGCCACTTACAGTGCACAAACGACTCAAAATCATTAAATTAACTGGGAGCAAATGTAAACAAGAAACATAAAAAAGGAATGTTCATAAATAGATGTTTGAAGGTATGTACTGGGCTGTGCATGCATGGAAGTATTTTATAACATTACTAAAATCAGAGGTTTCTGTTCTTGAGACTTTGCTGTCTGTTTGGAAAGACAAATCAAAATCTGAAGCATGCAAAGTGGTCAAGAATTGTTAGACATTAAAAAACCTGCTACAAAACTAAGTCAATATACAAAGTTTCATTCAATGGTTTAGTATAAAGGCAGTTCTAAATTAGAACTTGCACTTTTGAAAAAGAATCATTTTAAAAACAAACATAACCCTTCTGTTTGGGCAGTATTAGGCCAAAAACCAGTCTGGGACTGATGTAGGCAGTTAGGATTTGATCAGATACTGAAAATCAGACACCACACACAGAGCACCATTATTTTACTGTCACCTTCCATACATGGAAAAGCAAAAGTAACTGATTTACAGGCAAAGGCAGTTTACTACTACAGTTACTACTGAAAATTAAATGGAATGAGATCTTCATAATCCCATTTCTTAATCATTTATGCCTAGATATTTTTATCATCAGAACAAGGCCAAATGGCTTAACAGTCATTTATGTAGCATACAGTGTAGAAAATAGAGCTACACTATTTTTATAGGGCTACAGCTTTTTTTATTAAAAAAAATTGCAATAAAAATTGCACACATTTTTGAAAAGCACAAAAGAAATTGAGCAAACCAACAGATTTAGTCAAGGGGAAGAGAACTGCTAAAGATAGATCAGAGTGATTTCTTCACCAATCCTTTCACTGTTCTAGGAATATTGAAATTATATTTGTGACCACAGGAATATTGGTATATTCTACTACTTGCACAAATTGTTGTCTTCTGACTGGAAACCAGGGAATTTCAGCTCAAATAAAATTCCTCATTTTCACAAAAAGAACAGTGAAACAGTGAATATTAGTGCTGGGTTTTGGTTTGTTTTTTTTTTTTTGCATGGTACAAAAAATCCTGAGAGAAGTTCCCTTAAAATTATGAATATTAGTGCTGGGTTTTGTTTTTTTTTTTTTAGTTTTTTTTTGCATGGTACAAAAAATCCTGAGAGAAGTTCCCTTAAAATTTTCTTCAATTTCTCATATGAAAAGCAGAAAACCGAAAATATATAATGCTCTATGGATTTGGAAGCACGCAAACACAAAAAGACCAATCTTAGGCAAGGAAGGGAATCTTTACCTTACAAGCTGTTAGCATGTCAGCTACTGCTTTGCGGCTCAGATTTGCTGTAGCAATCACATCCTCCTGCCTGCACGAGTTCCCAGCTGCAACGGCTTTGGCAGTTGCCATGGTGATTCCTTTCGTCATCCGGATTGATTCTTCAGGTGATGATGTCTTCTCTGGAACCTCGCTCGACTGAAACACCTAAAAGTGAAAGCAGAAGGAAAGTCTGATACCAGTCAAGTCAAAGCAGAGCAACCTTGAGAAAGAGACAGCGAATGGAAGCAGCCTTTAAGCAGCAGGAAATCAGAAACACATTTGGAGTACTTGGATATCATTCCTGCTTGTCATGGGCCTGGATCTGATAAGCCTGCTCACCTACAGACACCAGAGAGGAGCATTAAGCTGAGGGAAGGAGACAATAAAAAAGGTTAACCCATTCATCTCATCTGCATTTAACTACAGGCAGCTGTTCAGAGGCTAACCAGATGAAAAGAATTACTGCTCCCTTCATTATATTCTTTTCTTGTTTAGACTGCTGTTTAGACTTCTCTGCTCACATGAGGAGATCCTTCCCCTGCAGAGGCTGGACCTTACCAAGGGCTTGTTGATAGCACAGAGCAATAGAGACTGAGAACATCACCACTAAAATATTCAAATGTGTCTTAAAAAAGCAGAGGTGGAGCGTTGTCTCTGTGACTATATTTAGTCTCCCTTAGAAACCTGAAGACAGAATTTTGCAGGGTGAATAATGTGAAAGTAGTTCAAATTATCTGATAAAACACAAATTCTGGAATACAGGAACTGTGGGAAGACATGGGTAACAAGAGCTGCACAACCTTACTTTGATCACATATTTTCTTTAGTCTGTATTTGCTTGCCTTTCTTTTAATATACAGCCTCTATTTGCTTGCCCTTCTTTTACTGTGCAGGGGCAATTTGGAGTGCACAATTAATTAGGAGATTTCTTGACCACACACAGTGCAACCTAAGCAGGCCAGTGGTTTCAGAATGCAAATGTCTGGACAAAAATGAGCCTGGTCTATCCTGTGCTCCTGGTAAATCAGTTTTTCACTTCCTCTCTCCAGAAACAGAAGCAATGTTAAAAAATTTATTCTAGTTATACATGTGAAGACATCCCTCGATGTTGCTCAGAGTCAGCCCCTGGAATTCCAAATCAAGCCTGACACATTTTCTCAAGTACCTATGTGTCACTCTGTTCTCTCCATGAATGAGATGACAACACCACAACCAGAGGTCCATCCCTCAGCAAAGCTGACAAAAGCAAGAGGAACATTTCAAACAGATACCAACCAAACTCAGAAAGACATGATAATCCAGTGACAGATCTGAGCAGGTTTTAGCTTAGAGTTACAGGATGGGATGTAACAGCCAGGCCTTCATGAGGTACACGACAGTAACTTGTGAGATATTGTACAGAACGTGCCTGATCAGGTACCAGATCAGGAGGTTTTATGACTGCCATATGAATTCCCAATAACTATAAACAGATGGTTAAAAAGAAAATATTTTAAAATAAATTTCCTCATTACAACAGCTTTGCTCACACAGTGAAAACTGGATGTTTGATGGAGAGCATTTGACAAGAAAAAATGGTGCCACAGTGCAGTTATGGTGTAAGAATTGCTAATCCACAGCCTGTATAACAAAGCATTTCCTGCTGAAGACTGTGTCTACAGGGTTTTTCAATAAAAATGGACTGAAAGTAAAGGAAGGAAAAAATCAGGCTTCTTCACAATCATGCAGGTTTAATTTATGTCATTCACGATTATACTAGTAAAAGGTATAGTCAGGGGTTTTTCTTTACTAGTATAATGTCTTAAGAGGAAAAAAAATAATTGCCATGGTATAACACCTAATGTGAGAGAGAATTCCACACTATCATTAATTCCTGCTTACACAGGATATCAATAGCAGGCCATCTATCACAGGTATGATCATTCCATAATAAAGGAAAAATAGAAACGAGTTTAAACTGCAGACACAGTATGAGAGTGATGTTGAGGAGAACCTACCAAAGCCAGGATCAAAAAAAAGTGAACAGCATCAGATCACAAAACAGTACCTGTACTGAAAGCTTAAGGTCTAAAGAAAAAGGAATCAGTTGCTCCCAGCTTCTATAAGGACACACTTGCAAAACCCACTAGGACAATTTCGTTCTGTACCGTGAGCTCCTGTTTGATGTACTCAATTGTGGCCTCAAGGGCTCTTGTCCCTCGAGTAGCTTCATCTTCTACTGCTTTAACCGTCTTCAAGAGGGATGTGACATTTGTTACCATCACCTGAAGGAGAGAAACGAAGACAATAACATGTGAATCCTTCCTCCTGTTTTCAGGGTATGAAGCAAGGCAAGCTGGGAGGCATTGTTACTTCTAATAGGACCTAAGAGACTTCATGAATTCTACTTGTTACAGGACTAAATATCAACTCTTGTGTTGGCCATGATACCATGATAATTAAACAAAGGAGTTTTCAGGCAGTTAGATATTGCTGAAGTCAAAATTCCACGTGTTTATCACATGTGATTGCACAGACATTTGCAAATAAAATTTAAGACTATGGTTTTACCTTGGCAGCACCTTTCAGCTGGTACATGGATGGATCATCTGCTGGTTTGCTGGCAGCTCCTTTGGTAGCACCAATGAGATCAGAAAGGGCCTTTGCAACATCCTTGATAGCATTGATTAGAACAACCTATGGAATGAGAAATAGCCATAAGGCTCAGGCAATAAAGTGTGTCTGCATGAGGGTGTGATTTTTAGAACACAGCTAAAACAATCTGTGTCTTTTTCAAACATCTGCAGTATTCTTGCCTGCTTCCATTTTACTGAGATCCAAACAAGAAACTGAAGAAATATTAGGGATAATCCACATGAAAATGTTGTAGTGTTAATTGAAAAACAAGACACATATAGCTGGAGAATGGCAAGAGTTTGTCAGCCTACACAAATAACACACAGCACAGTCCAGACATAAGCTGGATAAAGCAGCTTTAAAGACCTGCAAGCTCTTCAGAACAAAAATGGGATGAGCCAGAGTTCCATTCACAAGTTAATAAAAAGAAACCAAATACTTTGCCAGAAGCATCCCAGCTGGAAGACAGCAGTGAAGTAAAAGCAGAAGGATTATACAAAGGTCTGACTAGTTCCAATCAATGCTTGAGCCTTTTGACTGTATTCTAAACAAGTGATATCTGAGTAAACCCAGAAAAGTCCCAGAGGAGAAGAACCATATTGTTTGTCTTAAATCATTAAGTCACACAAAGTTCTGCCAAATGAAAACTGTCCTCTGTAAGAGTATCAGAAAATCTTAAAACATCTTACCTGTGTTTCAGGATCATCAGATCCTAAGCTAGCTGCTCCCAATTTTACTACCTCAGCAAGCTGAGTGATGGTGTTAGCTGATGACTGAGCTGCTTGGGCCAGTTTGTCCTGACTTGAGGCAGCACCAGAAACCAACAACTTTGTGTCTTCAACTAAAGCTTTTGCTGTTTTCAGGATATTTTCCCTGTGGCAAAATAAGTGGAAGCAGGGAAGGAGTGGAAAATGAGAAGAGGGGAAAAATGTGTTTTCCACTGTTATGGTGACTAAAAGCTACATGAGAGAGCTGATCTAAATCATCATATCAGTGTCCGTTCATAACATAACACAACACAGGTCAAGGGTGTAAGTTAAAAGAAAAAAACAAACCAAAAAACAACTATTAAAACAGCAGCAGAGCATCTGGGGCAAATGCAGGGCAGTATAATAAAATGAGCCCATCTTGAAAAGAAAGAGATTGGGCAGTAGCATGGGAGAGCATTGTATGTGAATGCTAAAAGAAAATCTGGCCATGCTGTGAGAGAAGTACCAGCTGTTGAACACCCATAATAATCAACATATTGTAAGAAAAACTAAAGTAATTACAGCTGAGGAAGGTAGAAGGAAAAATGGCAACAGGAACAGCAAGTGTGTCCTGGTCAGGGTTCCCCACCCCCTCCCACCCATATCCATGTATTGACATGTCAGGACAACAAATCCAAAGCAACATTTGGGTAAAAGAAGAAATAATTTTGAGCATGCAGTTCACAAACTCAAATCCCAGGTTTCCTATTCCTCCTCTCACTCCCCTGCCTCATTGAATTTCATTCGCAGGAATACAAAAAAGTAAAAATTCATCTCCGTGTCCCAGTCTCTTCAGTTCCACTGTTCCCCTGGGCATGCACTCTTCCATCTTTGTCAGCAACACTGACCTGTGATCTGCAAATGATTATGCAGTTCACAAACAAGTCAAATCCCAGGTTTCCTATTCCTCCTCTCACTCCCCTGCCTCATTGAATTTCATTCGCAGGAATACAAAAAAGTAAAAATTCATCTCCGTGTCCCAGTCTCTTCAGTTCCACTGTTCCCCTGGGCATGCACTCTTCCATCTTTGTCAGCAACACTGACCTGTGATCTGCAAATGATTCATTGTTCTCAGCATTAAGGGTTCCAGCAGTAGCAAACATGATAGTGGTGTCCAGATCTGCAATTATCCCAGACACAGCACTGGCTGCAGTAATACAGGCCTGTGTGCCTTTGTTCCCTGCCTGGAGGGCAGATAAAACCAAGGAGACCTGGAAACAGCAAAAAGCAACAAGGTGGTCATCGAAAGAAGGTTGGTCCTCTCTTTATCAGCTTTAACTTGAATTACAAGGTATTGTCTGTCTAAATTTGGAATTGTCACTACTCCCAGTCATCGAAAGAAGGTTGGTCCTGTGAATCATTACTGCTCTCTTTATCAGCTTTACCTTGAATTACAAGGTATTGTCTGTCTAAATTTGGAATTGTCACTACTCCTGGGATACATCATGAAGCTGGTACAGAGAGCACACTAACACAGGCTGAAGCGATGGTGTTTGGTGAGATCTGAAAAGTGCTGGCACCAACTCTCAGTGTTCATGTCCAATAAAAGGAGAGAGATGCCATCAAACAGGTTCAACAAAACTACCCAGGCCATTTATTTGAAGGGGATGTTTCCAAGGAACAAGAAGCCCCAGAGTTTGAAGGTGCTGTTCTAGGCAGTTACTTCTGTCCTAAAAGGGGAGGACATTGCTGCATGAAACCACAAGTCACCGACCAACCTCACAGAGTGGCCAGAGAGTGCCTCATAAGGCACAAGAGCCATCTCACATCTTAGGATATTGTTTTGGACCAATCTCCCTCTGACAGGAGGTTGAAGTTTTATTGCAAGGCCTGAGGAAGAACTAATCATGGGCTAATCCAGCACAGGAACACTGAATGCTTGAAAGAAAAGCAAGACTTTTGGTAATTCAGACACTATTGTACTACAATGCAAAGTTAAAAGAAACAGTTTTCTGAATCCAGTTTGACTGGTTTACTCCCAGTGGAAGCCATCTTACCTTTTCTGTGACTGCACGAGCACATTCTATCAACTCCCTTTTGGTGTAGCTGTCTGTAGGGCAAATCTGGAGAGCTCCAGCTTTTTGTACAAGAAAGATACACCCATGGCCAAGTTCCTGCACCCGAGTCCTGATCTGGAACCCAATCTAGATGGTAAAGAAGGCATAGGGAAAAGGAAGAAAGAAGAAAGCAAATAAATAAATGCCATGCTGGTACACTGTGTCAACAGAAATGGAAACACCATCTCTCTGGTGAATACCAATATTCTGCCCACCACTATATCCTCTGCAAAGATTAGAAAAAAAAGCACAGATGTAATTCCATCTACACACAAACCACAACGATATAAAAGGCTCCCTGAAGAAACAGGGCAGGAATGACTTGGGAAAAAGAAAGGGTAGGGTAGGTAACCAAGTCAAAGGGACATAATTCAACTTCATATTTAAACAATGCTACTTCATCATCCAGAACTGCCCTGTCAGCATAAGCTGTACTCAAGGTATGTGCAACAGGTAAAAGCACAAGATACTGTACATTGCTGAAACTGGGTAAAAAAGTACATAAATATGTGATTCTCTTTGATTGGTTTTGAAGCTTTCACAGTCCTCACTCTCCAGAATCAATCACATCCATGTGGAGCACTGAAATGGGGAAAATCCTGCTATTACTGCTTCCAGTTTATTAATAATCCCACATCCTGAGATGTGCGGTCCCCGTTTTGAAACATGATAGCTGTAGTCCCCGCATGTATGCTGTCATTCCAGTGTGATTTGGGATTAATACATGAGCAGGAATCACAGCCATTAGTATCACAAACTGAATTATTTTAACCTCAGGCACAAACATGCAGAAATCGTAATTCAATTTAACAATATTGAGCCAAGTGCAAGGCATTGCTTTTCCCGTAGCTACTGAGCACAAAACATTTAATTAAGTCTATCAGCAGGATGTGTAAGCACAAAGTCAAAAACTCTTTAAAGGACTTTTAGGTAGATAATCTGATACATCTGGAGAAGGTGAGATACCCTGTACCCCACCTTGACAAAGTTTGTCTATGCTCCAGTAAGAAGAGAGGGGTGAAAGGGCTGTGCAGTTGTGCTCAGAGAGGATGCAGCAACTCCCACAACAGGTTAATGCAACTGAGGTGAACAGCCCGTCCTCCTCACTTAGCATGAGGCAGGTAAGATACTTCTCCCACATCACATTCCAGCTCTGAGCTGTGGAGGATGTCCTTCAGCAAAAGACACTTGTGCCCCAACTGCTTGCATGAATTTCACTTTCAGGATAGCAAGTTATACTTAAAATCACTTACAGGCAAGATAAAAAAAGCATATAAATATTTGTAACTTGTCAAAACATGCAAGATTGAAGTAAAGCCACATAATAACAAGTTAAGAGTTTTAAGAGTTTTCATTGTATTTGCAAGTTGCCTGTAAGTGAAAGCTCAAAGTAATTTAGGAGGTTCTGTTGTATTCTACGGAATTATCCACTTTTATCCCGAGCTGTTTCTTTCTGAAGCCAGACAGAGGTTTTGACAAAGGGTTTCTGTTCTTTGACTGGGCAATTCTTACAACAAGGCTTGTCACCTTTACTGTGTTCTTCACAGTAAAAGAACACCCTTGTTAACACCACCATGTACAGAGAATAAAGAGGTCTAAAAAGCGCAGACCTCCTCTGGTTCTGCCGTAGCTGCAGCCATTCGGCCCTGGAGAGCCAAATGCCCATAGTCATTGGTCATTTGCGATGCAAGTCCTCCCAGCTCCTCCGGGTTAGTAACCGACTTAGTCATCTGAAAAAAGAACACAGGCAAGAGAAACAGAAAATTGACAGGCATGAGAATAACTTGTTAATACACCCCAGATTAGAAGCACACTCATCCGTTTGGCCACGCTGATAAAATGGAGTAATCCGCTTGCCATGGAAGGGACGTGTCCTCCAGCAAGAATTCCAGAGGAAACCCAAGCAAACATGCTTTATTAGAGTCATGGCAACTGGGCAATTGCTGCAGATACAGAGGAATCCAAGAGCAGCAGTTAGAGCCAATATTTCACTCTTTGACACAGAGGGACCATTGGCCAGGTACAGCTGTTCAGACTGGGAAGGAAAGTGGGGTTTGTATGTCACAGCCACCTTATTTTGTCAAAGGTGAGCTAATCCCATCAGCCTCAGCTGAGACGTGGAAGTACAGAAACAGAAAAAATCTGAGGACTGATGCAAAACACATCTCAGATGAGGGAACAGGATGGAGAAGAAATAGGCAGGATGACACAGAATGTCTCAGTAGAATGTCAGTACAAATAACTGAATTTCTCTTTAGAAAATTCCTACCTTTTAACAGAGATAGTTCTTCTGTCTCAAATTAATGTAAGTAAGAGCAAAGGAAGTCCATTCCTGGGACAAAACTAGTTTTAGACAAATTTCTACTGTCATAGATAGCAGAATTATGGACCTGCCTTGACTGCAAGAGCAATTGACTTCGTGAAAAATCCTGTCTGTAGCACTCATGAACAGCCACCTCAACTCTCTCAACAACAAATTAGCAACCACTGTACTGTTCCAAGGGAAGATACATTATGCATTACTGTGAAACACAAGTCAAGAAAAATCTCAGTTCAACAGGTGTCACTTTTTTCTTTTTTTAAACCCAGGTGAGTCATAGAAATGAAAGAAAAGGACAGTGTGGGATGTTGATTTGCATTCATTCATTAAGCATTATAGAGATCTGAAAACACTGATATTTCACTGGCTACATGAAACAGTAAGTGTGAAAAAGTATCCCAAAGTCACTGATAAACAAAAGGTGTCATTTCAGCTCAGTTAAGTGGGTTGATGAAAAAAACATGTGATTTTCCTTTTATTTCTTCTCAAAAATGAGCCAAATAAAGAGCTTTTGTGCAGAAGAGCCACGACACAATCCAGAGCTCCTTCTGTAGAGGACCCCTGGATGATCACACCACTAAGATCCAAGAGTCAAATTGACAACATCATCACTCCTTTTGCTCCATTACCCCAAAAGAGATAAGATTATTGAAATTTTGATGATCAAGAGTCTCAACACTGTGCAAATAATTCCATGTTCCTTATGTACACAGAGTTTGGACCCTGTTAAGGTAAATTCTTACCATTTCTTGTGCTGTAACAGCAATGGCTTTAGAATATTTCACCACAGTGGTCTGATAATCAACAAAAGTTCCTTTTGGATCTGGAGGTGTACCTTCATCCAGCTGCAAGACAGAGGGATAACCATGGCATTAAAAAGTCACAATAAACAGCATACTTTACAGTAAAATGTTATTATATATTCAATTCTGTGATCTCCTCCCTCAAGATACACAAGTGAAAATACTGTACCAGGATGTGTGCAAAGAAGCTCAGCAAAAACTTGAGCCCAGGTTATGAGCATGGAAGATGCAGAGAATATACAGGGCAAAGTACAGTTTTTGAGCATGAGGTTTGCTTCTCATGCAAGATCAATCAATCTGCTCTTCTCAGCTAATAGAGAAAGGAAGGTGCAATAGTTACAGGCCAAAACGTTCATGACAGAAGATAATGTAACATTTCTTTATGTGCTACAGTCTTCAAATCTTTAAGTCAGGATAGGAAGAGCCATATATTTGGATTTAACTTATGTACACTTTGCAACTATGCATCTTCAGGAGAATGCATTACAAAGCACAGCATTTCAGGTTTTGACATCATCTTCTCTGCAAGTACCTTGCTTCAAGGTTGGCCTGCTGTTCATTTAAGAGACTGACATGAAAGATAAGGGGAAAAAACGGAAGCAAAAATAAGAAGTCGCTTACCTAAGACGATAGTTAAATGCCAGAATATTACTGAGCAAACTGTTTTGTAGGAATTCTATTGACATGTGGTTGTAAACATGACCACCATGGCCCACATCAATTTTATTTTACAATATGCAAAATCAAATAATTTTCATGTTTCCAGTGACAACATTTCATAACTGACCACTAAATCAGCACCAGTTTGTCCAAAGCTCTGCAATGTGGATCAGCTTTCAAACACAAAGTGAAAAAGAGGTTTATTTCTATGCTCACCTTGGTCATTGCCTCTGCAATTGAGTCTACCATACCTCCAACCATGCCAACTTCACTTGCAGCTTCATTTAAAGTGACCATGATGTCATCCACAGCCTCCTTCATCAGCTGTGCAGCCTCAGTGATGGCATCGTGAGTGTGAGATGCCTGGAGGACACAGAATGAGAGAACTGAGATAGTCAGAGGATGTTCTCTCTGCAAAACAATGTGTGAATCAGAAATTAAAACAGTAAAGGCACTGAAATTAGCACTTCTGGGCAAAGATGACAAGTAGAACACTGCAGCAAAGCAGACAGAACAAAACTTTTTAATCCTACAAGGAGCTGTGGCACACGACACTTTCAGCCTCAGGTGCCTTTTACAGTCTTTTTAAATGTCCTCTGAAGACAGCGGCTCTCTGTGAGGCACAAATCGCACCCGAGTTACGAACGGCTGCGTAATGCTGCTCTCTCCTGCCAAGGGTTCCCATCCCATTGGGCCAGACAAGCCCTGCTTTTTAACCATGTACTTTCTCTATGAGAGCCTAGATAGCTGCTGCCATACCCTTTGTGTCCCCTGACACAGTGCTGTAAGAAGACTGGAATCCTGTCTTGGAGAAATGTTTTCACTCTCAGGAGACACCAGGAGAGCTGCCACTGGCACTTTGACTGCAAACATATCCCTTAACTGTACAGCAGATACGTGCTGGGTTTTCTGCCATACTTGCCTTCCTCTCTCACCCTTAATGCCACACAACCACCTTACCTTGGGGTTTCCTCCCCCTTCTTTGGCAGCATACAGTATCTGTAAGGCAGATTCTGCTAGAGTCTTGCTCTGGTCCAAAATGGTCATCTGTTGCTGATGATTCAGTGTCTTGGATGCCACACCAACTGCAGCTAAAACAAGGGGCTCGAAGTAACTTGCCAGCTGTGTTACCTAAGAAAGCCAGAACAACCCCAGAAAGCCATTAACCACACCTCTCAGGTGAAACAGAGAAAACAATTCCCTGCTTACCACTGGGATGTGGGTTAGCTCAAGGAGCACAATGCTCCTGCACTGTATGGCACTGGGTTTGGATCACGTGCCCAGGGATTGTGTCTCCCCTCACTGCCAAACTCCTCTGCAAAGCCACACTTCTCCTCCTCCAGAAACACAAGGTCCCTTGAGGTTACATGTTCAAGACTGTCACAGGAGCCATGTGCTATTCAAGAGCATCCCTGAAAAGCATCTCCTCTGGGCAAGGCAGGAGCCTCTCAATCTTTGTTGCCACTGCAGTTTTTACTCTCAAGAATATACAGGATAAGAACTTGCTATTTGAGAAACTTCTAACTCTTGCAATAACCATGGTAAATATGCTTTTGGTATGTGCATTCTAACATTTGTTTTTTGGGACAGACATCCTACAAGCATGAGTTTGACTCTACTTACACTCCACTTAACAGAGGAGAGAGAGACATTTACACAAAGCCCCTAGCCAAAAACCTCAATAAGAATCTCTCCCCTCTGGCCCAAAATGTAAAAAGTTTTATTTGGTCTTGGCTCTCAGTATTTGAAAATTCCATTTTTTTTTTCTCATTACAAATGTATTCTTCTGCTCTCCCATAGGAAGAGAAACTGCTATGAAATTGGGGTCTCCCCTAACATTCAGCTGTCCAAGATTTCAAATGCCTTTGTCATGGCAGCACAGTACCTTGTGCCCCAGCTGAGCTGCCTCTCCCCGAGCTGCGGTGGCTATGGGATCAATGAGGTGGCCAATTTCCTGTACAACTGACGTCAGCTGCTCCTGTAGAGCCTAAAAGAAAGAGAAATTGTCAGTTGCTATCACAGCTGTTCTCTCATCCAGATATACCACACTTGACAATCACCCTTGGACCAGCCAACATCCTCAAAGCTGCTCAAGTGACCTGCTGTGGCAGAATGCAGAAATCCACACTGCTAGTTTTTCTCACATACTGGCTCATTTCTTCTCCCTTATCCTCTTTCAACAACAGCAACCCTGAGATGGGCCTGCTCCTCTTAGGTTTATATGACAGATCTGGGGAGAGAGTGCTGACACTAGCAAACTCAGGGCTAGGTGTTCTTTCTCACTGCAATGTGATTAAGGGTCCCCCTGACAACTCCCAAGCTATTTTTGTCCTGATAAAGATTTAGTATCACTGTACCAATCAGAAAATTGTCAGGAGCACTGATTTAAGTGTGAAGAAACATTTTTCAAAGCAGAAAATACAATGCAAGAACAAAAATTTGGCCTCGGATTTTGAAGCAAGTGGGACAAGTACACTGGCAAAGGAAAAATGTCACATCTCTGAAGGACAGAGATGAGGAGTGACCTCCTGAATAGAATCTGCAGGAGAGGAGTAAACAAATTAGAAGCATATTAGTGGCCTGGTCAAGACATAAATACTGGCTTTTAATTCAGAGGCACTTGATGTCTTGGCAGCCATCAGGATTAAGGTCACTCTCATAATAGGCAAGAGAAAAAAAATTATTTTTGCCCTTTGTTACATTCTTTTACTGCTTTATAACTGCCATTTTTGGTAACATTTACTTCAGTTCAACATGGTGAACACAATAACTTCATTTCAAATAAAATGAATGATAACATTTCCTGCAATGACTTCTTTTGCACAGCTTCATTTGGTCTGACATGTTTCTAATATGCAGTGTTACAGCCTGAGGAAACCACTCCAATAAACATGTCATTTCAAGAAGCAATAGTATGGAAATACATAAATACCAAGATGAGAATCTCAACGTGAGCTGAGACACTGAAGTGGGCAGAGAAGGAAGCTTTCTTAAAGTGAACCCATCAATATCAACTTCAAATTTCACTTACTAAAGGACAAACTAGGCATTAAGAAAAAAGAACATTGACATTTATGTCATTGGACTTCTACTAATAGACCAACTTCTGAAACAAATTTATTAAGAATCTTCAGAAACTGATCCTGGCTTCCACATGGCAAGGCACCACAAAAACTCAGTCTGTCATAGCACCATAGGAAGTCAGTAATATATGGGTGGCAGTAAAAAATAACTACTTTCACCCCTACTACTCCCTGGTGATTTTGGGCTCTTTGAAGAAGTGATACACTTTTGTCTGTGTATGACTTTGCCTAGCAAGACCCCTGTAAGGACACGTCTCCCCTCACTGGCAGTGGATTGTGCTGTGATTGAGCAGCAGGGTGTCCAGCACTCTGTGTTTGTGCCCGTGCTCTCTGCCTCACCTCCACGGAGATGTCATCCCTGGTGGCCAGGCTCTGGCTCACAGCAGCGAGCGAGGCCTGCTCGATGTCCCTGATGCACCTGTTGATGCCATCGATGGAGAAATCACATTCTCGCTGCCCTGGGGCCTTGTCCCTGCAAGACAGAGACACTCCACTGAGCACAGTGGCAAGGAGCAGGGTCTTTCCTGAATGCACACAGAAGCACTTTAAAAAAAATAAAAGGAAAAAAAGAAGCTATTTCCCACATATTGCGTGTTGGTACATGATCTATATGGAGGTAATATTAGCTAGTGTTCATTTTCCACAGCATTCTTTATTATATTTACCTTCGAGTGAATTGGGGGTTGAACCAATGAAGGAGAACAGAACACAAACACAGCCCTTTGCTGCAGGCTGCTGCAGTCATCAATTATGATTAAACACCCAGTGTAACTGGGGAGATATTGTGCATCACAGAGCAATTTCCATCAGTGAAAAATAACACAGTGCTAATGGCCATATGGCATTTTTCTTTATGAACAGTTGCTCAATTACTACAAAAGACATACCTGATAGAGGTAATAAGACTCTTGATAGAATCTGAGACTGTATGAGAATGCCCTGCTAGTACAGACCATGTAGGAGGGTCTTTGGGATTGATAGCCAGAGAACGGGCAGTTTTGATCAATAAAGATGAGCTCTCCAACATGGTCCTAGCAGAAACCAGAATTGGCTCCTGTGCTTGTGATCCCTGTGGTCAGGAAGGTATAAGAACAGAAAGAACATTTGAATTATTATTCGAGTTCATCCACACTTTCTGCTCCTAAAAGTCTATTTAATTAACAGCATTAAAAGGGAATTATAATCTCCTCCATTGTACTATTATTATATTCACAGATAGTCAGCACAGAAATAGAACAAAAACAATCAGTTCAACAGCTTTCTTTAAAACATACTTAAGAAACATGTCTCAAGTTAACAAGTGCATTTTCCAGCTGAAAAATGAGAAACAATGACTAGTCCAGTTGCAGACTACAGAAATATCATTGAAAATACACTTTGTCACAAAAATTGTTGTCATCAACAGATGTGCCCTTTCCCCAGTCAGACTACTAACTCCAAGTGATGACTGATGACTCTTGACTGGGATATCATCTGTGTATCTATTTTATTTTATAATCTGATAAACCCAGGTACCACAGACCTGGAGGACACATTTAGATTTCAGTTACAGCCCCACAGCTGTAAGATTGCAACAGCTACTGCATCATCTGATACTGCCATCTGGAGCAGAGCCTGACAAAAGCTGGAAGCAGCCCTTGGAGGGCCAGTAACAACACTTGACCTCTACTCCAAAGCTTTTACAGAGCTTGAGGGGTTTGCTTTTTTATCTCTTTTCCTTGAGGAAAAAATCCAAACCCAATGAATCCTTTATTAGTCTCTTAACATTCTATTCTGCTGTATTTACAAGTTTGAGGATGGAGAACTTGTGGTAAAAAATGAAAAAATACAGCAACATCCCTTTAATTCTTGTCAGAAGTAACTAGGTTCCACTTGTTAAAACTGCTCTTGAGGGAAAACAAAGGATATTTACAATTGTATTGCATGTAAGAACCCAGCTACTAAAATATGCAAATCACCTGTGCTGTATGGCTTTGCTAACAGCAGACTTGCAGCACCTACTGTAGCCAAACTGCATCCTACTGGTAAAAAAGTCAAGGTCAGAGGTTAAACACAACACAGCAGAATGCCCTGTGAATGCCCTGAAATCCAAGGAAATACTTTGGGCTCTTTACACTCACTGTCTCCCAACATGTGATTAATTCAACATTTTCAGCTTTTGGAAGATGGAAATGCAGTATCCTGCCTTACCTCAGTGCTGATCTGTGCTGGGATGCTGACAAATTCTGGGTTTGAAGCAAATGCTGTCAAATTTTCCACAGCCTCTATTAGCGGTGCCGTGGCAATTCTGCACTTGTTGCGGTTCTCCTCCGAGAAATCTCCATCCAGCGCCTGGAAATGAAATGGGGATCGAGCTCTGTCTGAACGAGTTTCTTTAGCAAAATGGAAAGAAGATGGCTCAAGTCTTCCTAGTTTTAAACCACTGCATGTTGATGATATTTGAAAGCTCCTTCCCAAAAAAGATTGACGCAAAGAACGTGATCTTTCAGGAGTGTGTTTGCTTCCTCAGCTGGTTACTGACCCTAAACTTTAAACTGCTGCAGGTTTTCTGTCATTGCACTCTGAGTCTCTCAAGTCTCTCAAGTGTCCCAGGACCTCACACTCCAAAGGGTGGAAGGGGCCAACTCCCACCTTTTTGTGGTTTGTCAACATGGCTGTTTCCTACAGACTGATTTTGAAAATTTTTAGTTATTTCTGTTTTAAGCAAATCAGTAATGTATTGCTCTCATTTTCAGCCAAGTCAATTGATCTCTCTCACAATCTCAGAATAAACATTTCAGCTAATGAAATCAGATTAGATCAGTTAATGGCTTCCAGAAGGGTTCAGAATTGTGAATTCTCCACAGCTTCGTAAGTATTACTTCTGCTTGTATGAAAAAAACCTACCCCCTACAAATTGGAAGGAATCTGGAAAATAAAAGGCAACTATTAACAGGAGACTACTAGCAACATAAATTACTTCTGTTTGGTTCCCATTATTATTTATTTCCTTTTTTTCTCTGTTGATAAAGTAAAGCTTTCAGAAATAGCTCCAAAAATCTCCATATACTAGGGAACTTAACACCATTAAAAACCTTCACATTCAGTTGCTTGCAGATGATTCTTATGGTGCAAGCTCATTAAATACATCAATCCTGAGGGTCTCATATTGGATGGGCCAGCTGCCTCTCCTAATATTAAAACTAACCCATTTTTTTCAATTTGAATTCAGCAGTTGCACCACTGAACACATTTTTTCCAATTCAGATCTTCAAAAATTTAATTAGTGATTTTTTAAACCATGCATACCCAAGAAAATAAAAAGATACTTCTAACTGTTCTGATTTTGTCTCAACAGGGGGGAAAAAACCAAATGAGAAAATCCTCTAAATCACAAAGGAAGAAGAAAGCACAACTAAGCAGCATTTGTACCTTGATAGTTTTAACCAGGTTAGCAGTGCTGTTTGCAACTTCCTTGGCAGATTGCACAAAGTGTCTCTTGGCAACAGGATTTGCTGTTTTTGATGAAGCAATGCGACAAGCGTTGCACAGAGCAGACGTGTGCTTGGCCACGATGGTGGCAGCTGATAAGACCTGTAAAAACCAGCACAGAACAGGCACAACGTCAGAGGGGTGGGACAGCAACCACACTGCAGCTCTGCAACGTCAGCATCCAAATCCAGGAAGCAGAGTCAAAGCAAAACTCCTTGGACTGGACAGGAACGAAGCGAAGCCCCGTGTCCCAAGAGGGACGTTTCCCTGCAGTCACCTGGGATGGGCTGCTGGCTGGATCCACCAGGTTCTGGCAAGCCATCTGGATCGCTTGGTTGGCACGCGCAAACTGAATCGGGTCAACGAGGCCCTGCTGACCAGCCTGGCTGTTTGGATCTGAGATACCGACCAGGTAAGCAGCCTACAAATGGGGAAAAGAAGAAAACAATCCTAGTAAATCATGCTAATTCTGTCTAGGATCTCTGGTAAGCTGGCCATATGTCATAGCACATGGTGGACAGAGATTATTCAAAATCATACTGTGAAATACAATTACCATTTGTTTTTAGCAATACATCTCCAGAATCAACTGAAACCAAGAAAATATACCCTTACACTTGAGAAATTTAATTAGATGAAACAAAACTAATAGTCCACTGTTTAGACAACTGCTATCCCTGAAAACATGGCTTGTTACTTGCACAGCCAATGGAGAGAGCTTTAAAGATTAGAGGTGCTGGCAAATATTTACTGTATTAGCCACGGTTGGAGGCAGTGGAGGTTTTTGTCAAGACTATAAAAGCAATCCAGCAAAGGCACTTCTGCTGAGTGCAGGTCCCATCAGGCCTGCAGCTGCTGGTCTCACTGCAGCCCACAGTGTCTGATGAACCTTACCTTCTCTCAGTTATAAGTTTCATGCCTCTCAACAACCACAACTTAACTGAACTGTCACAATCATATCTGAAGATTCCTCATATCTCTTACAGATAGAATTATCTGTCACCTTAATATGCCAGTAAGGCAACTCAGAGTTAGAAGTGGAGGAGATTTAGTCCATACCGAGGCATTACACATTTGGGGAAATCAAGAAGAGGTATTCAGATGCAGAGCACAATCCCCCACAGCCAAATCCTTCACCAAGGTGACTGTATCAGGCTTTATAGTTCACTCAGTTATCAGACCAGTGAAACCACAGAGATCAGACCCAAATTTAGAATTTTGGTTATTCCAGAAGTATCTGAACAGCTGAAACAGGTTTCTTCTTAGTTACAATGGCTGAAATTTGTAGTGCTCCTTAAGAACTTCTACAAACTAGAACTTGATACATTACTTTTAACTGGGGCTTTTTTGTGCATTTCTCTATGATATAATAGTTCTGAGCTTGAGCTGCAAACCTGAATTCCATATGCTGCAGCTTTGCTTTATCCTCAGCAAAGCTTTCTTCTAGATGGCATTTCTCTTCCTTAGAAAACACTCATGTTATTGCACTCTGCTCCTCCTGCAGTTTGTGCAATTTCTGTGATATACACAGAACACACTGTGTAAAACAAAGTCATCACTTGCTTGCCCACAGGGAAGTGAATTTCAGATTTACAAACCCAGAACATGAGCTTGCTAAAAAATAAAAACTCAATTGCTTTACATCCTTCAGTCTCTTACCTGAGCTGCTGCCTCTGTGAGGCCACAAAGAGCCTTGGATGCAACTCCAACACATTCTCCAAAGACTAGAAGATCCCCAGTTTTTGCATTCTGGGAAATGCCTGCCATTGATTCTCCAAGAACCTCAGAAATTAAAAAAACAAAGTTATCTTCCAAATATGCTTTCCTACCACTTGGAGGCAAGCAATTGCTGGCCTGAAACCAATTTTGGCCCACAAATCCCCTGGACTTAGCTTCAGAATTTTAGACTTCTCTAAACTGGGCACGTTCCTCTGCGTGGTGTGAGGGCTCAGGCACGCACACTGACACTGGATTGACAGGGAACAGAAGCACTACTGCAGCTCAAATCACTAAGAGGGTACAGAATTACCCCTCAGTATTTTGCTGTCACCCATTAGTCATCACAGCTAAGCTGGCACCAGGTGCATTTCATGCAGACTGCATGACAGTCCTGCAGATGCTGTTGACACCTACAGGATCATCTTTGTAACCAAACTCACTGAAGCTCAGTGGGAATGAAACTGCACCTAGACTTGTGGAACCATCTCAGTGTCAGAATGCACATGAATTCCCACATTATGCCTCACTGAATTCAGTTCACATGGCTTTAAAATTCAAAATGAGCTCTGACTGCAGTACAGCATTAGATGCAAGATGATACACACACCCATAAGGTACTTTCTTTTTCTTTTAGAGAAGGAATATGAGACAATTCCAACAAATCAAATAATAAGGACACAAAAGCCAGCTTCAAAGGAAGATGTACAGCACGGTTTGATTAAAAGTAACTGAAGAGGTTTCCCACAGGTTTTCTGATGTGGTGGGGCGTCTGGACTGCTCAGACATTTGGCAAAGCTGCTCTGCACAGAACAACACAATGGGATTTCATTGCCCAGCCTTCCCATTCATGCTTTGGGCTGTTCTAGCACAGCTGCAGTCAAAATACAGCACCCCAAAGTATGACATGCTGTCTAGTGCATGTCAAAGAGAGGAAAGGAGAGAGGAGAAGCTTTCAGAGCATTGTGTACCAGTCACTTAATTAAAAACTTCTTACTGAGGCAATACACCTTCTAAGTGACCAAAACCTGCAATTACCTGTAACAGACCTATCTCAGGCAGAGTTTATCAAGGAGTGTGGCAGACATTTTAGCTGTAAACACTGACTGCACCTCTAACATTCAATATGCATGTGGAAACTTTTGAAAATCCAAACACATTTTATAACTGATACAAAGGTGGGAAAAAGAAGTTACCTTTGAGTTTTCCATTACGCCCTCAATACAATCAAAATACGAGAGATCGCTCACAGGTTCATTTGGGTTATCCAGCATTCCCTTAACTGTCTGAAATAATGAAAGAAACTGATTATTGACAGAGTCTGAAATACTGAGCTGAGAAGAACACAGACCATCATGCCTATTCTGCTTATCCCAGTGTAATTTGACATGTTTGTCTCCAGCAAGCAGCCAAAGCTATACACTCCCTGAGGGTGTGCCATGCAGGAAACCACACCCGACGGGAACTGAGCTGTGGGAACTCCATGTTTGTGCACCACCAATCCCTTGGAAGTTCAGGTTTGCCTCGTGTTTATGATGAGTGATATATGGTCAGAGGTGCTCAGCTTGACATGAGGCAATCTGGTTTTCTGTCAGGTGTTAACAGTGTGACTCATGTTTTCAGTACTATTTTAAATTTCCTAATGTCTCCAGCAAGCAGCCAAAGCTACACACGCCCTGAGGGTGTGAGGGTGTGCCATGCAGGAAACCACACCCGACAGGAACTGAGCTGTGGGAACTCCATGTTTGTGCACCACCAATCCCTTGGAAGTTCAGGTTTGCCTCGTGTTTGTGATGAGTGATATATGGTCAGAGGTGCTCAGCTTGACATGAGGCAATCTGGTTTTCTGTCAGGTGTTAACAGTGTGACTCATGTTTTCAGTACTATTTTAAATTTCCTAAACAGATTTAAAGAAGTGATAAGAAAAACAGTTGCCATTTGTTGAGCACTGTCTGGAAACACAAAGGGTTACTGAACTGAGTACACATCCACCACCTGTCTGCCTCTTACAGTGTCAACAGATTCCCCCAACACAGAAAGATTTTCTGTCAGGAAACTACATATAGTTGGGTTTAAATTCTTTTTTTGACGTGATTCTGAGTCCTGAATATAACAATGTGACAATCAGTCACATACTCATTGAGAAAAATGAATGCTCTTAGATAACAGAACTTGTAAAAAGCTGCAAAATGTAGGAGGCTAATTCTTTTATACATAGAAATATCTGTAGCACACCTTTTTTCAAGTCTTAAGGAACACTATTTTACTGCCAAATATCATGCTGAAAAGACTTGCAATCCTTCTGATGAAAGTGAAATCAATTAAGTAGAGAAAGATACTAGCAGCTGTATCTGACATTTCCTTTCCACCGAAAGGAAATCAAGGCATGATTTTAAACACTTGGACTTTTCTGGTAACACAGCTTCTAACTTTAACATATTACTGAGACACCTACAGTATATTTAACAGCTCAGCTGTTGCTTTGTAAAAGTTTGTCTTAAAGCCTTACAGCAATTAAAAAAGAGAAGAAGGTGAGGTGTCTAGAAAGCAATTTCCAGTTGTCTCTGTCTGTCAGTTCTCACTAACATTGCAGCATCTCTTCATGTTGTGCTCTATTAAATAACTACTTGAAAAGCAAACCAGGTTCCTACAGCACTTACACTGCTTTGGGGACAGAGGCCTTCAGCATATAAGGGACAGAATGGCAAAACACAAGCCAGGACAAACTTCTCACTATCATACATTGGCAATTACTGCAACAACCATGGTACTCTTTTCAGCTGCAATTCTGGGCAAGTTTAGCTACCTCATGGAAGGTTAGACATAAGGTCCTCTCTAAAAACAGTTTTCCAGCGTCTTCAAAGTAGGCCACAGAGACTACTGACAGTATAAAATCCATGCTGAGACACATTCTTCCTATAGAAACAAGGATTTTTAGTAGTTAAGAAGCCCAGGAAAGACTAGGAATAGTATGTGATGACTTCAGGAAATGAAGGGAAGAAGCAAAAGTTTAATCACTGTAAAGAGAAATTAAAAATTAAGACTTCTAAAATTTCATTGGTTTCTCCAGTTACTTTGATATGAGCCTCCAGTCTGATTTCAGGACTGTTTGCTTTTGCCTTGGTTTCCCTTTTTCCAGAAATTAATCTAATTCCATATATCCAGGCTTTTCTCACTAACTCACTCTCTCTGGGAAGTTCAACATGCCACAGATGTTCCTGCTGCCCTTTGCTGGCCCTGCTGACAATCCATGGCAGCATGTGCCATTCTGTGCTATTGGCACAGAACCCTCTGTAAGGGCTTTTAAGGCTATTCTGCCCTACATTTCTTCTCTAAGCTCTCAGTTTTCCATGGTTTATCAGCTGGAGATTCTCACCTTTCACATCCCTGCCATTGCACCCATCTCTCCCTATTAGTGTTTCAGGAAGTCCTGAGGAAAAGCACTTCATTCCCCCTGCTTGCTCCTTCACATTACAGCCTGATTTCCTGGTTTCTATTCTTTGGATTTGCTGCCACTCCCTGTGACCAAGGAGAGAACACTTAGGAAGCTAAAAATTCAGGAGGACAAAGTGGCTCCTAGGGGATCTCCTATAACATTTTGGGATGATAACTGTGGACTTGCATATTAAGAAAACTCACAATATCCTGGAATGACTTTTGTATCCTTATGATACTAAGAGCTAGAAATAAAAAGTTTAATGGTATTTTATGCTCTTGACACAGGCCAGTCACCCCTTGATGTTTTGACCTTGACAGTAAACAACAAATATCTAGTTTAAATTAAAATATTATTTCCTACTACTGAAAGTGGCCCTGTCTGTGATCAGTGGAGGTCTTTCAACTGACCCATTATTTAGCCAGCCAAACCTTTTACTCAGGATAAAGAAGGTGTCTTGCAAGAGCCTGTATTGACACACCCATTGTATCAGTTTGACAGGGAAGGCAGAAACAAGGCATTAAAAGTCCACACTAAGAAAGGTCAAGGTAGAAGATTGCAAACACATCCTAAAGCGGGACGTCAGCAACAACATCTTGCAAGTGGAAAAACCAAGATATTGCAGCTCCCTCCAGTGCACTGGTGGTAGTAGAAATGTCCATCTTGTCATGATTCTTCCTTAAGTAACAGTAAGTATGAATAATAGGGACTAAAGTGTATCTTTGGAGGGCAGGACAGAGGGGATGGGGACAGGGTAGCAAATGTCATTCTGGCCAAACCTACAAGATGTTTACATGGGCTCCATGCTCACCTTGTGCACAGTTAGAATCCCTGCCACAGATAAAGTGAGAAGACAGTAACAGGAGCTATTCAGACACAGAATACAAGGAAAACAGACATTTACAAGGGTCCATTTTTATTTATAGGAACTTTTGAAATATAGTAATACCTCCAGTTCTCTGAGTGCATTATCACATTCCTTCTGCCCGGGAGCTTGTTGGGTGCACAGTGTGATGAGCTGGTTTATACTCTCAGTCACAGCTCTGGGGAGAGTAGGAGGAAAAAAGGTGGATTTTAAAATTCAACTATTCCTCTCAGTAAAACTTTTGTCATTAAATGTATTCTGCATAAAGACATAACACTTGGATAATCTACTACACTGCAGTCACTGTCTGTCTTTCTGATGAATGCTCTGATAATAGGCAAAACTCATTATAACTACATTCATTTCAGACTCATGACTAAAAACCCAGGAAAGTGGCATCTAGATGAAAAAAATCAGTGAAATTGGAGTGCATGGAGAATATGCTTTCCTCTGGCCTTGGAAACTGAATGGCATTTGCATTACTTTCCCTTTCAGAAAACAGGCACTTGATAACTTATCAATAACATGATTACCTGGCTGGATGGTATCCTACTGTTACAAAAGGAAACAATGTGCTTATTGTATTTAACATGTTTATGTTAAATTCCAGGGCAAAAAGAATGGAAACTAATAGACATACTTGTTTAACTGAGACTCCTACCCTTTTCAGCAGCTTTGGTGTCCTTGTGGAGGACCAGGTATTGACCTGCTGAATATCAGTGATTTCTATGCATCACAAAATAATCATTGCATACAGACACAGGAATATATGACAAAAATTGAAAGTTCTGTTCACTCCCAGAGAAACTTCACACAAAAAGATTTTGTCTGCTGTTGATTTTAATCTGAGAGAATTCATACTGACTCAGAGAATATCAGCAATTGAAGAGAGAGAATTATCAGCTTTCCAGAGGAGGCCACATGTCTCACAAATACCATTGTTACACACAAGGTACCTCTCCCAGGAATCCATCCAGTGTACAAACATTTCTCTGAAAACCATCTGGACACAGCAGAACCAGGAAAGTGGCCCATCAAACACCAATTCCAGTGTGGAAGAGGACTGCTAGGACTCCAAAGGCCACATTTGTTTTCATCAAATACAACACACAAATACTTGGACCCTGCAGGGAACTCAGCCAGGGCTGCAGTCCTGCCAGAGGTGGTCAAGAAAAACGCCTCCACAAGGAAGACAAGACTACTGAGAAAGGTGGTGTCTCTTACACCTGGTGCAAATGGGGAAGAAAGCAAAACAAACCCAGCAAAAACCCCAGACTAATCACAGTACCATAGATGATGAGAGAAAAATGAGAAGAAAAGCTATCTTATAATAAGGAAGCTGTGCCTCTTCTTTCATTTTCATCAGAGAGAAAGTAAAAATATTTGACCGTGACCGTATCATAGCAGGGAAAGAGAAGAGAGCCCTGGCAAGCTTGTCACAAGCCAAACAGAGGATCTGAGAAGGGAAGTACAGTGTCTCCTTAGCACCTTAAACACAAACTGAGAACTGGTGCAGTATTTACTTCCCACAGGTGTGTGGTGTCTGTGTAAGGTCTCACACATGCACACACACAGAACAGCTAAAGGCTTGACCTGGCTCACCTCCCTTTTTCTATCACATGCTTCCACAGAGGGAATACCAACCTGGCAGGAACTTACAACTACCTGGTTTCACTGGGGTGAAATTCCTCTACACTCCAATCAGGAATGCTCCAAGCCTAAAGCACAAATCTGGAGCAGTTGATGCTGCAGCAGTAACAAAATCTCATGTGACTCCTTCACTTTTAAGCAGCCTGTCTTTGGTTATCCATAATTTTCATAACATCTATTTATTCCCAGGGAGACAAGACATTTGTAATTTTCTTTTTAAACAAAATACGACAAAGTAAAGTAGCATAAGTTCTTAAGGAAGCCCTTTACTCAGGGAGTGGATTTATAATCCTTAAGTAAGGGTATGCTCCACTGCAGAAATGTAGCATCTAACCCTTCCAGGCATTCCTGATCACACACATGCACACTGTTAGCAACAGGTACCTACACTTTTTAAGCACATTTTATCTAAGAGTATTATTCAATTTCTTTTCTTTCAGGGATTGAGAAGCTTAATGTTAGCTATTGCCTTGTCAGAACACAGATGGTGAGAAAACAGTAAATAAAGTACACTGGTTCCTTTCAAAAACCAGGCCAAGTCTTCAAATGCTGGTTCCTATTTCCAAGGGTAACAAGTTATATCCGTTGAGGAACTACTCCAACATAAGCAACTCTCCTCTGGCCTACTTCCATTTAATCAGAGCTGCAGGTTGCAGCCACTCACTTAACTGTCAATAGTAGAAGAATGTATAAGCACAATATAAATACCACAGAGAAAGGCAAATATCTCAGGAAAACAAAGCAAGCAACACATCCTTACCTTGCTGCAGCTGCTAAGAGGTTCTTGGCATTAGGAGCTCCGGGATCAACCGACAGAGACTTGGCAGCCAGTAACAGCTTGCTGGAAGCCATAGAGATGCTCTTGAGGTTACCTATGACTTGAATCTGGTCCTCTTTAGTCTGGAAAGCCAGAGCAGCATAACATTAAGTACAAAATTAGCAATCAAGAGAGTGTGCTAAAACCACACATGGAAATCCCGTTTGTCTATCTACCTGAAATCACTGACCTACGTGAGCTCAGAGACGGATGGCTCAAGCCATCCTTCACCCAGACAGGTGCCTCCAGCTTCACTTAAATAACAGAAAAAGACCCTTACAACAAATAGCTTGGCTTCTAACAGTGGTAGTATTCACAAATGAGCAATGGAGAAACTTCCCTACTTGTTGAACAATGCTTTTGTTGTCAAGACTCTTATGTGTCTCTGCCTGGCACAACTGCTTTACATTATTCAGCCAGTGTATGCTCTCTGTATTCTGGCATCCTTTGTGCAGCCCACAGGCTCCTCTAGCATCTAACTGGGATTGCTCACACAATATCCTCCAGGAAGTCATCTTTCCCAATAAAATAAGTTTCTATAAGCCTACTTCGGTCAACATTCTGACTTGGATGTTCTATTACTTATTTTAAGCCATTGCTTGAAAAGGGAAACCTGTATTTAAATCCAGTTACAGAAAAGTATTGCATCTTCACAGTGAACAGCTGTGACTAGATTACTCTGCCAATGATCAGTAGAAGTGAACCCATTTTTTCTAACAGTCACTTCATAGTTTTAGGTAAAGGGGTTGCATAATATTCAGCTGATGGAATAGCTTTTACTCTGTATTTACTACATTCTACTTCCTCCTTACTTCTACATTTTGCTAGTCACCTAAAATACCTGGTATTGCTTTTGTTCAGGCCAAATAACTACACACAGAAGGCCTTCTCATTTGAAAGATCAACCATTAATAATTAAGAATAATAACCACCCTGTGTCAGCAGGATCAGCAAATTCACAAAGGCAACAAGGTCATCAGCAGCTGGATTCTCATTTCAAGCAGCCATGTGCAGCATTGTTTCTAAAGGCCTTCTCATTTGAAAGATCAACTATTAATAATTAAGAATAATATCCACTCCGTGTCAGCAGGATCAGCAAATTCACAAGGGCAACAAGGTCATCAGCAGCTGGATTCTCATTTCAAGCAGCCATGTGCAACATCGTTTCTACCTTTGCCTTCATTGAATTGCCTCAAACAGAACATTCTAAAAGTCAATGTGGTCCACAGCTAAAGAGACAGTCAGGTACCTCACTACTGCTCACTTTCAGAGAGTCAGCTGTATATGGAGCTTAACTCACTTCACACATCTGGAACCTGAATGATGAAGTTCTGATGGAGAATAACCACCAACCACTGTCAGATGTCTCTACTCAGTTCTGTCTGCAAAGTATCTGCTTTAGAGAGACATTTCATAAATAACTTCAAAGAACTGACACACTCAGGACCTTCTGGCCATTTTCCAGTGGCAATCATTTATTAGGTGTGCAGGGTCCTCCTACTAACCAGGGTAAAACCATCTGCAGATTCTTTTTTCTGCAAGTCCTCCCATCTCTTCTGATACACAATTCCTTTTTATATGCTGACATGTGTTATGCTAAATCATTGCCAAATGACCAATTACTGAGCTCAGCACAACTCTATCCAGTAAGATAAACTGAAGGTGGTATCTCCAACTACCAGGAATGAGCTCAGCAACATATGACAACATTCCTGATTGTTAGAGCTCATCAGAGTAGAACTCTGCCAGATTTTAAATCACTGAACACAAGTCCAAGTGCTTGCTGTCAGATCCAAGGATGGCATTTTAGGCAGCCCTCTTCAAGAGCTTGCTGCACTCTGTAGCAGGTCCACAGCACCATGGAGCAATATAAAAGCATCATTTCCTCCATCCACTTAAAGCATTTCAAAAGCAGCAAAAAAAGGTGCTACATTTTGAAGAGTGTTCACCTAAATTATGCTCCATGCTAGCTCCACCAAAAGGAAGCAACCCTTTCCACAAGCTCAGAGTTTCAGCACACCTTTGCACCTTTGCAGTTCAAACTACACAGAGGAGTAGGAAGTTTTATGTCTGACTGGACACAGAAACAAATACCAACATCCTGTGAGAGATGCAAATGCTGAGTTCTCCTCACACCAAACATCTCCTCACACAGCAGCACATTTATGCTGCCACATAAACAATGTACTGCACTGCCAGAGGTTAGGCCAAGATGATCCCTCAATCAGCATGGTCAAGAACTTACTTGTGCTTGGCCAGCCATTTCAATACCAGCATCAAGAAATTCATCAAAGTCATCACTGAATTTCCCAGAGGCTGCAGCCAGCTCCCCACTTTGGCCCCGTGTAGCATGGACAACTTCTCCAGCTGACTGATTCAGGTCTGCTGCTGCCTGGTTCAGTTCACTCTGAGCTTCTTGAAATGACTTAGAACTTGGAGGTAGCTGTAAGAGACAAAGTTCAGTATTTTACTGTCACATCACACCAGCCTTTCATGACTGGAGAGTTCAACACGTGCTGAGAATACCAAACGCAACAGAGCAGTGAGCTGGAACTGTGGCACAGCTGTCAACCAGAAATCTGTCCAGCAACTTGTGTCCTGCTGTTTCTTTCAAGGGACAGACAAGTCTGTAAGCTTTTCAAGGGACACAAGTATTGGCAGCTCTTCAAAATTACCCTAAACTCTCTCTAGTAAACCAGTTTAGTAAACCTGGTTTCATCAAAAAGAATTGCACAAACATATCAAAATACAATTCCTCCTTCATTCACAGGATAACAAGGTCAGTGATAAATGCAGCAAAAAAAGCTGTTTAAATAGTATAACCTTCTGGAAAATTACCAATACAAAAAGGATTTTTTGACATGAATGCAGTTAAACAAAGTAACTCTAAACTCTCTCTAGTAAACCAGCTTGGTAAAAAACCCCTGGTTTCATCAAAAGGCATTGCACAAACATATCAAAATACAATTCCTCCTTCATTCACAGGATAACAAGGTCAGTGATAAATGCAGCAAAAAAAGCTGTTTAAATAGTATAACCTTCTGGAAAATTACCAATACAAAAAGGATTTTTTGACATGAATGCAGTTAAACAAAGTAACAATTCTACTCTTTACACAAAATGACCAGGCATTTGTTGACAGATCACAATTCTCCTTCAAGTAAACTGATCACTTCTAGGTGGGAGATGAACTATAATTTTCTAATTTTCATATTCTTCAGAATGTCAAGTCATAGTTGCCATTTTCAAAACTGAAAAGTTAATACCAATCTATGACAATTTTAATGTTGCCTTCACAAATCATAGACACATTTCACCTTGCCCATAAAACTACAAAAATGGTATTTCAGTCTAAATAGCAGCTGCCTAAAGGTGCATACACTTAAAACACAGCTTACATGAAGTATACTTAGGGGTCATTTACTAATTAATGATTTGACACATGGGGAACTCAGATCTGCTCTTCAGTTTTCTAAAATATATTTCCACATGAAAATCCATCTTACCGAATCAACAAGGAGCTTCTTGCTGGATTCCCCAATACTCTTTAAGGCCACATCCACATCCTTTTGTCCAGGCAGACAATTCACACAGTTATTCAAGGAGTGAGACACTGCTTTTGCCACCTACAACACACAAGTGAACACATTCACACTGAGAGAGGTTTAAGTGCTCATTAACAGGAGGCACAGCCTCTACTCCATAGCCAGCAATTCCTACATTCTGACCCTTACAGGAACATTTTTGAGGCTTTCAGCTTTCTCAGTTTGCTGGCCTGCAGTCTTGATTTAGGCTCATCCATTGGATAGGATGGTGTTGGCAGAGCAGCCCCACAACTGCTCCTGACACTGGGATAAAGGCTGCAGCACTGCAGATAAGGGAATCCCCTGAAGTTATCTATATACTAATCACAGAAATTCTTTGCATGCTACTTTTTACAAAGTTCTGCTACTTTTTACAAAGTACCTTTTAAAACAAAGATATCTTCATAAGAAATTATTTACAATGCAGGCAAATTCTAGAACTTTTCAAATCAGTAAAACCAGAATTTGTCACTCCTAAAGAACTCAAACATAGTGGTGCCACTCATGAAGAAAACATGCACTCCCTTTTTGAATGTAACATGGATACAGATCTTTTCTTTGAAAAATATCAGTTTAATGGCTGTCTCACTTTTGCAGTCAAGCAGTCTCCCCACGTATGTTGTGGGTAAAAGCACAGAGCTGCATCTTTCTATATTTTTCTAAGAGATTACTAAAATACCATAATTTATACCATCTGCATTGTTTAACCTAGGCATGATGTTATTCTCTGAGAGCTGTTAAAAGGAACAGAAAGCTGATATACCTAGCAGCCTTATTTTCTGTCATTCTCTCTCCTTATTCAATGCTGATTTGGAGTAAATTCACTGCATGTTTGACAACTCATGCAGCTTCTCAAGTCCCAGCTTACCTGGGCTAGTCTCTGCTGACTGTCTGCATCCCCTGGGGCAGCCAGGGCCTGCTTGGCCTCCTGGATCAGCATGGCAGAGCCTTCCATGACATCCCTGGCTGAATCCAGCATGGCATGGGCTGCCACAGGGTCACTGGTAGATGCTGCAACCCCTCGAGCTGCCTGAGCCAAAGTCTTCAAGGCCTGAGCAGTTTCTCTGGCAGCAACTCCTGTGGTCACATTTCACAAGGATTTTATTAGTACCTTTAAAGATAACCTCTGTATTTCGTGACATGATCTTGCAGGTGATGATCCTATTGCAAAATAACACTGCAAATGCAATTTAAAAGAAAATCTTCACACAGGAACAAATTTGAATTACACAGTATCATTTGCTTATATTTAAATGCCTGTAATGAAGCCATAAAGTAAATGTTATAGCCCAAAGACCACATTCTGGACACAGCTCTCTAATCCAGTGACTACATCCTAATGAAGCACTGAAAAAGAAGAAAAGCTAAAACCTGTAGATGAGGAAAAACTCATACTCCAAGCTATGGGGAAAGTGATTGTTTGCAAGAATGGTGAACAGGAGTTCAGAGCCACAGCACAACAATAGTTTAACTTCAAGCAATCAAAAAAGAGGTTATTAGGAATGATACAACTTGATATAATCTACCATCACTGTGAGTAAAAACATATAAAAATAACTGAATGAAGTCACAGGGATGTAATAAAATTACCTTCTGTGATCTGTCTGGCCAGTGTTAAAGGACATCTCCCAACTCCAGTGCTAAGGTGTAGGACCATGTGAATAATGGTCTCCTTCTACTTATGAAATTATTGAAAAGGAACTCATTGCTTTGTAGGGTTTCCTACAATCTGATGATAAGAGAGCTACCAGATTTAGCTATTCATTATCAGCTGCAAATATCTGTACTCCCTTGCCTGGTACTCAGTGCCTACTTCTGCACAACTATGTGATAGAAACGTGAACCATCTTGATGAAATTCCATCTGCTTCAAATGAAAGCAACTCTAAGTTCTAGAGCCCAGATGCAATTATAACCAATGAAGTGGTAATTACCATAACACATTTTATCAGTAATATTAGATAAAAAATCTTATGGGAGCATTTGCAACAACAGCTTTCATTTCTAACAGAAATAAGGACATAGAACATTTTAACATCTACAAGTAAACTTTTGTCCTTCCTGTAGAGCATTTTTCTTATTAAGGTGTTTTTATTTCTAAACTAAAAGAACAGGTACAAAAATAAATTGTAGAATCTGTGTGTCCATGTTTCCTGTTGGAAAACCATGCAAATGTGCTCAAACCATGCAAAGGTGCTCAATGAATCAGCCAGAGCAGCTGCATTGTACACATGAACTGGTAACACCGAGGAAGAGATGCAGTTCTGAATGTCACCAAGCTGTACCCACTATGTTCATATCCTGTAGCTTCAAAACATATCCGAGGCACCCTTTAAACCTTCTGTAAGGACATAGCAACATTTCCAGTGGCACTGACCTTTAAAATGCAATACATTTTATTTCAGCCTTTCAGAGAGTTTCAGTGGCACATATTTTCAAAAACAACAGATGTCCCAATCCAGTCTGATTAAAGACAGAGCAGATTGCATCACTGTTCTTTTATGAAGCGCGAGTCACACTCAGTTCTTTATAACTTACCACAATTCACTATCAGCACTCAAAAAAGTGAAGTAATTTCTTGATTTAAGTAGTCTGTGACAAGAAAACCTTTCATCAAGGTGATGGAAAGCAGAGGTTTCCCAGAGCCATTATGAATAAAGCAGTACCTGTGTAGTGCTCGTTGCCCTGAGCAGCACAAGTTAACAACTGGGCCATTGAAGAACCGACTGCTTTGGATGTGCTTCCCAGGTCCTGAGTGCATTTCTCAAGCTGTAAAAAATTGCAAAGGACAAATTACTTAGTTTAAGCTCAACAAAAATACACTTGGTTTTAAATAGTACTGAAAATTTCCTCATTCCACAAACACCTAAACTTTCACCTCAGCTACTGAACACAAACACAATTTCTCTGAAATCTGACTAACATGTTTTCCCTGTTCAGAATGCAATAAATTAACATATTAGGTAGTGTTAACAATAAAACTATTTTACAATTAGCAATGGAAGTAAATACCTTCATCCAAGGAAAGGCGCTTTTTTTTTCCCAAATAAACCATTTCAGTTTCTAAGCCTACTAGAACTGGCTGTCCTGAGTTCTTATCATTGTCACTATTGAAAAGAAATTCTTTTTGACAAGACCAAAACATTACTGTTACCAAATTGTAATTTGTACAATAGAGAAGGAAACCCTACAGTCCTATGAGTAACTCTACTACAGAACATACTGTTGCTGTAGTAGTAACATATACTCTTTTTAAGAGAATCAGTGCAAAATCCTGTCAGCATGATCATTATCCAGAGCTTCATTACTTGTTTTGCCTCTAATATTTAAGTTTTTAACAGCTAACTTGGTTTGTTTTTAAATGAAGAACATCCTTCCTCAATTACAGTTTCTCCTGGGAGAGGTTTTAACTGTCCATCCACAGCTGCCATCTTCGCATCTTGCAGTTCATTTTTGAGTGTCTGGACTGTATTCAAAGCAGAATCAATTTCCATTGGGCCACAAGCTTCGTGAGCCTATTCAGAAATCAGATCAGTACCATTGTTAGCAGCTGTATGCAACTTTCAGAAACAGTAAATGCTTCAGATCTAATCTTCCCTCCCATATTATTTCTCTTCCTACTTTAGAGGCCATTGTGAGCCCTCTAAGGGTTATACATCATGGATTCCATGGTTCCTGAAGAATATTTTCAGTCTGTGAAGACAATAACACCCTGCTAAGAGGCACCAGGGGAATGAGGTGCACTTGCCTTGTGTGCATGTCCCTTCACAGCAGGCAGCCCAGGGACTGAGAAAGTAACTGCTGCACTCTGGACTTCCCCTTGTGCATCATGACCAAAATCCCACTGACTCCCTGATGTGGCAGCCCACACTCATCAGTATGAGATGGAAATTCTAGCATTAGCTCGGGTGTAGCCACCTCAATGCCACAATCCTGGTTTCAGGCCTCAGTGTACACACACGCACACAAAAAAGATCAGACTTTCCACTTGCATTTTTTTAAGCCCCACATAGTTTAGAAACCTCTGTGTGAAACAGAGCATCTGCTTCCCTGAATTTTAGAGATGATGATTCCAGTTCACAATTACAGCACAGCAGAGCTGTAGCTGGATTCTCACTGGCTTGGTGGGGCACAAGATGTGTTCCCTTTTCCCTGCTCTCCCTTGAATGTAACAGCAGCTCAGTCTTGATGTGCTGCTCTGTTACTCTGCTCCCATGTCTGGTGTGGAAAGGGCAGCACAAGCTTTTTCAGTTTTCTTGTCACTTCTTGCTCCCCTTTCTCTCACGATACAGAGGTCACCTGGGAGTCTGAGCAAATTTTTGTGCACAAAATACAGCAGTGAGAGGTGAGCACTGCATGGGCCACTCCTCAGGGGAGACAAGAAGTCCTCTTGTTTGAGCTGATTGAAAGCAGTATTTACCTACCTTCTGGGAGGCTGTTCTCAGCTCAGCTAAGCTGGTAGCAAGATTCTTTGCACACTGACTGAGCTGCATTGCTGCTGCCTGATCAGTCACTGTGGGGACAGCAGCTTTAGCAGATGCCACCATTTTACTTCCAGGCTGTTCAAAGAACAACAGTGAACACAATTAGTTTTACCAGCTCATTTTCTTTAAAGAAAGCCTAGGATTCAATAAAACTGCTTCCTCCATTCACACACTCATGAGGTTTCTAGATTTTTCTTTAATGACTAGCACATTCCTGCTCCTTAAGCTGGAACATCCTGTCAGAATTCTGCCACATTTCCAAGTCCTCTGCAGCAGGACTCATCGTGCTTTACTGGGACAATGACTACTCCACTGGTTCCAATGTCTGCCTGAGGCCTTTGAATACTCACACAGACTACTTAAAAATACTGAAATGTGAAATTTTGCCACTTAGCATTCATGTACAATCAGATCATGGTGGCAGAGATGGCAAATTTCTCTCTATGTTTCTAAGTATTAACCTCTGCCAAAATTCTATGAAATTAAAATTGTAATTCAAGCAGTGCCTCTACACAGGGATTACTGCTGATACAACTAAAAACCTTTGCTGATTCTCATCATCACCACTGTACACACATACAGCCCCAGGGGAGATGGATCAATAATGTGAATGACTCCAGAGGGAATCATAAAGCAAATACTTAAACAGAGTGAGAAGATGGTTTGTGATCCCTCTGCCTACACAGGACCACAAAAACCTGCTAACAGCCACCACATTTCAGGTAAGACTAACTGATGCCAAGTAATGATCACGCCATTACACAGAGAATTGGTTTCTGGTGTTGTTCCCTGTAATGTTACCAATAAGCCAATAGTTTTGTTATCAATACTCAATATTCTACCTTTCTATTTTAAGGTGTTTTAGAAAAAGCATACAGTCAAATTTTGTGTTTTTCCCAAACCATCAATCTAGATCTATTATTCAGGCTAATATCTAAAAAACCATGCTAGTGTTCCCTTTTATTTCTGAGGAATTCTGAAACTTGTTGCTGCAACACTAAGTTTACCTTGCCTAAAAAGGTTACAACAGCCTGTCACATATTCAGACTCAGGCCTCTACTTAGAGAGATACTAAATTCTCTCCATTTTGCTCTTTAAACTCTAACCCAGAAGACAAGTGTACAGCACTGAATGTTTCTTCTCCATAAGCATACTTTTGTCTTGTTACTTTTAACCTCAGTGTCAGCAGTCCTCACTCTCCACAGCTACAATGTATTTTAGCCACCTAACCTGAGGAACCAAATTCTGCCTATCTATGGCTCACAGCAGTGAACTTCTTTACATGGTTCTTAACAGTTTATTGGTTATTTATCACAAATTAAAACATGCAGCACTAAAAAAAAAAGCTTTTTACATCTACTGCAATTATTGGTTCACTTCACCTGAAGAAAATTCTGGCTGGAATTGATTAAAGCAAGCTGGGCACTGAGGTCTTCTGCCTGAGCTTGACTTCCTCTTACACCCTGCACCAGCTGAGGAATGTGGTCTGCAACATTCTAAAATGGACAAAGGGAAAAGAATTTTAGTAAGAAAATAAAAACTCAAAATCCTCTGAAAATAAAACAAGCAGGTTTCCCACTTTTCTTAAAGACAACTGCAATATTCCTGAGTAAATTATTTCTGCACTGTCATAGAATTAATTTAGGATGCATGGAACCAAATTAATATGCAATAGGACTTTTTTTAGAGATGTTCTACTTAAGAAATCATTATTCAATCTACTTGTTTGTTAAAGGCTCCTACAGGAAATCCAAGATATTTATGCAAATATATGTGATGTACACAATACTTGTGTACATCAAGTATTAATTATTTCCTTTGCATGTTCAAATGCCAATAGTGACGGTGATAGATTTCTGAAAGCAGAACATTCTCTTACACACGAGCACCTCAGCCTACTTTTCCTTGGCTTTCAGAAACACAAAACATCATACATGGCTGGAGCATTTGCAAGCATATATTGCTAAAACTTGATTCCTGGACTGTTCACATTTATGGGCTTTGTCCATCCATTTCACAACAACACTTGAGCAGTGCAATACTAAATTACCACCACCACAAAAATGTAAAAAAGTAGATACTGAATCTTCTCTGTCATTTGAGAAATGAGCATCAAGAAAAAAATAGAATGAACAATAAACAATAGTTATCAGGTTGCACTTTTAAAAAATTCATTCTGAAATAGCAGCTCTCTACAACACAATTCTGAAGTATACTTGAGCTATCTTATTTCATTCCAACATTTCTTAGGATTGCACCATGACAAGAAGTAATTGCAGAATGTTGATGTGGGTTTTAACAATACCATCTTTAATGGCTTTGTTCTTGTTCCCCTCTTAAATGCCCTTGGATGCAGAAGAAAATCCTTCTGCATTCTGCATCCTGTCTTCTGCAAATACGGCTTAAACACAAAAGGAAAACAGCTTCTCATCAGACTCTGAATTCTAGCTTGGAAGTATAAAAATGTGCTTGACTTCAGGCATACCTTGAAATCTGTGATCCTACAGCTTTAGCTTCAAGCTAGGAATCATGGTAACCCCACTGTAAGGTCTGTCACTTATGTTTTTATGGTGACATTTAAGATCCCAGTTGCTTGGAGGTGGAACAGCAGAATAGCAGGAGCAGCTGTCAGTTATATGATCTCTTATATAACTGATAAGTTAAATAAGAATTTCACTCCATTATAGTAAAAATCACTATTGCTACTCCATCCTTCATTACAGAAAATCCAAAGGTTCCCTTTATCCCACAACAGACCTCAGCCCCATTTCACTGCATGTATGATTCAAAAGCCTGTTTTGATGATCATGAGGATCACACTCACACACTGAATGCAGGGCCAAGGCTTAGAATCACAGTCAAGGAATCACAAATTCCTGAGCAACTGGACCCCTCTGTACAGCCTGTTTTGATGATCAGGAAGATCACACTCACACACAATGAATGCAGGGCCAAGGCTTAGAATCACAGTCAAGGAATCACAAATTCCTGAGCAACTGGACCCCTCTGTACAGTGCTTCCAGTACAGCTCTGCACATGTTCCATCGCTGGCTGATCTGCACCAAAACTTGTAGTAAAAGTACTTCAGGAGAGTTGGTTGTTACTGAGCAGTTACACACCTGTGCATCCTTTGCTAAGGTGTGTGTTAGTGCCAAGTGTTACATGGCACTAACAGTAGCTCAGCAATGCACAGATAACACAGTAAATGTGAGCTCTCCAGAATCCACACACGTGAACACATACAGTGTTGCTCTGTTTTTCTTTTTTTAAAGCTTCTTTTGAGGTTGCAACACTATTATAGAAGGTGATCCTCATCCCCAAAAAGAATTGTTCAAGCATTATCTGTCATGGGCTTGCTGTGTTTACCTTGCAGCTCTGCACAAGTTGCTGGTGGGCTGCTGTGTTCTTATTGGAAACAGCTGCATTCTGAGAAGCTGCAATAGTCTGAGTAGCAGCAGCTGCAGCTTGTTTAGCTGCAATCTTTGGAGAAAAAGAAAGTTAAATCAGTGCTAAAAGGGAGTAATTCAGAGGATGAAACACACATTACTATAGGTAGCTTTGACAGTAACAACATTGACAAATTAATACATTTTATCCCTTAATTTGATTTGCCTTAAGGAAACCTCAACTAACCACCATTGCTCTTCTCTCAAGGTGAGAATGATTGGAATACTGTTATCCATCTCTGATTTGCCAATCAACTGCCAAAGAAAAAGGCAGACTTAAAAGCATTCTATGCCCTTACTCTTTCACAGCTTAGGTTTCAGCAGGAGGAAGATAAGTGAACTACAAACAGCAGAAATGGTCTAAACAATGAGATCCTTTTGAAGGCCAGAGGAAACAGGCAAAGCACACACAGTGCTGCACACTGCTGCACTGATACCTCTGATCCAGGACTCAAGGGAGCCAATTTCTGCTGAGACTGCTCTATGGCAAAAGCAAAGATCCTAAAATGACACAGAGGTACAGAATACTGCAATTTCTGAGTCTAAAAGCTCTGACCCATAGACTGCTCTATGGCAAAAGCAAAGATCCTAAAATGACACAGAGGTACAGAATACTGCAATTTCTGAGTCTAAAAGCATTCTGAAGACCTTCAAATGTTATTATCAATATCTCCCTGTTACAAAAATAAAAATTCAACAATTTATCCAAGGTACTTCCAACATGTCGTACAACACTAACTGGCCCACTAAATAGAAGCAAGCATGAAGTTTATTACCCATTTTACTCCTTTGTAAGGCAGTATATGTTATAACAGCAAAACATCCAAAATTCTCTTTTCATAAAACTTTCTTGAATGCAATTAGAAAATTACAGACATCAGCCTTTATTTCCTAAAGTACTCCTAATTTTTAGTTCAAGACAGACACAGGAACCTTAGTGTATTTCTGGAACATGGTCACCTTACTGCATTTGAACCAGACTAATGCAAAAATCACAGTTACAAACTAGGAACTATGAAAAGTTTCTTCTTTCAATCTGTCTTTTCCTCATTTTAGTTGAGAATGTGAAGATCAAACTTTGCCCTCAAAACAAACTTCCGTGGTATTTTATCCTTACTAAATTGTCTTTCTCCCTCTTGGCTGGGCCACTAGACAGGATCTATCTTTTTACTTTGTTTCTCTTTCCTGATCCTGAGTAATTTCCCAGTTTAAATGGACATGCTGAGACCCTCCTAACTTTGCTCAGAAATTCATCTGGAACTGTATATCCTAGTAAAGGCACAAGAGGTACTGAGGGTAAATGGCACACCACAGAGACAAATTAACAAAGCAATGAAGCCATTTCAGCTCAGCTCTTTAATTTTAGGACTAAGCCACCATCTAATGCCTTCTGAGTCAAATCCTTACACCACTTTACCACTTTATCTGTGATACAAGTTACTCAGCTTTCTGAGGACTATGTTATGATATACTGGCATGTCTAATTCTAAGCTTTGTACTCTGGAACTGAGCTTCCAGCACTGTCATTCTCTGCTTAGCACTTTCACTATATGGTTTCCAACCTCTAATCTGTTGACAATTTTCTTCTTGATGGCATTCTGTGCAGCAGCATTGGTAGCAACCCGCAGTCCCTCTGCTGCTTCTCTCAGACGTTGCTGTTGATCTTCATTTTCAGGATTGGCTGCAGCTCCCTGCACAAAATTTCCAAGCAAAACAAGTAAGTCTGAGTAAAAATGACTGGAGAAAATGTGGATGAGCATCAAGACTTAAGTTCAGACAGCATCTGCTACATCAGCATTAATTTTCCTTAAATTATCATAAGGAAGGTAGAAGAACACTGAAGTATTACAAAACTGCAGAAAGTCTGTTTCTAGTGGAAGGCTGTTACTGTCTAAGTCTGGTACTTAGAGGAAGAAAGCTGAACATTTGCTTCATACACCACTTCAGGTGCTTGGGAAAGAAGCCTTTTTAAACTGCTTCTCCTTTGATCTGAAATAATGTATGAATATAGGTTTTTGAAAAAAAACCCACAGTTTCTAAAATTCCCAATTCAATATGTCTTTCAGTAACTGCAGTCCAAAAATTGAAGTTTAACACAGTAGATCTTCTCCATCTGAAGTCAGAAAAGACTGCAAAGTCAAGGATAGGCAGACAGGCACACAGGACTTCTGGAGTTCCAGCAAGAATGGTTGGCCCTGCTGCAGTAAAAATAATTTCAGTGCAGGATCTGGGAAACAATTCAAAGGCATATTCCTCCCTAGCAGACTGAAACAGGTTTCCAGCACAGAAAGGGAAGAAAAAGTGTGATATTTGTCTCTTGTGAAAACAAGGAGGGAAGGATGTGGAAGGGAACAACACAGGCAAGATTCCTCAGGTGAAGGAAACTGTTTCTTAGACAGAGGGGAGTTGCTTTGTAATGACTCCAGTGAGAGATTGCTGTGGTTCTGTTGTTCCACTTGCACTGGTACAAGACCCTGCACCAGGCCTCAGGGCTGGTGGTAGCTGCCCTACATGGCTTGAGTCATGGCCACTATGCACACAGGAAAGCAAAAGCAGTGCAAGATGATCTTTTAAAACAAAAAAAAATCCAGGTAGCTAATAAATTGATTTTTGGAATGTAGCAAGTCATTAAAGAACTTTTACAGGACAAGAGAAACCATCTTTACTACCAGCCAGATGCTATTTATAAATCCCACACACCCTCTCTTCATTGTGTACAGCCTCACAATGTTAAGCTGACATTTCCCCGGTACCTTTGCAGCTTCAACCATGCGGGCTGTGGAATCTGCCAGGAGCTTTGCAGCAGCCAGAAGCTTCTTGGAGTTCTCCATGTCGATCTCTGCTTCTGCATCAGACCTCATGGCATTGACGAGATCCGAGGTGGCCTGAGCCAGCACCCGCGCCTGCCGCACCATCTCACCTGCGGAGCACAGCTGCATTGTTACTGCTCCTCTCTGCATTTCAGTCTTGGCTTCAAAACTCAGCATCGTTTCACAAGGCAAACAGGAAGTTATATTTGCTGAAGTATTTTTTTACTTGAAAATTATATATATATATATAAAACTTGAAAGTTTCACAAACAAATCTTGTATCCCAATGTAAATGAAACCACTACAGTGTAGATGAAGAAAAAAGAGCAGCATTTGCAATCTAGATAATAAGGCAAAAACACACCATCAGTATTTTTAGGTAATTTTGAATATACAGCTCAAGGAAACTCCTGTCCCAGTAAAGATTAACAACTTTGCTTTCAAATCACAGCCAAGATTTCACTCCTTCAATAACAATTACCCATCTTCTTCCTGTGTTTCTAGGGAATTATCTTTTGTCTAATATAAACTGAGAACTTTCTCAGAAAACAGTTAGCACCATTGAAATGGCTCTAACCAAAAACATCTTGTTTCTTGTTTTAGAAGCTGCACTTTTTAGAAACATCTCAGAAGAAAAAGCAGATGTAAGTTTAAAAACCTACAACCAAATCTATGCATAGTAACACCAATGGCTGTGAAGTACTTGACCAGGTGCCTGTCTTCTTATTTGGAGATGAGAAATTGCTATACAATACTATGAAGTGAAGCAGTGGCAGAAAACAGACAAAATATTACAGTGTTCCTTTAGCGTGGTATTGATAGTTTTCACTGAATATTTACTCCATCTAGCACACAGCTACATGCACACTACTGATTTATATATGGGCTGGATCACTACCCATGACAACAGCACCAACTTAGAAGCAGACAACAGAGAAGAAGGATTTTTATTTTCTTGACTTAAAAGGTGCACGTGTGAACCGCGGCAAGCTACCGCTCCTCGAAGGAACTCACCGGCGTCCCCCATGGAGCTGAAGATGCTCTCGGTGACACACATGATGGTGTCTGTGGCCTGGTCGTAGCGCCCGATGGGCTCTCCCCTGCTGGCGAACTGCCGCACGTGCTGCAGCAGGTCATTGAGGGCCTGGCTGACGATGCTGGCGGCAGCGCTGACCTGCTTCAGCAGCTCGCTGTCATCCGTGGCGGCCTGGCAGGCCCGCACGCAGTTCTCCACCGAGCGGTCCACCAGCTTCCCTGCCTCGATCAGCTGCTCCTGACACACCGGGGAGCTGATGGTGGGACTCACCACCTGCATGGGGAGAGCACCCAGAGCACTCAGAAAAGGTTTAAGAGTCCATTCTCAAGGGCGTTGGGAACGCAGCAGCACTCACTGGACACGAGGCTCTGCCCCTTCACAAACACCTCTGCCTCACCTTAGCGCAAGCCACAAGCTGGGAAGTAGAGAGTGCACACTGGGTAGCAGCAGCAATGACCCTGTTCTGCAGGACGGTGTCCTCAGCCACCTGTGCCACGTTCTTGGCTTTCAGCACCAACATGGCAGCAGCGTTGGCAACAGCTTTGGCCAAACTCATCAGAACATCCTGGTGAAGTAAAAGGAAAACTCAGTCTGTGACATGAAAACACATCCAGGTATAAATTCCTGTAGTCACTAAGTTCAAATAATTCCTATTTCCCCACTTAAAATCCCACCCATATACTTCAGTTTTTTCCTAATGCCTCTACTGTTAAAATGACCTGGTTTTCCAGCAAAGGAAATACCTCCAATACACTTATTTATAATTTCAACATGACAGCAGGCAGAAAAAAACCCATTATATTTAATGAGAAGAAATACAGTGCAAAAAGCTCTCCATGAAGCATCTGTATGATGCACAGAATGAAGTAGGGGTTACTATGAAATCAGCACTCTGTGATTGTGCAGTTAAAACCAACTTCAAAATGGATTTAATTAGCATAGAGAAACTTCAGCATTTTTTAACCACACTTTGAGCAGCCTGGTTTTATGCAGGGCTCTCCTCATTACAAAACTGCACAGTTCTGACAGTGACCAGCAACCCCTCATTACCTGGAACCTTTCATCTGTTTCATTCTCCCCAATTTGTCTCAGTAGCTCCCCGCTGGCTTGTCCAATGCTGCCAGCTGCAGTCAGAACTGTCTGGCGAGGCTGGGAAGAGGTAACAGTGAAATGCATTAATCCACAGAAAATGAACTTCACTTGCATTTTTTATTTCCTCAAGGAACTTGTGCATTAGTGTGCAAGCAATATGGCCAAAAAGAGGGAACCTGAGAAGTTTTTCTTTACTCACCTCTCCTGAAGTAGGCTGCACAGCCTTCAGCAAGTCTGAGACAGCACTGGCCAAGGTTCGAGCAGCTTTCAGGAGATCTTCTCCACTTCCAACTTCATCATCCATGAGAGCAGCAAGCAGTTTCACACCTTTGGACATCTCAGTGAGGTTGGAGGAGATGGTTGTAATTGCACATCCCACAGCAGTGTAATCAGTGTCAACTGGGTCCCCTGCAGAGCAAATGTTTTTCAATGATCAGAATGCTTTAGTGGCTAAAAGGGAAACAGCAGCAGCTACAACAAGCTACACTCTGGTGAGAGATAAAAGAGACATTTCAAGACAGCCAAGCAATGCCTACTAAGTAATGTGTCACTTAAAAAAACATTAAATTGTTGTAAATTTTCTCATTTCTACATTTTTTCTGCAATAATCTATCCTCTAATAGAATGTTTCTTCATTCAATGTAATTTGCTGAGAAATCCACAATTTCAGTCTCCTTCAATACTGAAAGAACCTAAGGCAATATAATTTTGTCTCCTTTAAGCCACTTGCAGCTCCCTCAACCTGTAATTTGCTGAAGAAAAATAAATACACTGTCAATAAAAACAATCTCTCCTTAACAGCTGCCAGATCAATGATGCTTTCTTGTAGTAACCTTGCAAATACTCTCTGTTGGATAAGCCAGCTACATTTTATCTTCACTGACTGTTACACCTTCAGAGAAACTAAAGATAGATAAGAACATAGAAAAAAATGTGCTGGGAGGGACACCAAGTTTGTTCCACACATTAATGCACTTAGCTATCGGTGTGTTTTAAACAAAATTTTCTGCAGCTTCCCCCTACTCTGTTAATATGTTTCTTGATTTAGATTGACAAATAGTTAGGAGACTGCAAGGAAATCCTTCCCATTGAAATTTACCTGCTGTGAGGTTAACAACAGATGCAGTTCCTGCAGTGATTGCGTCAACCTGAGAGTGTATTTCATGTTTTGATTCATCAACTTTGTTCTGAACCCATACTCTTGATGCCTGAAGAGCAATAATGAAAAGAAGAATTAAGGACTGCAGTGAGGTTCTGTAAGACAAGATACTAGGTACATATTCCATTCCTTTGTGAACTTTTAAAAGGGAAACAGAAGACAAGCAGCAGGCCTTAAAGTGAAATATGAATGCAAGCATTTTCTTCTGCTGATTCATTCATTACAGATTTGCTCTCACATTTCAACAGCTGCCCTTTTAAGGTAAATGCCATAAGAAAGGCTAAACACTCTTGACTGACAGTCCCCCATAAGCAATAACCCTCTGGCTCTGTCCTCCTGCCCTAACCTGGATCAAGAACAACAGACTCATATTTTGTTCTTATTTTCCATGTCTCTGGGAGGCAGTAAGTCCCACCATTAATACTGTCCATAGTTTGTGTTTAACTGTACATATGCCCACAAAAAAAGAACATTCCAGGCAGGTTTATGCAAGGAAGTCTGCTACACCTGGTCTCAGGAGACTGATTAGAGTGAAGTGGGCCACTGTACATGAATTCCTTAAAGAGAGCACAACATTTTTACCCCATCTTAAAAGCTTTAGCAGTATCACTTTAGATCTGGGGACAATGACTAAACTGGTCTGCAAACAACCCAAAGCCCAAGGCTCATTTGTGTGTGGATCAGAACTCACCATGTCCTGCCCCAGAGGTGGCAGGTTGTCCACTTCGCTGAGGTCGGCCTGTGCCTGCTGCACCGCGTGCATGCTGGTGTTGATGGTCCCCATCAGGGCCTGCTGAGCTGAGGTCTGCAAGGCAGAGAAGGAAATGGCTGGGCTGTGCTCCAGAGGGCACTTCAGGCACAAGCCACATGTGCATGAAGACAGCCTGAGTGACAGCAGTCCAGCAACCACACCATTTCAGAGAGGCCATTTCAGAGAGTTGCCTTTTCCTGGCACAGTGGAGAAAGCAAAGCCCTCAAACTCTTCTCACAGTCCTGAATCTGCTCATGCCATTTTACACTCTGTGCTACTTTCACACATATATAAAGTGCTCAGCATTCTCAGCTCAAACCATGGCCAACAGACACACACAACCCCACTGAGCTGTTTTACTGACCAGCATTTGAGCAGCATGAAACCTCAATTTGCTTTGGAGATCATTACTGACTTCCTGGGACAGCCTCCCAGTGCAATCAAGGATGATCCTAAAACTAAATTGTCATCAACATGCATAAGCTACCAGAAAACTGAAGGGGTTTAGGCAGAGCAGGACGCTGTCTGTATTCAGTGTCTGTGGCAGAAATTTTAGCAGCAGGGGTGGCCTTTAGGAGAATTAGTCAGAGGCTGCCCCATGCTGGGCACAGCTGGCTCTAGACAGCTCCAACAGACCCAACACAGCTGAGTGCAGCAGCCAAACTGATGGCACCTCTGGGAAAACATTGGTGACAAAGGGCAGTGAGGGCAAAAAGGAGTTCAAGAAACAGCCTTGAAAATGCCAGTGCCTGACAGGGATGTGGAGGGCATGCTCAAGACAGCACAGCTGAGTTTCCTTAGCCTGTGGGAGAGAGCAAAGTACAACAGGTAATTCTCTGCAGTCTGTGGAGAGGGCTGTGTTGGAGCAGATACCCCATATCTGCCCTGCAGACCACAGAGGACCCCACAGTCAGCAGGTGGATATCTCCCTGAAAGGAACTGCAGCCCATGGAGAGGCTGTGCTGGAGCAGGGCCTTGCAAGGAAGGAGCCCAGGGCTGGAGCAGGCTCTCCTGAAGTGAACTGCAGCCCACAGGAAGGACAGGACGGACATGCTGGAGCAAGGAGAAGCAGAGAGGGGCTGTTACAAGTTGGGTACTTGTGAGCAAGGAGTAGTAGAACAGCCATAACTGAAGGAGTGAAATTGAGTCTGAGTAAAAAAAGGGGGTGGGTGAGAAGAATTTTTAGTTTTCATCTGTTTCTCACCATCCAACTGTATTTTAATTGACAGTAAACTAAATTAATTTTCTCCAACCTGTTTTGTCCATGATTTTGATTCTGTTTTGCCCATGAACACAATTGATGATCTCCCTGTCTTTATCTTGACCTATATTGATATAAAGCTTTTTTTAATCTTCTATATCCTCCATACAGACTTCTTGAGCTGAGGAGTAAGAGTGCCTGCTGGGCAGGCATCTGGCAAACAGCCAAGGTCAATTCACTACACAGACTGTTCTTCTAGTAGTATGTAATGATTTTAAGCACTGATTATATTCTCTAAATGCTGTTTAGGGCTTGTGAAAGTCTTTCAATTTAAATGAAAAAAGCACCATCGGTTTTGGGCCTCCTAAAAAATTTCTAAGTTGGTGGGCTAGTGATAAGTTAGAAGTAAGCCTTATCCTTAAAATTGCTTACTTTTGCCAGTCTTTAAACCTTTTTATTTTGCCCTTTGAATACTTAGTTTTAACTACTTACAAGTAAAGAAAAGGCTGGAAGAGCCTGCTTTAAAGAAAATGAGGAAATAAATCAAAAAGTGACACCCTAAATATTTAAGGGATACTCATAACTTCTGCTTGGTAGAACAGTCAGGACACTACAGCCAGGACTCCCGGTCTTAGAAATGCGCCTAACATTCTCTTTCTGACTACTTGCTGCACAGAGAGGTTTCACACACAAAACAAGGGGGTTTCTCACAAGAGGGGGCATATGTCCTCTGTGCATCTGGCCAGTTGTCACTTGCTGCTGAGGGGAAGGCATGATGCCAACGTTGAAAGTCTCGGGGCCGCTGGAGCCGGAGCGCATCACAGCCGGCAGCGCCACGGAGCCGTGCTCCACCTTCCCGGTGCGGTTGAACTGCTGCTGCAGGATGGTGGGTCTGGGGAAACAGCCAGCACACAGTCAGTCAGCTCCTGCAAACTGAGCTCTGTCAGCTCTGCTTCTTCTAGGATTTCAAATGCATTTCACAACGTTTGGAGAAGCTGGAGAATTTGATGGTTTTTCTTTCTAACCATTTTCTAATGTATTGGAAAAAAGATAATCAGGGGCTTCTGGCAGATCAGTTATTAATAGCACTAATGAGCAGGCACCAAGGAAAGATGGCAATGTGCAGTTTTGTTAAACATGATACAATAGCTTTACCCCTTTTAGACACAGAGCAGACAGAACCAGAACCAGGTTTATGGCATAACAACTGTTTTGTTTCAGTTGTATCACCGGCTGAACAATACAAAATAGAAGCACAAACCTTGTGGAGATATTTTGCTAGTATTCCCTAGAATTGGGATAAAAACTTACTTTCTTCCCCCTTTATACAAACAAGCACACACAGTACTTGCAAATAATCTGGCAGTCCCCCAGATACTGGACTGGAGAATAATAAATAAAGTTACTGCCATCCACGGTCCTGAACTGCCTTGCCAGATATACTGCTCATATTTAAACATGATTCAACCTTTAATAGCTAGAAGTGTTGACAGAAATTCAGGCTCTAACAACAACACTCTGCTGAGGGGAAGAAAAAAGTGATTTCAACTATGAAAAAATCCTGTATTTATCTACTACAAGTTTTGGGCTTTTCTGCACAGCACTTAACTAACAGTATATTCTGGAAGTGATTTGGAAAGGGCCATGTCAAAATAAAGCACATCTGAACATGTGTGATCCATCAAAAGATGAAATTTCCCATAAGGCCACATGAAATACCTAACAAATCTATCTCATATAAACTGTAGGCTTAACAATAAATCAAATGGACTTTTCACATACACACTGCTGACACTGCCACCCTCAAAAGCTCCAAGAAAAGACTTGAGTAGCTCATTACAGCTTATAATGTCACAAATCTGTTTTTATGGTCTCACTGCACAGAAAGATCTGACATTCCTTTTCAAGAGTGTGGCCAGCTCTACAGTTCTGTGTTTCCCTATGTTCAGTTACTCTCCCATCAAAACCATAACCTGACCTACTTGTACCAAAGCCTTTCCCCTACCACACCACACATCTGATGGCTTTGGCTGGTGAAATAAGCCAGCTCTGCTCATAACACTGTGTACAACTAAACTGACAGGTGTCAAATCTACTGGAAACCATGGAACTGGCAGACACAAGCAACCAAAACCATGTAAATCACACATGAAGATGAAAAAAAATACTACAACTTTTCAGCTCTGCTTCATTATCCCCCTCTCTGCCCCAGCATTTTACTGAATTACAGCCTGAGTGCCTTTGTTCAAGACTCAAGTTGATGTTGCCATTGCTTGTTGCCCTAACCAACAATTTTGTGACAAATATCTGCTCTTCAATCCTTGAATGAAGCTAGGAGTCTGCTGAATTGCCTGGGGACAGTACTTCCTTCTATTGAAATACTCTGTAGAAAATCATTCTTTCACAGTAATAACTGTATTACTTCATTTGAAAAGGCTGCTACAGCTAAATGTGGCACTCTTACAAACAGACCATTTCCTCCTGTTGCATGCACTCACTTCTTAGGTGAAACAGATTCTTCCAACATGGTTGATTCCTCATCACCTTCAAGCCCAAATCTATCTTTACTTTGTTTCTGGAGGGGGAAGAAAAAAAGATAAGTTAAACAAATGTGTGCTGTTTCTTGCTTTCTCTCCACCATTTCCTTGCCATTTATCACAAACCTAAACAAATGACCTGCAGAGTCTTGTCTGGTGCTGAACACCATGCTCTTGGGCAGTGAGTGAGAACACAACCTCCCCAGAGAAGAGGTACTCTTCAGCATTCAACAGCCCAGGTTCTAAACTCTGGCAGATGAAGTATCTAAAGGAAAAAAACCTGCTGGTTCCTTTTTGAACAAAGGTATAAGGAAAGTGCTGAAGTGTTACTGTATGGTGCTACCTGCTGATGCCTAAAGATTTCAGCCTTTATATTTTTGAAATCTTGTACTGCAATAGTGCATAACTCTAAACTCCATATAAAGTGTTAGTTACCTGTCCACATTTTGGTCAGACAAAACAATCCCTCTAGGTCTGAGATCCAAGGGCACCCTACAGCCTCAGGCCCCAAAAAGTAAAAACAAAAGTGAATTGGGGGGGAGCAAACTGGGGGAATGTGACTTCATCACCTGAAGCTGTAAATGGAGTACTAACTCCTGATATGTAAATGGACAAAACTTATATCTGTCTGAAAAACTCATGATGACCATCATCCATTCTGGGTGTAGCCCCTTGAGGAGGGTCTGTCTGCTCTTAATTCACCTGAAGGCCCTTCATTAAATATATCCACTTTTATTCTTTATCTTTGTCTGGCCTCTGTTTCTGGGTAAGCTCAAAAAAGGCATCACAACCAGCAGGAAGCACATGCCACAAGTAAAGACAATAAATTGAATAGTGTCTCCAAGTCATTTTATCATAGGTACTTTAAAGTTCAGGACAGTCTGACTTCAGGCTGAAGACTGAGGCAGGGGTTTTTCAGTGCTAAGAGATTTGTACATGTACCTAAGGGCAGTAAGTCTAAACCACTAGAAACAACAGGAAACTACAAATCACAGAAATAGTGCCTTATAAATAGTCTATTTCTACTTGTTGCCTAGTGAAGAGAAACTGTCTGCTTTCCCTCTTGCTACATGATTTGTAGTCTGAGTCCTTAGAGATGAATCTAAACAGAGAAGTATCCACTGTGACCTTCCATCCAAGAGGAACTCCTCATGCACATCTATGTGAACACACAACTCCAGAGAAAGAAGTTCTTACTATTAGAGTTTGATTTTATGCAGGAACTGAAACTCCCTATTTCTAGTTATGATTGTGCTTTACTTCCATAATAATGTGAAGTAAAAAACACCTACTGTTTTTAATTTAGATATATGCTACTCAAGTTCTGGGTTCTCTGTCAGCTGATTAATGACCAATCACTAAAATTGCAGGAGATGAGGGGTTGGGTGGAGTGGGGGGGAACACTATACTAATAACACTTGAGCAGAAAAAATGTATCTATGCACACCGGAGAAAAGGAGTTTGACCAGCCCAAAACAGAGCAAGAATTAACAATATGCAACTGAAAGCAACAAACCCCACTTTGATGCATCCATCACAGAGATTATGTGTGAGCTCCAGAACTATGAACTGCAGCTTCTCATATGAATCAGGGATGTTTATGATTTAACTCATTCCTAATTCATTAATTTCAAACTGGCTGTGTCAGCAGATGATAGAGAAAAAAAAAATCAAAGAACTGGGAGTGTAAATTTGCACATTTGTATTCAATCAACACAGAATGCTGCTTTCATTTGGCACTAGACAGCAATGCTACTTTTGAATCAAGTTTTAAACCATCTACACAAACCTGCAATTTATTTGATGTTTATTAAACCTGAGCCTGACAGCCTCAGAGAAAAAGGCATGTGATGAATTCTGTGTGATGAATTCTGGCAATCCTCCTGAACCTCTCATTACATAACCCTTAGTGTTACATCTTACACTGCTCACTAACAAAGGCAATAAATTCTTCTGGGTTACTTAACTTTGTGATTTCTTACTACTAAACTCTATTACGGTAAAGAATGATGTGGTTTGAATGTCAAAGAAGTAAAATTTTGACAAGAATGACTCAGTGCTGTTTGGAACACCTCACTTTTCTATATAACATGCTTAGAATGGGACTATTCAGCTCCATGTTTGTTGGCAAACTTGCCATTTTTTGCTGTTGCACTTGCTAGCTTGGGAATATTTTGAATACTGGAAATTTTATCAGCCCTTCCTCTCTCCTGCCAGGCACATTCTACAAAAACAAGTTTCAAGGCAGTCTGACCTCTTCACAAACACTGATTTTATCCCCCTCTGCACAACTGAGGTCAAATCCTTTGCTTTGCTAATCACAGTGGTTTTAAAGCAATGTACTGTTGGGGCTTTTTGGTTTGTTTTTCTGGCCAAAAACTTTCACCTTTGATACATTATATACAAGAGCAACTGGACAACTATTGTGTAGTCCTGGCTGTAGTTTTAAATACTGCTTCTAGAGTAATTTCTTCCCATCTGATTCATCCCTATAGCTTAAAAATCTAAAGCTGAAGCTTTGGACTCTTCCCCGGGTACACACTCACAGCCACCAGGTCACCTTCTAGATGGAAAAACAGCCCAGGAGTGCTGTACTGAGCCTGACACGTGCTAGAGATGTAATAAATAGCCTTGATTTTTCCAGAAGCAGCACCTTACTTGAAGGTAAAAATATATAACATCAAAACATAACAAGACATAACACTGAGAGAAAAACTGCAGTTTGCACATATCCGAATTTTTGCTTTTTCCTTTTTGCTACATGCCAAGATGTTAATACTGTACCTTCTTTAGGATGATATCAATGTAACCTGCAATTAATTGAGAGATCTGTTCTCCTTCAGTGGTCTGTACTGAGTAATAGCTTTCCTGATATTCACCAAAATCCTGAAGAAAAAGGGGAAAAAACCCAAAACTTATTTGAAAGTGTGAAGTAAGTAAATGCAGAAACAGTACCAAATATGACTGAGAAAATTCAAATGCTGAAATTGTTTAGACATTTTATTATATCCAACAGTAAGTTAAACTTGTCCAAGATTCTAGACCAGTCTATATGTGAGACTGAGGGAAGAGAGAAGAATGCTTTTTATTTCAGTTTACTCACAGATGTTCCATAAATTCAAATGCCCAAGAGATATTTCATCTAACTTTATCAGATTCAGTCACTTGAGGATGAAGAAAAGTATTTTTAGAATTTAATCCTAGAGCATAATCATCCATGCAACTGGAAATTAGATGCACATGAATCAAGTGAATGCAATTTTCTAGCTTCTGCCTCTTGCTCCATCACTTCAAACAACCTTTTCATATGCAAAATATACATTGCAGTGGTCTCCCATTGACCAAATAATTAGCAAAATATCACATTCATGAAGCTTCTCTAAATTCATAATTATCAAATACATGAATGAGCCAGCTGACTTTGTTTATGTTCACATCTTACAAGGCACAACATACATTATGAATGACAAGCATCATAACTATTTACACCAGTGGGAATAATAATGCTTTCTTAACTGGTTCATTAGTTAGGCACAAACCAGATTTAAACAGTGGCTTGTTGAAAGATTTAAGCAGTACTTCTGAGGAACTGGTCTGTCCAGAAGCACCAAACTACAGATTGAACCTGCATTACTGTATCTGCCAGTTTATTACTTGAGGACTCAGTGACTCTATCAGGCTATAAAATCAGAGACAGAACAAGTTACAGTACACAAACTGTTCTAAGCCTCCCTGCCACATAACTCCCTTGTCCTCTGAATACACACACAAAGATTACCAAAGTGAAGCTTTTAGGTGAGGCAGCCCAACGTTTCACAGTTGTCAGTGGCCATTCCTGCAGCACCTCCTTGGTCTTCTCATCCACACGCATCACGGAGTCTTTGGTGACCCCCAGCAAACGAGGAACCAGCTTGTTTTTGCCTTTCATTTTTTCCTACAACAAGGTGTGCAAGATCGTTTTCCTTACAAATGCCAGCTTTCCACAGGACAAAGGAAAAGCAAGATAGAATACACTGCAAAGGGAAGCAACTGGCATGCAGACAGTGACAATTTGAAACTCCAGGCTTACTTTTTCTGTTTACAGACAATGATTTTCAAGCAATGCATTAAGCAGCTCTGGTCTTTAGTGCATCTTTACTATTCAGTTCAAAAGACACCCCCTCTTCTCACTCTTCCAGAAAACTGGAATATCTTAGTGGTTGAGGTAGCAACCCTTAGCTTAGAGAGGGACCTGAGATCACCCATAACCAAGGACACAGGATGGCCACAACAAGAGCTACGTTACCTTAACAAGGAAAAACGACACGCCGTAGGTGCGCAGGGAACGCGCCAGCTTCACATACTTCACTTTGGCTTCTATTTCTGTCATCTCACCACAGTTTTTGTGCTCCTGTAACAGAGTTCAGTATCAATTAGGCAGAACCAAAGCTTCTAGAAAGAAACAGAAAAAGGGTACAGCTTTTATCTATTTCAGGATGCTTAGTTCATAATCATTGCAACTAGAATATCTGAAAAAAATACTGGGTAGAAATGTTAGCAAAACTATCAGATAACACCTCACATGAGAGAAAATAACTAACTTGGGCAAACAGAACACTCCTCTTTGACCATCAACCATTCAATCTGTGCCTCAGACCATGCACATTAAACCCCTTTTGACACAGTTTAAAATTCTAGGTATTCCTGCTATTTGACCCCATTAGGTTTCATACAATTAATGCCTCTTCACTCAGCTTTTAAACATTGTTTAAGTGTACCCGCACCCTTTTTTTTCCTCCCAGAAACAGATTATTTATTCCTGCTTTGTGCCCAAAACTTCTGAATCATGACAGCCTCACACCTTGTACTTGAGACCATTTCTCATGTCTTGTAGGTACTTCCCATGGGCCTTTTTGCCAGTTGCAGCATTATCCAAAATTGTTTTCTATCACAGGAAAATATCTCTACAGCTGAGGAACAAACAATGATTTTTCTGAATAGCGTGTCCTGAAATACTCAACTAAGTGTGTCCTGTAACTCAGTCTCTTTTTACTGTTTAAACAACTTGGTCATTAGTAGATTGATGATTATGTGTAAGTAACAACAGGTACCCATCTTATGTATTTAAATTTATTACATTTAAGTAGCATCTTCTCTCCTATCCAGACCACTGTGCTGAAATCCACATCCCAATGTCTCGCTATTTAAATCCTGTTTGTGGGACTCCCTGTCCCACCCCTCTCAAGTGCCGGCTGCCACATCTTCCATGCTGCCTGATGGCAGCAGGGGGAGCACCAGGAACATGGGAAATGCCTTCTTATTCCACTTGTTCCCACCTCAACAGTGTGGGAGCTTCCAAGGGAGAGCACTGAGAGGAGCAACTGCAACTCCAAAACCTCTTGCATCCCAAGAACACAGGCTGCTCCCATCTGTCAACTTCAGCAGAGAACACAACCGAGATCCCAAAAGAACAAGGAGCACAGATGTAGCGCCTGCCAAGCTCCAGAACTTCATGGCTTGGGAAACAGCTGAGTTTTTCCCAAAAAGACAGCTCACATATTCTACCTTGTCAAATCTTTGCCCAGATCAGTGCCCGCACTGATGAGCTTTTGGTCCATGCACTAAAGCACATAATGATAGGAAGTACTCACAGGTCATATCTGACATGGGCAAAAATCCCGTGCTATGAAAAGCATGGCTGTGATTCAGAAGTGAATGAATCTGGTTTTTGCTTAAACTGCAATATCACTGCACATTGACTTAAAGGTGCACAGAAAAGTGCCAGACACACTCACCTACAAGGAAGTACTGAAGAGTCAAGGCAGAAGAGACTCACTAACTTATAGGATTCTTCAGCTGGGAGTGTAGCAGACAAAAGAAAGGATGTAACCTGTTCCTGCTCTTGAACTTGTCTCCCTAGCTGGGATCACAGATCTCTGGTGTGTCCTTCCAGAAACCATGAGACTTTATCTCACCTGTTGACCTCAGAATTTTCCAGCTTCCATCGCATTGCCAAACTTGTATTTCAGTGGGCAGAATTACCTGGTGCATCTACAGTACTCAGACTCTGAGACCACTTCTAACAATACCAGTCCATTTTACCATTTATACTCAATTGCTCCTGTCTTTTACAATGGGCTGATTCCCACACACACCACTGAATTCATGCATTAACAAGTAGAATTGAGGCTCATGTTTGAACAAAGCACAAAATTAAAACTGGCTTTCCTAAACACGTGTCTATTTTAATACAAATATGCATCTTTATATTTCAAAGCAACTGACAAAGAGATCTTAAAAAGATCTCTCTCCATTTAACAAAGCACATTGGATAATCATCAGTTTAAAAAAAATGACCAGGAGAATATATCCTCTGAAGAAATAAAATAAAAGCTGTCAAATACTTGATACTTCATTTTCTGATAGCTATTTAGTTCAAAGTTCTTGGTATACATACAAAGTATACACCTGGGAATTTCAGACTTTTCTGATAAAGGTAGTGAAACTATAGTAGTTTTTTTGGCCTCACAATTACCTGAAATATTCTCTTTTCAGCCCCTCTTTGTTTGGTATATTCTTTAGGCAGGAATTCTTTCAGGCTAGGGAAAAAAAAAATCCAAAGTTAATGGCTCCTCCTTGAGGAAGGATGCTTTCCATACATCTTTACTAGCACTAGGTCCCCCAGGCTTCCTAATGTGGGTGCTAAATATCTCCACAACAAAACAAAACTCAGTAGAGCAAGTGTTTGTCTTACCACTTGAGTTGCTGCCCCATGTAGTACCTTTTCATGTTCTCAAAATCCATCAAAAACAAACAATAGCTGGGACACTTTCCAATTTAAAATTATAGGATGTCTCTCAGCAGCTCAGAGGGTTTCATATCTAAATGGAACTACATTTATTGTGATCTGGGACAAGGGAACATGGAGGCTGGAGCCAGCTCTGAGTTCAGACACTGCTGTTACTTGACAGCAGCACTTTGATTTATTGATGTGTGGGACCAAGCTCTTTCTCTGTGATAGCCAAGAAATGTTAGAACACTACTACTGTACTGAAAAACTAGAAAGCAATTTAAGTGGACTCTTAACATCACTGTGTTGTCTCAAAGTAAAAAAAGAAGCAGTTTTGATTTCTGCAGCACTCAGGTTCTAAGGCTCTCAGAACATGGATTAAATTAAACAAGTTCAGCCTCCACAACAGAGTTCAGTCAGAAGGAATCCTTCAACACCTCATCTTCCCCTCCTTGCTGTATAATAAAATAACCCTTTATCTCAGCCAGATTTCACCCTAACCTGAGGGCATAGCAGCATCAGGTTTTAACAAATAACTGTTCTGGATTGTACCTTCCCATCTGGAATATTCTACTCTGATGAAACCATGTCATATATTCAGCAGGTCATTTTCCACCTGAAAAAACTTGCAGAGTTAAAATAATTAGTCTCTAAGGATTCCCCCTGCTTTGGACTATTATGACTGGAGAATGTCCTCCTTATTCTGATGTATTCAGTAAAAAAGCAACATTTAACACTGAAGGCTAGACTACCTACCTACTAGGATACAAAGTTAGATGTTTTGAGAAGGATGGATTGTTTTAAACAAGATTGGCAAAAAAACTGCTCAACTGTTCTGTGGGAGTTGCTTCGTTTTTATATCTTGAAGGTGTTTTTGTTGGGTTTTTTGTTTATATTACTGTGCACTTTTTTTGTGTTTTTAAACACAAAAGACTGCCATTGCAGACAATAAAAAATGATCTCAAAATACTAAATTAGTATTTTGTGTTTCAAAAATACTACTCAGTACCGAGGTCACACATTTTGTCTTTTCCATGTTATAAAACAAAGTAAGAACAACTGTCCTTGCTAAACTTTGTTCTCATGTTCTCATAGCTACATCTCACTTATCCATGATAAAGAAATCTCTTCTTGGGGACTTATTTACAAAGACACATCATGGGGTAGGGAAGGCTGAAGAGTCAGATTAAAACTGTAGACAAGGACTGAATACAGCTTATTATCTTAAAAAGCTGGTGTATCTATTATGAAACAACTGGTGCTTTTATACAGAATTTCACAGGTTCAAACCAGTTTAGTTGAATTCAATTCTAAGGCAAATTAAGAAAACAACAAACCCAAACCTGAATTAAACAAAGTTTCATTCTGGAAATCTATTTATATAAACAAATAAATTATAGCTATCAACACACTTTAAATAATCATCTTTTATTAGCTAATTTTCTCAGTTATCTGTATACAGATAAACTATCAAAACTGTTACCTTTTAAAGTTTGTCTACTTAATTTTTAATTAATATAACACTTTAAAAAACATTTCTAAGCAAACATTACTTGGAGCCTCACAAGCACCAAGGACTAAGAAAACAACTTGGTGCTTTGTCCACTAAGCAGCAATTGCAATACCCCTGCACATGTGGGTGGCAATTGGATTGGAAGTATTTTCCTTCCATCACCTTCCACTATTTTTAAATCAAGAGGCAAGTGATCACCTTATCTCAAAGGGTGAAATGCCAGTTGTGAACTGAAATCACATTAATTCTACCCTATAATCCAGATATTTTCCTTACAGACAGTTTCACTTTATTTTGCAGCTTTTTAATGCAGCTAGCAAAAAGAATGGAAATATCATTTAGCCTTCTTTAATCCCTTAAATTACACATATTAGAATGTGTACATTGAACTCAGGTTAAAAAACAGTTAACAGCAAGCAGGGTTGATTTAACCTGGCTTACACTGAGTTTCATCTTCCAGTTCCTTAAAAAGTTACACGAGTGCCAACACTTTGATTGTTTCTCATTAACATAAATGTGCTCTTGAAAAATGCAGCTTAATTCAGCAAACCAGGTTAGATTCAAGAACTGAGCTCAGCATCAAGCTCACTCATCATGTGCAGCTTGTCTGTTTGCCAGTGTGCTTGCACACAAGTGGAGGTGTGCAGTTTGAGGTGCTCCTTTCCTACTGCAGAGGAACAGTGTGAGCTCTTTATTAGATATTCTCTCAGCAAATTCAGCCCCAGGGCTGCCTCTACAGGTGCCATGCCAAACTAGATCTGTACCATGATGGAGTTCTTCTAAATTGACAGTTTAATCCTTTCACAATATACTTTGGCATGAGCTTCATGTTGAATTCCAACAACCAATACCAATGTCTTAGCAAGATGCAGGCAAAAATCTCCATCTGTGCCAAGAATATTTTAACAACAAGAAAAAAAGATACAAAAGGTGTCTCTACACAAACATATTGTATACAGGCAACTAAACTAAGCTGTTTCCAAACAATATCATTAAATACTAGTGCTGTTCTGTTCTGTGCTGGTTTTTGTATGAGCTGACAAATTCTCCTTAAGGGAACCTGTAGCATCTTAATGTTTCAGTAGTGAGTGACTGGATACCTCTCAAATGTATTTCACATACTGAGATACAGCATGCAGTTTATATAAAAGAAAACTACTTTCTTACTTGAAAAGCATCAGTGTTTATGCACCAAACAGTAGAAAACAGTTGGATGAAACTTTACAAAAAGCTCATTCATTTTCAAGGGAATAAAAAAACCATGATTTTTTTTTTTCTGAAAGGATAAGAAATGCAACTTCAGAAAAAAATAATGAGCATTTAACTACACTTTTCTCTATATTGTTCATAGTGAGCCAGGATCATTTGGCTCACTTAGACTCACAAAACAAAAGCATGAGGTTTCACAACAAGGCTGCCATGAGGGCTATGTAAAATAAAGATATCACCACTAAATCATAAACATATACATTTCAAATTAGGAGACAATGACCAGGGACTTACAGTTCTGCAGCAGGTTCATCTACAGAGGAAAAAACTCAATTACCTCCAAATAAGAAATGCCTAATTTTATGAAACTGATGAAACACCAGGACAGAGAGCAATTACATTTGGTTACCTGCCAAGTTTGGTTCAAATACAATCAAAGCCCTAAATGAAAATGAAACAAGAGCAGAGAAAAATGCCTACAGAGTATAAGAAGGTTCTGAATTCTGGAATACTGATTCAAAATGGTTTCCACTGGAGTAACATTCCTTTTCTAATAGATCACTCAGCTTTCATCTCTACTAGGATTAAAAAACATAATGCACATTTTATGAGTGATGACTGTTTCATGATGGGCTCCAAACTACCCAGCACTGCATACAAAGTACAAGTAGTACATGCATACAAAGCAGCTTCAGTACATCATAAAGCACACTCACTATATGGGAGCTTAAGAAAAGAGAAAGGAACTTTCCACTGAAAAAACCAAGCAGCACACTAGAAAATCCTAAAAAATATAAGCAACTGAATGCTGTTCAGCCGTTTGCAAAAGCCACTGGTTAAGCCTGTGGGAAATTACTGCTTTAAAAATTAAAAGCAACTATTTCTGGGAACACCTAACTCTTGAAATCATTACCATGACACAATATTAGCTTAGCATGACATAATACCCCAATGGTTTGCTGCAGGAATACTCTTCAGTGAGTGGAGTGAGAAGGGAAGAATAAGCAGACAATGGACAAATCCCAGAGAAACACTGTTGTCTAACTGGTCACAGTTCTAGGAAATAAAAACCAGGAGTGCACTGAAGCTGTTGCAGTGGGGCCCTGTAATTCTTAGACATCAGTAGTTCTAATAGGAAAGATTCATGGGCCAATCAGGATCAGATAGAGTAAAAAGAAAAGCAGATTATTATTTGAACTGAAAGCTGTTTATTTGTATAACTGAAGTGCTGCTTCAGGAATAGGCTTCAGAAGCAAAGTGTTTCAGACAACCAGAGCTGCAGCACTGCACGTTCCACAGCAAGACACCACCTCAAAGTGCTTCCCTGAGACACCATAAACCCCAAAGGGGCTCACAAAGGAAGCCTGAGGCAGCACTGAGCCCTCTGCCAGTGGAACAGGACACAAACCAAATACGCACCCATTGTTGTGTGCCTCCAGGTAAGGGATTTATGAGCCTCACGTAGGCAAGGCTTGATGGACTGGGCAGTAAATAGCTCTCTTTTACCTTCCTACATTGCTTTCCTCAGACTTCAGCCCTTGGTTAATTCTACTGCAGGTAAACCATTCAGAAAATCCATTCAGTAGAAAAATGGGACAGCTACATTTCAGTCAAACTTAACTTGCCCTCCTGATAGCAGTAAATTAAGTGTCACAATGAAGATGAAAGGATGTGCCTCTTGTGAGCAGGACTTCTGTCCATGCCTGAAACAAATAGCACAGGTCTAGAATTCCATTCATACAACACCATGAGAGGCTGAATCTGACCAAGTGATTAATGCCACTAAAAAGTTTGGAAAATTTAATTTCCACACACAGGAGTATTCACTTTATTCAAATGACAAAACTTCTTTACACTCTTGTACTTTCCTGGTACTAAGTGTGTACTTAACTGGCACTCTGGGAAGAGTCAGTGCCCTTATTAGTGCTGTCTAATAAGCCACTGCCAAAGGTCCCCTCATCAGCTGAGGTTGCTGATTTGTGCAATAAAGCTCCTTTCACTGGGAGATTTGCTACTGAAAATACACTGAATCTGATTACCTCTGCTTGGAGTAATAAAATGTGCTTAATCTGTGACAACTCAACATTAGTTACACTTGAGGTCACCCAAATTTAGAAGTTAGAAGTGTTTACTCTAAAAATCCAGGTTTATGTTTGTGTTCTACATGAGGTCCAAACTGGATCTGTGCTTGAAAGCCTCCAAATTCACAAGCCTTCTCAAAGGAGACGGGATGGGAACCATTCAGAATGTCATCACGAGCCTAGAGGAGACAAACAAAGATGTGTCAGAGACACCCTAACAACTAACCCACCTCAAATTCCTTAAAAACTTGAATACAGCCAGCAACACACCCTTTTCCTTCTGAAGGTCTTTATCATTCCATTCTGGATGTGTATGTGACTAATAAAACAAAGGGTTAGATTATTTCATTGTGAGTATCTACAGAGACTTATTGAAGCTATGATTGTATCAGCTTTGATCAAAAAGAGAATTTGACAGCCATTTCCTGATGCATGTGTAAATAAAATACAACCTTCTTCTGTGTATGTACACACATAGGTACAGATGCATGTGTGTGCAAATACACACACTGGAAAGCTTTCATCCCACTGCCTCATACAGGAGGGAAAAAGATCTCCATAATTAGAAGGTAAAAACAAAATTACTGTTACGGATATGGTAACAGGGACAGGCACACAGCATTTTTCTTCCTTCTGTGTAAATTTGGTGGCCATTGAAGATGACAGATTTTATAGCTCTGGCAACAGAAGGCTCACCTACCCATACACAAAGCAATGACAAAGCATTATCAGCACATACTGTCATGCCAGCCTGAAGGAAATATTTTAGTGGCAGGAGAACAGCTCAGTGTGATAGTCCTCTGAAATACTTCAAAAAGGTACTGCTGTTCTATAAGCAATAGAACAGCCTTGACTTTTGCCTCAGATTTTTAAAATGTAATTTATATAATAACAAGTACATAAGCACATTCCATCAAATTTTCAAATTTTTTTATTTGAAAAAAAACCCCAAAACATTAAAAAATAATTTAAAGCCTACTTTTTTTCAGACTGAATTGCAGGCAACTGCAATGGCAGCTTCACTTAAATACTATCTTCTGCATAAAGTTCCTGGCTTTGCTAAGGTATGCACAGTCCCTCTGACAGTTTAGGAAACCTGTGCAGATGGACTCCTACTGTGTTACATGACACGGTCCCCTTTGATGGAAAGCCTTCCTGCCTTGTGTGCTGTCTGGATTGAAGATTGGAAAGAAGTGCAGAAAAAGTTCTCTCACTGATCAGGCAGAAGACAAAAAGACATGAGAAACAGAAAGCTGTCCACAAGACTGGCCTGAGGTTCCACATGACACAGAGAGCACCATCCAGAGAAGAGAAGAGGAAGTAAAAAGAGCAGCTCGGGACTAAAGACATGTACCAATGTTAAGGAAGCAGGATGTCAAAGCCAGTGGATTTTTGGCTCAGTGTCCATTACTGAGTTCAAAGCATTGGATTAAAAAAATCAGCAAAGCCTCTGTACTATCATGTGTTTTTGGAGGGCTAGACAAAAGAGCAAAACTAAAGCACATCCAGAACTGGAATTCTAGAAGATGGAGTATTTGAGCAGTGTATTTTTTCCAATTAACCTACATGGGTTTCCTCAGACAAGGTAGAAAGTACTGTACCTGAACATAGAGCAAATTAAGCTGGACAGGATCTCTTGAATCTACATTCTGGTCTGAATAAAAGAACTTCCGTCTCAAGAGCAGCGTTTCATTTTCATCCACTCCTTGCTCTCGGAAGGTCCGGCTGTGATCCAGCCAATTCACTGCAACAGAGCCACAGCCATGCACACTGTTAAACCCACACTGCTGCAGCCCTCACAGCCCTTGTGAAACTCTGGGGATAGCTGGCTTTTCCACTGTGGGGGGAAACTCCACAAGAAATGTTACTTTTATTTCTGGTGCTAGTTATCGGTGCTGAAGGTTTGCTACAAATGAGAACTGAAAAACAGCACTGCTGAGTAACAAGGATATACTGCAGCAAACATTGTTAATATTGAAGAAACAACTACAGTAATGTTTTACTAGTAAATTTATATCTTTAAAGCTTCACAACAAAGTAAGTGTACCACATTTTACTTCTAAAACAAATTATTCTGTTTACCTTTCTTATCCCTGAACACAATTTTAAAACATCTTCCTGCCACTTACAGTTAACCTTAGTGTCTTACAGTAAAACAGAAAAAACAATTATCATGACTTAGCACACCAAACAAATCAAATACCATCTTAGTTGTTCTTTGGCAAACTTCACTTACAGTTAAAACTTACACCTTCAAACACAAAACTACCTTTTGATGGCTTTCAGTAGGCATCAAACAACCCTTCACACTTAAGTTGAAATACCCCTACCAAACACATACCAAAAAGCATTTCAAAACACCTGCTAACTCTCAAACTTACCCATTCACTTAATTTAAAAAATACTCAATTGCAGACAGCACTGCATACAAGGGGATGCAAAATACAGCCAGGAACCAACTGAAATGGCCACTGCATGGCTTCTTTGCATTATACTGTGGAAAGATATTAATCTAAGAATTTCTCTGGGATACATGACTCACAATCATCATCTGTGTGAAGCTTTGCCTTCAGTTTTTCCATTTTTCTTTCATCACGTAACAGGGTCCTATCCTTCTTCAGTGTTCCTGTACTCTCCTCTTTCTTCTCTTCGATGCTCTCCTGGATTAATGAATATTCCTCATAATTTGTTATTCCTGGAATTATAAATAAATCCAATATCTGACCTCATCTTTCCAATACAGGATTTCTTTGTCATATGCTGCATTTGCCACTTTGAGAAAGGTATTAAGTATAAGGTATTTTTTTTCTGCTGCCTACCCAAGAGAAGCTGCCAGTTTAAAAACATGATGGAATGCAAAATAACTGTAAATTCCAAAAGGGAGACAGGCTATAGTAAATTTCCATTCATGGATGCCTACAATTGCTTCCTGAGGACTGAGTAATTTCAGCTTGCCCATGATGTAAAAGAAATGTGGCAGAGCCAACTGAGGAACAGAAACCATGTGAAATTCATGATTTTTTTGTTTAAAGTGTTATGACTCAACTCTTCCTGTGAATTTTACATGAAATTGAATCAAAAATCAGTTCAAAATATTTAGCATATATGCTAAGTTGTTCCCATTTCTTTGTTCTGTTTGGTTTTTCTGTACTGTTTGGGAAAGCATGTTTATGTTGTACCAGACAGCAAATTAAATGCTCGCCTACATGACCACATTCATGAAAATAAATCAAAGTAATTTTTGAGGTAAATTAGTTACAGCACAGGAGAATCCAACATACAAAGCCTCAAAACTGAAATAGATTATTCCCCTTCCAAGTAAGGTAATATAAATCAAATTAGGGCCGCTTGCACTCTAAACGAGATTTAAGCAGTTTTAAGACTTAAATCATTCCATGTTGGATGCATACTTGTAGTGCATGTATTAAATACAAATTTGTTTTTAAAAATGTCTATTTAGCTAAGTATTGAGACAGACTATAAGCAATATGACACATTTTTGACCAGCTGCTCTGGATGGCTTCTGTACGTGTTTTTACAAATGACACAATTTTGTGATCAACTCAATCATAACAACACAAAGTCCTAAGCTTGGGTACATTCCAAGGTCAGCAATGTTCCTCTTTTATCCCGTTAACACCGAGTATAAATTCAGTTCTAAACCTTTATCTCATAGCAGGAAAGACTACATAAGTGTAATGTACAATAAAAAATTGGTACCTGTACTGTTGGATAACTTTGTTCCTTCAACTGCTAAATCCTGAAGTCTAAGGATACAGCTGACTCTCTACAGACTTTGATAAAACCTGGACAACAGGTTTCAAGAAAGTGTTTGGTAAGTAGTAACTTAAAAAACAAATTTCAATTTTTCACATGTATGCCAACTTCTAGCCACATAACATCCTAACAATCATAACTTAAATATGACAGAACAAATTCTTAAGCATGTGGGTCACAAAACCTTACCTATCCTGCTGCAAATGGTAACCAGCAATTCACCCACTGTTTTAGAATCATCCACCATGACTGTTTTCACTGAACCATCCAACATACGTATTTTCTGAGGTCTCTGTTTCTTTTTGTACTCCAGTATATCCTAGGAAATAAACACAACTGTTTCTAAATGCTTTTGGAAGCCACCACAAGCCAAACCACTACCTTAGATGCCTAAAACTGGATTCCCTTCCCACTCTCCAAGTCAGATTTTTCCTTTGTTACAGTACAGGCAAATCTACTCATTTAATAAACTTGAGCAGTGACTGCTTTTAGATCTGCCAATGTCATTTTTCAATGATTGTTCTAAGTGGCAAGACCTAGTCAGGGCAGGATAGACCAAAGTACCCTGTGCTGTGAAATCTAGTCCAGCATTTTAAAAGGACTGCAATGCTGTGGTTGCAGCAAGCTGGCCAGAACAGGAGCCAGTGTGACCTCACCACCTCCAGTATACAAGAAACCAACTCTAACACAAGGTCACATCAAATATAAAGTATATAACCAAAGTTATTTTTCAACTTTCTGTTAATCATTCTGTGAAGCCACTACTGACCACAGTAGCACACAGTCACAACCTGAGTGCAGGAAAAAAACTGATCTCTGAGGCAGAGCAAGGAAGAGACTAGGTCAAGCTCAGGAACAGACTCAAGACCCTCCTACCCCTCCAAATGCTCAACATTCTTCTTGCTATTTAGGAAACAAGTTTTCTAAGGATATGGTGATGAAGGAAGCAAGAGACTTGCAGCATACCCCATTTCTCAGCATGTAGTAATCCAGTGTCCTTCCAGCCTCCAGCCATATACCTTTTCGAGGATCATCATCTGACAAGAACAGTCCATAGTCAGAGGCTGTGGGACAGAACAGAGACACATTGAAAAACATCAGACCTAATAAAACCTAATAAAAGCCAACATGGTTTTATTCAAGGCTATTCAGATTCAGAGTTAAGCCTGAATTAAATATATTACACTTACCTTCCATTCTCAATAAATTTGGATAGACTATTTTTCTGTGCTTCAAGAAAAATTCAGTTTAGCAGCAGATAGCAGGGTACATTATGCTTTACAGAAGACTTGGAAAAAAGCTTCACTATGCCATCACATCTTCACATGTCACATCTACTGTGTACTATATTTGTAACTACTTTTTTTTGAGACAACCTTTTTAAAATGCTCACAGGTCCTGCTTTGGAATTGACTAACCAAAAATATAAGCAAGTTTGGCCTTAACAACAGTGTACTATTTCAAGCAGCAGTTCTATTTTCAAAACACAGTTTGCTTTCAACTCTCCACAAAATGAGTTTATTATAAACTTGGGACTCTTTTGGGTAGGTGATTCAGGTTTAGGTATTTAAAAATATACAAAGCTTCTAGAATTATATCCACAGCAAATACAGCAAAACCTTCTATATTTTGAAGGCTAAACAATGTAACTTGATTATTTCAGAAGTAAATGATAAAATTTTCACTGCTACACAAAACCAAACCCAGGCTTAGGTTTCAAAGATTAAACTCCAGATACACAAAATGAAGCATCATGACTGTTAATTTAAGGCCTATCCATATGCATGAAGAATCAATACAGATTATGCTTCACAAACAACAAACAACCATTCAGCAGCTGAGCCTGCTCTGTTTGCAGTTCTGCAGGTTAAGCTGATGCCCCTTCTCAGGGTCAGCAGTGCAGAGTCTGCTACAGCAGCTCTGGGCCATACCTTGTTTACTGTCAGCCATGTGTTAGGAGCCTTTGGCCAGAAAGCCAGGTAAAAATAACTACAATTTTCAGATAATATTTCATCCTTAAATGCCCTGTATAGCAATAATTTACATTTAACAGCATTTACCTTAATCACATGTTTATTTATGCAATTAAATAAAAGATCTTGCCCTTAACTGAGAGAAGTGCAACTGACTTAGATACCCAATTTAAAAGGAAGAACCCTTCCAAAAGCAACTAAGAAAAATGAAAGAATTTCTGAGTGACCTTAATTAAAACTCCCCTGAAAGCTCAAGTGATCTGTACATAGAGGGATATTTATGATACAGATTCAATACAGAATCACTTCTGTAAGATTTTAGAATTTGTGCCTACAAGTAGGTTGTGACCTTTAGAAGCAAAGTGCCTTGCACAGAGCACAGAAGTACCAAGGAAGCACAGACTGCTCTGATACTCATTAGTGGAGCATGCACCTGGTAATGAACCAGCAGGAGCTGTGCAACTTGTACGTGGAAATCATGGCCACCTTTGTGCTGGGACCAGGCTTGTGGGAGAAGTGAAACATGCACAGCTGACAGCCATAAGTACATTTTCTGTTGTGCAGAACCAGTTTGTCAACTGTACTGCACCACTGTGAGTCTTCTGAACTAACAGGCAAACACACACATTTTAACAGCCACCAAGAAAGGGAAAGGATATGTTGGAAACATTTCTATTCATCACTTAATCTCATTTTTAGAAGACTCTAACTGCACTGCAATCATAAGTAAAGGAAAAGCCCTACTATAAAATCTGAGAACTCCTTGGCTTTTCTTTGAGGTTCATGATGTTCAGGGATATTTATCATTCAACTTCTCCAAATTCAACAGCTGTCTACAACCACTGCCTTGAGAGACCATGGTAAAAATGCACAATTTTTATCTGAAAACTGAAGCTCTGTGACTAGATTTTCAAAGAACTCCTGCAAAGAAGAAGTAAACTCAGTAATAGTAATTAAGTCCATTACTAGTAAGTTTTTCTAACAAGATTTTTGAAATGGCTGTAAAGTTTGAGAGCTTGAACCTCAATAAACAACCTGCTTTAAGAATTACATTCCAATAGCATTACATAAAATGCAGCACCAAAGGGTTTTGAAGTATCTGAATTTTTTTACATTTTTGGCTGTGTTAAAACCAGTTCTTTTTTCCATGGTGTTTCCCAGTCTGTATTCACCTAATTTGCTCAATAGGTACAGAGACAGTTACAGCTGATTAACATGTAGCATCATGGTAACTATGGTATGCACAGCATGGTGGTGATTTTAGTTGTTAACCAGTTTCAAACATTTCTCCTTGCACATTTTGGAGGTACCCAGCCATTCTTTTGTAATTTGTGCTGATGCTTCCTTTGCTGAGGCACAAAATAAGTCTGCACAGATTTTCTTAGAACACATTGCCAGAAACACCGCTTTAAGTAGGCAATAACAAAAAAAATAAAAATGCTCTCCAAGCAGGAGAGCAATTTCTCGTCTTTAAGGCAAACAAGATATTTATTCAAGAAATCTAAAAACATCCATTGCAAGAAAACCTTTGTCAGGACAAAAGGAAGAAAAACAACTCAGATACTTTCTATTGCTTAAAAAATCTGTTTGCACTTGTTTCTTTTCACTCCAGACCCCTACAACTTAAATTTAAAAAGAAACAAACAAATCCTCCATCAGGACAATGTAAAAAACCCCTCTGGGTTCACGATTATTTTCAATTCAGCCAATGAAGTGAGTAAGGACAAACTGAGGACCTCACCTTGCCCTGTCTGAGCCTCTGGCACTCGCTCACGGATAACTCGGCAGGCGTCGTACACGGCAGTGGACGGCTCAAACTGCATCGTCTTCACCACGTTGCACTGCCGCACACAGATCTTCAAGGAAAGAGCTACCATGGTGCCAAGTCACTTGTAAGTTCCTGCTAAAGTACCTGAAAAAGCAGTAGTGGCATTGTTGGCTTAGTTTTTCATTTAATGCTTTAATATAATCAGCTTTTCATTAAACAAATGAAATTCATTCAGTAAAATTACATTTATTCAAGTGCAGTTATATATAAAGTCTCATTAAGATAGAAACTAGCCAAAACATGTATTTTTCTTGTTGTAATGGAAATTCATTTTTCAAAAACTTGTGTACACACACTAAATGTTCATACTTTCTATCAGGTAGGTTAAAATGGTGCATAAATCCCAACACACTTATTGGGTATATTGGCAAGATATTTACTGCTGACAGAAAATTCTTTTTCTCTCACCACATATTTTTATTAGATCATCTAGACTAGCTTGTAACCAACAGCTTAAAATAACTACTTCATCAAAAGTCGGATTTTCTTAGCACATAACTACTCTTTCCTGAAGATTCTGAAGTGTGCAATATAGTGTTATGGTTTTTCTCAAGTCTCCACATAGAACTGCTAGATGTTTTTAGCCGGCTGCACAGCTACAGAGAGCTTCAAGAATGAGTTATTTTTCATTTCAGCTATATTTAAAAAAACTACACCAAAATCTGACAGCATTTTTTTACAGAAACAGGAAGCTACAGATGCTTTTTGTATTGTTTCATTTTGCAGATAGTCTGGATTTTGTCTCCAGTGTCTTCCCTTGCTGTTTTAACAGTCCAAACTGCTCTTCCATCACTAGACTTTCCACAATGATCTCCAAGAACTCATCAGAACTTAAATCCATTCTCCATAAATACAGAATGCACTAGAATCCCCAAATAATTTCTGCATAAATTGATATGTGTGTTTTTAAAGAGGAGTTTCCCAGGGGGTCTTAGTGACTAACTTGAAGAGCTGGAAGCTTGTTTTCCTCAAGTTCAGGGCCCTGACTTTACTCTTCTTCTGACCCATATCCCTCAGAACTGGGCAATTCCAGAGTGCCTGGAGTCCAGATTGTCTCCAAACTCAGCGTCCCTGATGAGGCCCTGCTGGTCACCAGGACTGCACCCACCCTGGACGGGATGTCTATCACCTGCTGTACAAGTCACCCTCTCTGCACTCCCTGAGGCTCCTGCACTGCCCAGGCTCACAGTGCTGCTCTCCCAGCAGCTGCAGGAGTGGCACTTTGTCAGCAGGCTCCCCTGGATCAGGGGGCCTGCAGCAGACACCCACCACGAGTGGGTTTCTTTGTTTCCTCACACTCTGATTCTTATCGGCAGGCTTTCAACCTGCTCACAGCCATTCTTCAGATACAGCTCTTGGCACCCTCTCCTGATGTAGGGGGTAACACTTCCCCCTTACCTTCACTCCTGTCCCCTCTGAACTGCCAGAAGCCATTGAGAGTGACACTCCAGCCATGGGATTCATCTCACCAGGTTTCAGTAAGGCAACAGGGCCATGGCTTTCAAGCAGCAAGGTGTACTCTTGTTAGTGTGACACAATGCTCTTCTGGCTAATTTAAAAACAAGCAGGGGTCTTGTGTCTTAGAGAATGTTCTTTTAAAAGTACATTGTTTAGGTTTTATTACTTTCTAATATTTTCACTTTGTGATGGTGCACCCCATAAACCATAAACGTGCGTGTCAGAAAGAACATCAAAAGGCAGCCTAGCATAGTGCCTTGCATTGTAAAATGATGCCTCCCTTTGCTGTCCCTGCCAGATGCTCATTTAATCCATTCTGAAAAATCTCCATCAAAATCGGAGTCCACAATACCCACAGCTAAGCTGCTCCATTTTTCTTTTTCTTTTTACTATTTTTACATTTTGGATGGTTCTCCCTCATACAAGTTTTCAACTTAGGTTCTCCACTCTGCAAAAGAATGTTTTTTCTCCTCCCTACATAAACAGATATGCAAATTTATCCCTGATATCTTTAATGCACTTTTACAAGTTGGGAACCTGTTACTGTGTCCTCCCACCACCATTCCTATTTTTTTTTCCAGGGTCAAAGGCAACTCAAAGAATGAAGGACCTAAACAGATCAGCGGTCTGGTTTCCTTCAGTTCAGTGTTCTTGGTTTCAGAGACACCAAAGGATGCTTCATCTGAAAAAGAGCTTATGAAAAGAGCTCATGACTTATCAGCTTCCTTCAAGACTGTGTTCTCAAACTCAAGAGAAAGGTTTTTATTTGCCTCCTCCAGATTATCATCAGGCTCTAAATCTCTCCATTTGGCTTTCAGTAATAAATGGGATAGGCAGTTTCCATCTCCTGGGTAACAGCCAAAACAGGACAGCTGTTTTTTCTCAAAAGATCTGAGAACTTGGTCAAGAAAAAGGGCTGGGATCACAGAGAAAAACAAGGGGAAAATATCTTCCACATTCCCTTTATCTTCTATACATTGATTCACATCACATTTAAATATTTCTCTGTGCAAGTAATGGACTGTCTGCACCCCCAAAATCACTCAGTCTGTGGAATGGCTGATCAAAACTTTTTTTACAAAAATTTTACATGGAACAGTTTTCCTGGTACTGTCTAATTCTCTGTGAGTAATAAAGTAGGAAATTTCTAAATCAAACTGTGACTAATCTGTGCTTGTAAGGTGGGAGACTGAAATAATAAATTATGAATCTGACAGCTTTGGGAGAATAGCAGCAGCTCTGAGATCTTAAAAAAGCCACAGAACATAACTCAGAGAATCCAATGCCTGCAGATATATATCAAGAGTGTGTATGTCAAAGCCTGGAGCTGAACCACCACAGGGCTCACGTTCTGGAAAATCTGAACAAAACAGAATTCTAAGCAGTGCTTGAATTAAGATGAGCAGGCCTTGGTGTGCTCACAGGGATACCTTGCCAGCAAAGGAAACAAGCACAAATATTTCAAACACGTATTATCCAAGATAATAAGATATAAGGTGAAGCAATAAGATATTATCCCAAGATGTTATCAAGGACTGAAAAATAAAACAAGAATGAGGCAGCAGTAAGGTTCTTAAAAGTAACTTCAAGCTGGAGGAATGTGTGCCTCTGGGTTAAGGAGTGACTACACACCATTAGCCAGAAGATCTGTGGCAGGAGCACCCTCCAGCAGGGCAGCAGGAGGCAAACACTGCCCCAGCTGGCTCACCCTGGGCTCTGGTCCCTGTCCCTTGGCAGGACAAAGCCTGAGCAGACACTTCCATCCATTTGCACAGCCCTCCTGCAGGTCTCACCTGAGTTACTGTAACTTCCCCAAAAGCTCTCTGCCTGGATACATTCCCACTAGAGCTGGGATGCTGTTACATAAATTACAAAGGTGTGGGCTTAGAAGCAGATACATACTCCATGAGCAGTTAAAATATTTTTGTTTAATAATTTCTCTTCATTAAAATATGAAGAGAAAAATCTGAGAATTATAAAAATCTAAGGACTAATATTTACAAAACTAAACATCTCATCATAACTTGTAAAGTAGGTTTTTCAGCAAAGCAATTTGAACATTAAATTAAAAAAAAGTTATTGGATGAAAAATTTATACATGTTAAAAGATATTAAGTCTATTTTACCTGAAATGAAATAAATCTGTAAACTGCCTATTGCAAGTCACAAGCTATTAATTTGAACAGAAGCTTCAACATATTTGTTTGAGAAACGTTCACAAATTAACAGGAAGAAAGTTGAAGCCAAAACACCCCCACCCTTAATTTCCACTAGAAATTAATTTGAAATTGTTTTTACTCTTGGTGTCATTTAAGAGGAGCAAAACAGAACCAACCAACATCTAGTAGGACTGCCAAAGCTGAATTACAAATTAATTTATTCATATCCTCGTGCACCTCTTCCTCCATCAGTTCCAACAGTAATTTCTAGAAAGGTATTTTCTAACTAAACAGTAATTTTTACACTGTCTGTGCTACCATAACTAAATGAACAGCTTTTGCATAGATTTACTCTCAAACTTCCTTGTCCCACTTCTGCTTCAACAAGAAATGTCTTTCCCAACCAGCTCCTTAAAAAGCCTTCTGTAACAGCATGCAAAAATGAGTTTTGTCTGCTGTTTGTGAATGCATCTACGTTAAAATGTTCAAAGCGTTGAGATGGATGACACACATATGATCAAGTTCAGACTTGCCCTAATTAGAGAGCTTCTATGATTTTTTTTTGTCAGGCTCATTAAGAGAATACTAAATCAGTGTAGGATCCAACTCTACACTAGTGAAATTAGAGAAAATTTCACAAGTCAAATCAATACTCTGAATGTAAGCCTCAGGTAATACACAAAATGGGTCTCCATTCCACAATACCTTGCTGAGATAACTAGCATGATAAAACCAAAATTACTTAAATTCCAGAAAAGATTTCCCACAAAACTAAATTGTACCTGAGAGTCCAGCTCTGCTAGACTGGGAAGGTGGCACTGACCTCATCAGCTGCTGATGACAGAGACAGACCAAGGCAAGAGGCAGCAAAGTTATCTCAACAAGCATTTTACAAGACCTCTCAAGAGACATGTAACACAAGGTAAATAGCCGTTCCTCCCCATACTGACAAGGAGAGAAGTTTGTATCACATAATTTCAACAGGAATCAACTATCATCAAGCCAAAAGCATAAAATAAAATAAAACACAAAATAAACAAGCAGGGAGAAGGGGGATTTAGAGGGGAGACCAGACAGTGCACACTGACCTCCCTGATCATTTGCCTATGCACCTGGCTTAATTTGTACCATTCCCACCCTCATATCTACAGTGTCTGAGCTGACGAGGCCATGATTTTATCTGGATATTCTGAACTGCAGTGCTAAGCAAACAGAGAGTGCAAAATGTCAGCTCAATGCTATGAGGGCATGTGCATTTCACATCCTTGCCAAGCGAGTGCTGAGGTAACACATAGCGCAAAACCACCTGCGTTTCAAAACCAAGCAAACGTGGAACAGGCACCAGTGACACTGCCAAACACGGACCATGCCCATCCAGTTAAAGGAAAGTTGTCACTGCCAGTGCTATGGTTAAAAGCAAAGCTCTGCCATGATTTAGTAAAGGTCTGTCTCCCTGGAGATATTTCT